CAGAGTGGGCGCCCCAAAAAACTCCTGCACGGATTTTTTTGCGAATATGTAGGCAGCAAAAATAGATTTCCTGCGATGCCCGTCGCGGCCAAGAATCGCGAACGACGACCTTGTCCGCCGTTCACGGACCCGTCGTCCAGCCGTATATTGCGAACGAGGATTCGCGCACGGGCGCCGACGAACCTGCGTCAACGCGAGAAGTCGAGTAAGCCTTATCGTTTAGAGAAAACAGAACTCGTAACAAGGATTCTGTAGGTGAACCTGCGGAAGGATCATTTTCGATGTCTTTCCCGGCAGACAACACCGAATTCGTGACCCAACGTACGAATGCCGATCAAGCCGTCCATCGAGACAGAGTAGGCGCCTTAAAAAACTCCTGCACGGATTTTCGTGAATATGTAGGCAGCAAAAATAGATTTCCTGCGATGCACGTCGCGGCCAAAAATTGCGAACGACGACCTTGTCCGCCGTTCACGGATCCATCGTCCAACCGTATATTGCGAACAAGGATTCGCGCACGGGCGCCGACGAACCCGCGACAACGCGAGAAGTCGAGTAAGCCTTATCGTTTAGAGAAAAGAGAACTCGTAACAAGGATTCTATAGGTGAACCTGCGGCATGATCATTGTCGATGTCTGTTCCGGCAGACAACAGCGAATTCGTGACCCGACGTACGAATGCCGGTCAGGCCGTCCATCGACACAAAGTGGGCGCCCCAAAAAACTCCTGCGCGGATTTTTTCAAATATGTAGGCAGCAAAAAGGGATTTTCTGCGATGCACGTCGCGGCAAAAAATCGCGAACGACGACCTTTTCCTCCGTTCACGGACCCGTCGTCCAGCCTTATATTGCGAAGGAGGATTCGCGAACGGGTGCCGACGACCCCCCGTCAATGCGAGAAGTCGAGTAATCCTTGTCGTTTAGAGAAAAGAGAACTCGTAACAAGGATTCTATAGGTGAACCTGCGAAAGGATCATTGTCGATATCTGTCCCGGCAGACAACAGCAAATTCGTGACCCGATGTACGAATGCCGGTAAGGCCGTCCATCGGGACAGAGTGGACGCCCCAAAAAACTCCTGCACGGATTTTTTTGCGAATATGTAGGCAGCAAAAATAGATTTCCTGCGATGCCCGTAGCAGCCAAAAATCGCGAACGACAACCTTGTCCGCCGTTCACGGACCCGTCGTCCAGGCGTATATTGCGAATGAGGATTCTCGTACGGGCGCCGACGAACCCGCGTCAACGCGAGAAGTCCTGTAAGCCTTATCGTTTAGAGAAAAGAGAACACGTAACAAGGATTCTGTAGGTGAACCTGCGGAAGGATCATTGTCGATGTCTGTCCCGGCAGACAACAACGAATTTGTGACCCGACGTACGAATGCCGGTCAGGCCGTCCATCGGGACAGAGTGGGCGCCCCAAAAAACTCCTGCACGGATTTTTTTGCGAATATGTAGGCAGCAAAAATAGATTTCATGCGATGCCCGTCGCGGCCAAGAATCGCGAACGACGACCTTGTCCGCCGTTCACGGACCCGTCGTCCAGCCGTATATTGCGAACGAGGATTCACGCACGGGTGCCGACATACCCGCGTCAACGCGAGAAGTCGAGTAACCCTTATCGTTTAAAGAAAAGAGAACTCATAACAAGGATTCTATAGGTTAACCTGCGGAATGATCATTGTCGATGTCTATCCCAGCAGACAACAGTGAATTCGTGACTCGACGTACGAATTCCGGTCAGGCCGTCCATCGAGGCAGAGTGGGCGCTCCAAAAAACTCGTGCGCGAATTTTTGCAAATATGTAGGCAGCGAAAAGGGATTTCCTGCGCTGCACGTCGAGGCCAAAAATCGCGAACGACGACCTTGTGCGCCGTTCACGGACCCGTCGTCCAGCTATATATTACAAACGAGGATTCGCGCACGGGCGCCGACGAACCCGCGTCAACGCGAGAAGTCCAGTAAGCCTTATCGTTTAGAGAAAAGACAACACATAACAAAGATTCTGTAGGTAAACCTGCGGAAGGATCATTGTCGATGTCTTTCCCGGCAGACAACACCGAATTCGTGACCCGACGTACGAATGCCGGTAAGGCCGTCCATCGGGACAGAGTAGGCGCCCTAAAAAACTCCTGCACGGATTTTCGTGAATATGTAGGCAGCAAAAATGGATTTCCTGCGATGCACGTCGCGGCCAAAAATTGCGAACGACGACCTTGTCCGCCGTTCACGGATCCGTAGTCCAACCGTATATTGCGAACAAGGATTCGCGCACGGGCGCCGACGAACCCGCGACAACGCGAGAAGTCGAGTAAGCCTTATCGTTTAGAGAAAAGGGACTTCCTGCGATGCACGTCGCGGCCAAAAATCGCGAACGATGACCTTGTCCGCCGTTCACGGACCCGTCGTCCATCCGTATATTGTGAATAAGGATTCGCGCACGGGCGCCGACGAACCCGCGTCAACGCGAGAAGTCCAATAAGCCTTATCGTTTGAAGAAAAGAGAATACGTAACAATGATTCTATAGGTGAACCTGCGAAAGCATCATTGTCGATGTCTGTCCCGGCAGACAACAACGAATTCGTGACCCGACGTACGAATGCCGGTCAAGCCGCCAATCGAGATAGAAATATAATTATGCACTTTAATTGCATTTTAAATTTTATAATTTTCTTAATTTTAATTAAACTATTTACTTATTTTAATTTTAATTAATAATTATTTTTATTAATATATTTTTTAATTATTTATTAATTATACTTTATTTAAATTTATGTGTTTACAGTAATACATTCATATTATATGGGATGGACGAAGGGACGAGGGAGTAATAATAATAGTTTAAACTCTGCTCAACCCAAGTAGCCATGTGACAGCGCATTAGTAGTAAAGTACACTACACTCCTAGACTCAAACCAATTATATATATATATATATATAATGTACAAATATCAATGTTTGTTTTATATTCTCTCACTATACAATACTTTTATTTTCATAATAATTATATCATGATAAAATTATTTTTACTTTATTATTATTATTATTATTATTATTATTATTATTATGTAATGTCATCACTATTTTTTACACTAATATATTTATAAAGATAAAAAAATTATTTATCTTTATTTTTTATTAATTATCAATATAATATTAATATTTTTTAAATCTTGTGCCAAATACAACAAGACTATATTTTTGGGATGAAAAGAATATATTTTTTAAATTTTATATTTTTGGGATGAAAAGAGTATATTTTTTAAATTTTGTTATGTTGAATATTTATATTAGTATAAATTGAAATCAATTCTTTAGCCAATGGTTGAGGTTGATAATTGAGCTTGAGTTTGAATCACCTGGCTCAAATAATATATCAATCTCAACGGATGTAAAAAACAGCTAAAAATATGTCTCTCGGTTGGGGATCTGTTTTTTTTAACAACCGGTAAAAAAAAGTCCAACGTTGAATCTAAAATCAATTGTTAATATCTGGAGTGATCGTTAATTCTTATAAAATAAGCAAGTTTTTACACTTCTTTTTCTTTCTTTTTTTTCAATATAGGACATTTTCAACAGCAACTCCTAGCCGCACTTGATCTCGTATTTGCGGGTCTGTGCGCGGAATGCTACTTGTATTGTTTTCATTCTATTATATTCGTCCCATTTTTCAAGTCCAATTATAGATAAAATAATGTAGTATTTTCCAAGTTGATAAATTTTGAATTCAATCTTTTGGTTGGAAATGGAAAGCCGCCTTTTGGGTCATAACTTTTCATGCCTTTATATAGGTTTGTCAAGACTTATACAAGATCAGATTTTGGCCTTCTATACACACGAAATTTACATAACACCCTAAGTTCTATTATTCATTTTCTAGTGCCTTATTTAATCAATACTTTTGAGGCATCCTCTTCTTATCTCAATATAACTTTTATATAACCTTAAATTGTTATATGGATCGAAATATTGTATTAAGAAAGCGACTTGTCCATAACTCAAGTATAATCCAAGCATTGTGTATCGTTCATTTTTACACTCACACCTTATTCTTCCCAATCCATAACATGTGCACCCAATATGAGTACAAATTTTATTTCATATCAAGTACTATCTCCATCTTTTAAATTTAGTTCATTAACAGAGTTTAATTTCTAATATTTAATTATTATTATACATTCAATATTTATTTACTATTGTTATTATATTTATTACGGTATATCATCATCATTATAATTAATTTTTCAAAAATATTTTCGATTGTTTTTTTTTTATTTTTTTTTATAAAATAATTACTCTATCTATCTGTTAAATTTAGAAATATTTTCTTTGTAATTTTTTTTTTTTAAAAAAAAAACATCCCTAAGTTTGGCATGAGGAAATATCTTTATTAGATTATGCTGTAGTCATCGTATTATTAATTATTAAGTAAATTTTTTAAAAATATTTTTAATTATTTTTAATTTCTCCAAATTCAAATGCTCTATTTTCACCTGACTAAGGAATTATTAATTATTTTAGTAAAGAAATGTAAATTTATAATCGTGTAAATTGTGTGACGTGCTAACTTCAAAGTTTATTTTTTAATAGAAGTTAAAATTTTCAAAAAGTCGCTTTATTAGATACTATCGTAGTCGTTTGGCGTGCTAACCTAAAAAAATTAAAACCTTTAATTATAACCACACATGTGATCGAGAAAACTTTACACTTAACGCTGCAAGATCCACGCCGTCAATCCAGGCGACCCAACACCGACGGTCTGGATTGCCGGATTAATAGAGTAACGCTAACTAGTAAAAACAATAATTTCGTGATGTGTTTGGTAAATAAATATTTGATCATTTTTGACTAAATAAAAAAGTAAAAAACAGTAGAAACCCCTTACTATTATTATTATTATTTTATTTTTATTTTTTTTGATCGGATTATTATTATTATTATTTATTTATTTATTTTTTTAGTAATACTCATATTTTTTGGTCTGTAGTGTACTGTGTGAACCAACCATGCAACAAAACAAGAGGTTTAATAAAGTCTCTGTAGTGTGAAGCCAATCTCTGTACAACCGCCGGCGACGACAACCGTTGATCGGCTACCCAAGCTGCCACTCCCGCCGTCCGATCAGAATCCAAATCCAAGTAGGTAGCTCGCACAATACCCTTCACTCATTTACACTTGTCTCTACACAGTCGTCCTTTCTCCCACTGACCATTTTTGTCTCTTTCTCCCAGTTCTCAAGCACGTCACCCACCGCTTCGTCTAAGCAATTATCAACTGCAATTTTTAGCTTCCGGAGAAATTAACTCTGTAATACACTTACGTCTACAGAAATTTTATACTGTTGTCGCCAGCGATGGGTTTGTCGCCAAACGCGGCGGCGGTGGCGCTGACGTGGATGATGACGCGCGCTTTCTATTTGGATTCACAAGATATCGAATTTGGGGACCCATGGTGGTTCGTGTACGCCGGCGTATCCTGCTTCCTTGTACTTTTCGCCGGAGTCATGTCCGGTCTGACCTTGGGATTGATGTCTCTCGGACTTGTTGAGCTTGAAATCCTCCAGCGAAGCGGCACCGCTGCCGAGAAGAAACAAGCTGGTACAACTTTCCTTCCTTGCGAGAAACAAAATTGCGCGATTCGTAAAACCCTAAATCCCCCAAATCCCCTATTGTTCTAGCAGTTGAAGGAAATTTGGATATCAATTCTATAGCAAAATTGAGGATAATCGTAATCTAGTTGTTCAATTAGCATTTTATTTTTTTCATTTCCCAGCAATCATTTTGCCGGTTGTTCAAAAGCAACATCAACTGCTCGTCACTCTACTTCTCTGCAATGCTGCTGCAATGGAGGTCAGCCAGTTGTTTGATATTTCTCTTGTTCTCCTTTTTACCAATTTTTTACTGCTGGTAGTGGCAGACGCTGCATAGCGGTGAAGTCCAAATATCTATGCTTAGATCAAACTTCACAAGTTTAAAAGATAAGTAGATTGATCAAAATGATGTGTGCAGGCTCTTCCAATATATCTGGATAAACTATTTCATCCTGCTGTTGCTGTTATACTCTCGGTGACTTTTGTTCTTGCCTTCGGTGAGGTACTTTTAGTTGCTTCCAACATGTTAAGAAAATGGTGGCCATGGGCAGAAACTTATGCCTCCCATTTGTGTAATTATAAAATAGATCATTCCGCAAGCCGTGTGCTCTAAACATGGGCTGGCTGTTGGTGCAAATTTCGTTTGGCTCGTGCGTGCTTTAATGATAATCTGCTATCCTATAGCCTACCCAATCGGAAAGGTGAAGTTTCGACAATGGCCTCTGTTGATTGAACTTGAACTTGATTATTTGTTGTCTCGACTAACATCTTATGGTTGAGTTGAAAGTAATCTAATTGAGTAGATTCTGAAAGAACTCAGTATTCATTTACTTGGTTTGATTCTTAGCCTTTTGTCAAAATCCAGATTCTGGATGCTGTGCTAGGACACCATGATGCTTTGTTTAGGCGACAGCAGTTGAAAGCACTCGTCTCTATCCACAGCCAGGAGGTATCTGCTGTGTGAACTATGGTCATTGACAGGATAATGTGGTTGCGAGCTAATTAAAGTCTTGAGTTTTAGTTGCTTAATTGTGATGTAAAAGTCCCGCTTTCGGGTTGTCTTTTTTAATGTTGATCGTAGGCAGGTAAAGGTGGTGAGCTTACTCATGATGAAGCAACCATCATTAGTGGAGCACTGGATTTGACTGAGAAGGTGGGTTCACGGTTGAGAGGATTTGTGGCAATATTTTTGTCCTATCCTCTTTTTCTGTCTTTGTGACAATGGCTATTGATGTTGTGTGTGCTATTTTAAGGCAAGTACTTGCATGGTGCCCGTGTATATTCACGTAGCCAGAAGTCTAATTCTAAATATTGCCATAGTTTCCTAAGCTGTCTTCCTCAATCTTCAGCTTAATGTCTTCAACAAATATCCGTATTTCGAGCTTTCTGTTTAGGACACCTTTCACAAGTCTTGTGTTTCTCCTTAATAAATTTGTGGAGTGCAACTGAGGTAATTTACAAATTTGTGCAGACTGCAGAGGCAGCTATGACACCTATTGAATCTACTTTCTCCCTTGATGTGAATTCCAAATTGGATTGGTAAGTTGGATACCAATTTAGTTATGATTTTGATTATGAAATATCTGCTTGTTCACATCATTCATATGCTATTATACACAGTACTTGAAATGCCTATTGAATTCTCCCTGCAATATAATAATAAAGTTGCTCATAAACTCACAGGGAAGCCATTGGAAAGATTCTTGCAAGGGGTCATAGTCGAATTCCAGTGTATTCAGGAAACCCCAAGAACATTATTGGACTTCTACTGGTGTGTATAAAGTTCTTTAGATTTTGCATCATATAAATACTTTATTATGGCCATAGTTTGTTGTTATGGTTCTTCCAAATTATCTTCTTTGTTCTTTTTGGGTAGGTGAAAACGCTTCTCACTGTGCGGGCTGAGACAGAGACTCCAGTGAATGCTGTTTCCATCCGTAGAATGCCGAGGTGGATTTGTGTGGCTTAAGCATTTTCTTAAACTTGTGTTGATTGATGGCTTTGATGAGCTCATCTCATGCTTCTTTTATCATAGGGTACCGGCAGACATGCCCCTTTACGATATACTCAATGAATTTCAGAAGGGAAGTAGTCATATGGCAGCTGTTGTGAAGGTCAGACACAGAGAGAAAACTCCCAGTTCTCTCGATGTTCCTGCAAAAGATGCCCCCAAAAAGATTACCAATGGTTATTCCGAGTTGACAATCCCATTGATAGACAAGTGCAATGAACCACCAAGTAGCGTCGTGATCAATGTGGAAAAGCCTCAGCAAAATGGATTTTCGACAAATAGCTGGAACAGCGAATCTCCAGAGACTGAGGATGGAGAAGTTATAGGCATAATCACCTTGGAAGATGTTTTCGAAGAACTTCTGCAAGTAATATTATTTTCCCATGCAGCTTATTGCAATTTTCATTCTAAAGCTTCCCTCTATCCTGTTTGATAGAATGTCTTCTTTGTTGCAGGAGGAAATCGTTGATGAGACTGATGTATATATTGATGTACATAAGAGGTGCAAAAAATCTCACTTTACACTTCCCTCTAGATCTTCACTGGTGACTGATTCATCCTAAATTCTTGGCCACACTCCATAACCAAACTTCATCTTTTTCTTGCAGGATACGAGTAGCTGCCGCAGCAGCAGCAGCAGCTTCATACGTTGCTCGAGCGCCTTCCAAATGTAGACCTAATCCAAAACCATCTTCTGTAAGCACGGTGACATTTTGCTTCTGCATCCCCGGCATTGATCTTTATCAAAATTCCCTGTTTTAGAAACTCAATAATTTTAAATAATTTGGCAGGGAGGTCAAGGCAAGAAAGGCCCGACTACGAAGAAATTGCAGAACCTGGAAGATGATGCATTCTAGTCTCTGCTGGAGCATTTAGAAGGTCAGATGTTCTCAACTAAAGTGCTAATCATCCTTTAGGCTAGGTTGTCAAAAAGCCAATACAATCACTGAATCACATAGGAAGTGCAAGATTTTGTGATTAGCAGAATTATACTTTGTGTCGTGTTCTAGGAAATTTTCAGCTCATATAATGATGAATGTATCTGCGTAATGAGATATCAGATTTGCTATTTGGATGTATAAAGTTGCTAAGATTGACGTAATAAATAAGGAGATGTAGGAAAAACAAATAAAAGGAAAAAATTAGTTGTGTAATTATAGCATATAAAAATGTTTAGCTTCGTCCACGTCGAATCAATTCTAGAATAGGCTATTATACATCAGGAACAAACAACCCCTAAATATAGTTAGCGTCGCCGATGAGAGTGTTTGTTCGGAAATCCAACCAAAAGTCGGATTTGAAACTCCATAAATAGCTTGACGTTGGAATGCAATAGTATATAGATTGGTCTATTATTGCACGCGGCGTAAAGTCCTTGCATACACGTATACCCAGATGGGGCACCGGTTACGTGCTTGATATAAAATTCAATATTATGTTAAATAATAGTACAACAGAATAAATACACAATTAGTAAAATACAAATATAACTCATAATATAGTTTCACATAATATTTATAATAATAAATTTTAATATCAATTTTATCACTTGACATGAACAATTGTGTATAATAAAGGTAGGTACATAATTTGGAAAATCTGTCTTACAAATTTAGCACCGTAGCCTCCCGCTGATGGAGATGCAGTTGCAGTCATAGATCACAGATATTTATTACGACTTGCTGTAATTCCGCCACGTTGGATCTCAAAATATTACGAGCCACTAAAAAGATATTCGTGGCAATAACGTGGCCAAATCATTGTTTCTACTTCTCATATTAGTCTTTCATTTATCCCTTTCATGTGGATCGTTGTATTAAAGGGTTTTTTCTCTTCTTTTTCTTTTTATTTTTATTTCTATTTCTTGTCCATTCCACTCAACAACGACTGCACCTGAGAAAAACCATAGTTGGCAGGCAGGCAGGAAGGAATGAACAGAGAAACTTCTCTGAGTCAAAGGCCGCGAGGCCCTTCAACGGACAACTCAGGAATCCTCAACGAGCGCATCCTCGTACTGGTATTCGAATACCTAAATTGGGACATAAAGGCCCTTTGCCAGGTGTCCGCCGTCGACCGGAAGCTACGGGCGCTGGCGAAGCGCCTCCTATGGCGGAAGCTATGCGCGCACCACGCGCCGCGTATGATACACACGCTGACGGAGGGGGAGTCGAACAGCAGGATTATCGGCGGCTGGCACGCGCTGGCAAAGCTGCTGGTGTTCTGCGGCGGGTGCCAGCCGACGGCTCATTTCCAGCTGAGCCAGCCGGTGTCGGCTCACCTGGCGGTGGAATCTTCGAGATTCTCGAAGACGTCCGGGCGCAGCTTCCTGGTGAAGAAGTGCAGGGGGGACGTGCTGTACGTGAGCGACCCGTGCGAGCACGCGCGTGGGGATCGGCAGGACCTCGTGGGGATATACAGAGGGGTATTTCGGGGATTTCTCAAGTCGAGGACGAGGGACTGCTTGATTCGGAGCCGGGTGGAATTTGAGGCGGAGATGCGGTGCCCCTACTGCGGCGCCCGCGTCTGGAGCATGACGGCGGCGAAGATGGTTCCGAGGAGCGCCGCGCGGCGGTTGGGGTCGAGCGACGGCGCGCTGGAGTATTATGTGTGTTTGAACGGTCACCTGCACGGAACGTGTTGGCTGGTGGCGCTGTCGTCGTCGGACGGCGGGGTTGAGGATGCGGATGGATGACGGCTGCCGTCGGAGCTGACAGAATTATTATTACCATTATAGTTGAAAATATAAAATCAATTTGTTTCGGGAAGATAGTCAGCTGCACGTGTTTGCACGTGGTGAGTGGCGACTACTATGAGTGTTATTTATCATTACTATTATTACGTCGGAGCTTATCTTGAATGAAACTTATCCGTGCAGCAGTAGTAGAGTCCAATTAGAGAAGTTCACAAGCCCCTAGGAAGTGTGCGGCATCCAAGAAAGATGACTAATTTGATGAAGAAGCATATTGATGAAGGGTATGGTGCTTAATTTCTTATCTTTATGATATAGAAATCTATTTATCAATTATTATTAATAGTTTTTTTTAAAAAAAAAAAAAAATTATTAAATAAAAATTAATTTAATTCACTATATTACATATAATATCATATTACCTCTCATCTTTTATTTTTCTCTGTCTCTTTAAAAATAAATAAATAAACATCTTTTTTATTTATACTTATATTATATATATATTATTTTTTTATTGCGAAATAATTTTTAAAATATTTAAATATATATTCTAATTTTTTAATTATATATATTAAATTTATTATAAAATCATTAATATAAAATATTAATTATATAAAAACTAATATTATAATTTACTATTAGTAATTAGTTACTGAACAGGGCTGAGCACCTATTATTCATCAATGATAAAAAAAAAAAAAAAAAAATCACTATGACGTCAATTTACCCTGATCATTGCCATCTCAAATGAATCTTGGGGGAGCATTCACTCCAAATTGAGTAATCACTATCACGTCAATTTGTAGTAAGATGTACAATGTCGTGATTGATGAAGATACCTGGACTTGGCATATCTCATATGCTATATTCAAAAGAGCTTTTGTGACCACCTGTATCTTTCTTAAGTTCCAAAATTTCGTAGTGCTTTCGAATTCAAACAGTAGCTTCTTTCGAGGAAAGGAGCTGAACGAATAAAGCGCCAATGATGTCGTGCGCATAAAAATGTAGAAACCTAATGAAAAGATAGATGATCCGAAAACAATTCACGCGTTCGTTCCAGCAGTGCAGAATATAAACAATCGGTGCTCATAAACAACGCTAGCATATCATCAATTTCAAATCAAAAGGAGGAAGAAAGTAAAGTAGTTTCCAAATTAATTTTACTTACCACGGCAGATTATCTTTGCATAACCCTCGAGGATATGGCGCCTCGAATTCAAATTGGACTGGCGATATTCTACAGAAATAAGAAATATCTAAATCTCGATCTCGCCATACGGCTTCGTTTTATGAACTCTGTTGCATTTGGGTTGGGCTGGGCTGGGCAAATTTTCTAATTTGGGCCCATTCTAGAGGACTTCCTTTTCTTTTCTGGCACGTGACAGATTCATGTATAATAAAATAGTAGCAATTCAAACAAAAAGTTACAGAGAGGAAGAGGAATCTGATGCCAAGCCAATGAATTCAAAAGTTACACAAGACCTGAAGTGAAACTCCATCCCAAAATGGATTTCATTTTTCCAATCACAATTCTCCAGCAAACACTTTAAAGACCACTTAAAAACAACCAATTTTCTATACATATGTATACATATATTTCCCATGATGGAAGAGCACCCCTGATTCTAACAACTAAGTACTTATTGGAGTTCAGACACGAATAGAATCAGATGCCACCCCGTGAAATGAGACGAGACTGTTGCCAATGAAGAAAATTTAAGCACAAAATAATATCTTTGGATAGAAAAACCAGCCAGGCAGAAGGAATCTCCTCCATGGCCCTGGAGAATAATGTTGAAAATCTGTCATAAAGTTCTAATTTTAAGCACACGCACAACACAACACGCAAGATTGATTTTTCTTTGCTCTTTGCTCATTAAATAGCCTCCATTCGACGTCGTCTGTAATCAGCTCATCAAATCAATCACTAAACCATATGGCGCAGAAAAAGAACAGCGGAAACACTGAAGGTGTGTGCCAAAAGATCTGCAATGCTGTAGGCCCTCTCCGAGCAACAATCCGGCGACTTTCGCATCAGCCACAGGGATCCATTTTGTCTGAAACTCGGGCCGAGATTAGTAGCAGCAATGCTGCTCCTGTTAAGCACAAGTCTAATGTGATCCCGATCGAGAGTCACTTCCCTGGTAGAGAGAAAGAGATAGTTATTGCCAATGGCCGGAAGTTGGGTAATTCAGCATCAAGAAAGAAAGAGACTGTTGCAGCCCCTGGCCATGTTTCTTTTGCAAGGGGTAAGTCGAGGAAGGATGATGATGCAAAATTTACAGATTATATTAGTAAGGTGAAGAATAGGATGATGAAAGCCATGTCCAACGTTGGCCATGAGAAGGGTGTTTGAGAACTTGCAGGCTGCAGCAGAGAGGTTATTATGAATAAGGCACACAGTGGGGATTGAGAATATGCCAGTTTGTGATTGATTATGTGGAACTGGTGGAAATTTATATTTATCTTGTGAATTTATATATATATATATATATTGTGTTGGGATATGAGTCATATGATTCAACTTGGAGTGAAGTATTTGTGAATGATTAGAAAGTGTGGTGTTCTTAAATATTGCTTTGTTTCATGATTGTAAGTAATACTTTCATTATTCAAGAAATACTGTTGTTTCATTCTGCCTTCCGTATACGATGAACATTTCGATTAGAACAAGGAGCATAACCATAAAAAAAAATAAAAATTGATCCATGTATGAAAGTAACGAGAATAATTTAGTACATCTGATCGAGCAAACTACAGATTAGGAATAAAACAACAACAGATGAACAAACCAAAAGAACCAAAAAGTTTGATTTCCCTGTGATTTTTACCAGAATTAATCAAGACAACGGATCTTCTTGATAAAAAGAATCGTATTTTCAGTTTCTTTCTTTACAAAGAAGAATTTCACATATGTAGCTGCAACACCCCCCCCCCCCCCCCCCCTAAGACAACACAATCGATCATCAGTGGAGCAATCACTCACTCTTCGAGTGAATGCCGGGAAGATCCATAGAGATCGTAAGGAGCCCATAGATGATCGACAGTGCAGGGCTTCTTGGAGTCCAGCCTCAGCCATGGCTTCCCCTTGCCACTCCAATGGAGAAGACTAACAGGGCCAGGATGCAAACCCCGACATTTCCCTTCAAGATTGTCCCCACCTAAACCGTGCTGGTTCCACCTGTGATCTATGGGCTCAATGTTCCCAGCCAACACCAACAAGAAAGGAGGCAGAGAACCCAACTGGTATATCCTCTTCTGTTTCTGTACCACCATCCAACCCTCCACTTTCTTCGAATACCCTCCCGCCCTCCACTTCTCCACGTCCATCACCAACACGCCCGTGTTGAAATAACACGGCCTCCGCCCCTCGAACGCCCGCGACAGTTCCGGGTCGGACCAGAAGGCCGGCGTGAAATAATTCGTTAAATTAGCATGGCAATACTCCGGCGCGGCGACGACTTTCCCCCGCAAGCCGACCTCCCAGAGCTCGGCGATGTCGTCGACGACGACGAGGTCGGAGTCGAGGTAGATGACGCGGGTGACGTCCGGCGGGAGGATGTCCGGCAGGTAAATGCGGGCGTAGTTGAGGGGCTGGTCGAGGGCCTGCCGGACGGACTTGGAGATGAGGCTGCGGACGCGGCCGATCCTGTCGAAGCCGTACAGTTGGAAGCGGAGGTAAGGGAAGGTCGAGTTGATGCAGGCGAGGACGTCGGCGTCGTCGCGGGCCCACACGAAATGGAACGTCACGTCCTCCGGGCAGGTGGAGTGCTGGAGGATGGAGAACACGGCGGCCATTGTGCCGCGGAGATAGTTCGAGTCGAGGGTCATGGCCACGTGGATGGTTGTGGAGCTGGTGGTGGTGCAGGTCTGCCCGTTGCGGAAGGCCGGGGCCTCCCGGAAGGAGAGAGGGGAGCCCGGGGAGCAGGCGGCGGCGGATTGGAGGAGGAGGAGGAGGAGGAGGGTGGTGGTGGCGGCCATCCTGCAGTCATAACTGCGGGAATTAGGGGGATGAGGTGGCAGCCATTAGAGGCTGCTGCAGGGGCTGGAAGGGGAGAAGGTCGTGGGGAATGGGCGTTCATGGAATTCATTTCATTTCATCTCTTGTATCTGTTTCTGTTAGTTTGGAATTTGGGAGGTAAAGAATCGTAATCCGAAAACCAGGGAGAATCGATACAACTCACAGAAGATCATCGTCGATGGGTACACTGATGCCAACCTGCCATTGCATCGACCACTCATCTCCCTCCCTCTCTCTCTCTCTATATATATATAGATATAGATGGTCTACCTAGTTAAGATTTGGGGAAGGGATTCTGGGCGAGATTGGTGGTTCTTGGGGGCTCCCTGGATCCTTGGTGGATGGGCTTGTTCTGGACCTCGACTCCACCAGAATCACACTGGATACTCATATGCAGATTAGGGCCTGATTTTAGGGCTCCCGAAATGCCTAACAGTTGCCATTCACATGTGATTTTTATACTAAGTCGTCTAGTTGAAATGTTATCAATTTTCATTTTTGTCCGTCCCAGAGGTATTTTTGTTTTTATTTTTTTTTATAATCCAATATAATACTAATATTCAAAAATTTACGTGCAAAAAACAAATAACACCTTTCAAACGGGACGGAGGGAGTATTAAAATTAAATACAGTGTGATACTACAAGTATAAAAGAGTTAACAAGCCAATAGTAAAGAATTATATATTTAAACATTGTACATTATACAAATCAACTTTTAATAAATTAAAATTCTTTCATAAGTTGTATCAATGTGTTTGTCAAATTCATATATACCCTAGTATTGTTAAACGTGTTTCTTTCGGTTAAATTTGAAAAATAATTAGTTTAAATTTGGTATTAAAATAATATTTAATACGATATTTTATGAGAGAAAAAAATTAATACAGAATCTAAATAGTAAAATTTGAAAAATTTTGATTACAAAAACATTACCTTAAATATACTTTTTTTCACCTCTTTCTTCATTTCCAAACATAATATATTTTACAATGCATGCTTCATGCATGCTTTCACTTTCTTTATTAGTTAAATCCCAAATAACTCGTGGTGAAATACAAACAATTGCAAATGAGCTTATAGCATTCTAAAAGTGCACCTACATCTTTCTGGATTGTTTCTAGATGTTGAACAAATAGTTGTGGATTAGTATTATACAATATGTAAATGTCATTCATGAATCACGAGATAATGGCTAATACTATTATGATAATTACTAACAAAGGTATTCTAGCTTTGAAAAACATCATTAAGTAAAAGTAGAATGTCAATATAATAATTGTATGTACCTTGTGTCTCAAAAAATTTAAGTTAAATCACACGACACCACACCTTTTAATATGATCATAGTTTGCCATAATACATAAAGATAAAACATTTCCAAACAATTGGCCAATTATTTTAAATAGAATACAATCAATGCTAAATAGCATATCCCAAAACCACATGTTTATGTAAGAAACAACCTGTCATTGTATATTGATTGCATTAGGCATTCTCAAGAGCTTGTCATCAAATACACAATTTACAGCTTCATTAATGTTAAAACACATATTGCATTGCTTGCTTGAATTTGTACATAGTTATCTACATAGTCACCAAATAAACCATAAGCCAACGTGCATAGAGGGCCTATATATTTATGTAATGGTGAGATATACACCAAGATTCAAGTTGCATTATGGCAAATTGGAATTAAGATTACATTTTACTCTACCTTCATTTCCACGCCATTAAAGCTTCTAATGACTAGTAGACTTCTGCAAATTAGAATCTCAACATCATCTAAAGCATCGAGTTTTCTTGATTTTCACATAATCCACCAACATGGCTATTCTTGCAAAGAACATTGGAATCAGCAATTAATAGCAAGGCAAAGCACAATAGCAGAATTTTAGTCAGTCAAGCGGCAAACCTTTCATGACAGAGCAATATCAAGTTGAGACTGTGATGGCTAAATTTGATAACTACAGTGCGAGTTCAAAGCTCGTCTTTGTCAGAAGATGATGTCTGGTAACACCTTTCATCCCAATAATAGGGAAACTTCAATTTTGCAGCAGTATGCGGCACAGTCCAATCATCATAGATGAACCTGCATTACAACAAAATTTCACAAGCTTGTCTTATTTACAGCAGATCATCAATCACATTTTTTCGGCCTAACTATCATCGAAGTGCAACTATGGTCCTTCCTAGAAAACAAATATTAGTCAAAAAAAAAAAAAAGAAATGGAAGCAAGGGTGCTTTAGACAGAAATAAAAGTTTGACAGGGGGGAAATGCTCGACGGACAGCTAGTTGTTAACATTTTCTACATAATTATGTTTTGAAGACAAGGCAATGTGTGAAGGGACGCCAAAATGGAAATCTCCTTTCATGTAAGGTATGCCCTTCAAGTACGGAGGTGCATTGTTTAATCCTAATTCATATTTAATTATTCCAACTAGTCTGCTGCAGGTAAGTTTCTTTCCACAAAGAGAGGATCTTTTCACTCTAATACCATGTTAAGGTTAAATTTAAAGAGTGATGTATCATTGTATTTTTAATTGTTGCAACATTGGGGACCATAAAAGCAAACTCGCAAGCTCCTTTGCATGAAAAATACACACGACCAAAAATCCAAATCAAAATAGGGATGGATTGTATCAATTATAGCCACCAAATTGAAACAATGCAGCAAGAGTAGATGATGTAAGAAGTGTCAAAAATAGAAAACAATAGCTCACACTTTCACTGGTGGTCGAGATATAATAACTAGAAGCTGCAAATCTTCGTGCTCATTTGTGTTCCAAACCTACAATCCATACAGTAATTAAAAGCCATAAATCGGTGAATAAATGTTTTAATGGTAAAAACTCTTTTGCATTGCAAACCAACAGGATTTCCTGATCAGATGTTCAATTGGTAGAACAGGCAGGAAAAAAAGAGAGCATACGACAAGAGATTAATTGTAAATAACAAAATGAAGTCTGCCTCAAATCCGAATACCAGATATTCATAAGCTGGAGGTAAAAAGACAGTGGTAGTTACACAAGAAAAGACACATATTTCATGAGAAATTATAATAAAATGAGAATTAAGCCAATGTACCTGATGCGCATCGTTGATAGGGACGTAGAATGTACCATTTGTGAAAATTGGATACTCCACTGGACTGCTGGGATAATTTTTATGTGAATTTGAGGCAAGATAAAGAGTACCGCTGCCTTTGAGAACCACAAAGATTTCCTCACAGGAATGCCTGTGGATCGGAGTACCAGAACCAGGGGCAAATGTTTGCAGCCACAACTCTACCTGTCACCAAATCATATCCACCCCAACATCAAAAAGATGAGAAGTTGAAAAACCAATCACACAATCAACAGAGACATGCTGAAATTAAACAGCAAGCCAATAGAATAAAATTTAATCAAATTTTAATTACCTCTTTAAATCCGTGCATGACTGAACTGGCAATACTGATGTGGGATAAACCGGGCCTGCCATAGCTATCCTGAACCATCTCACTGATATTCCTGACAATCGGCACCCCTGGCATCCAAATACATACATAATCGGGAAAAAAAAAAAAAAGAAGCTTCAGAACTTGGAGTAAATTGATTTGATGAAAGACCATATAGCATGTTCGTTGAAATGACAGAGAGAAATGAGCTCACCGTTGGAGGCGCAGTGAGATGCTTTGCCAACGGCAGAAAGCAATAGTGCAATCGACAGAGAAATCCAGAAACGGTCCATAATCTTCCAAGAAATGTTCAGTGTCGTAAGCGTATGCGTATAGTCTTCGATGGCGCCTATCGCGGAGAAAGGGCGAGAGGTTTCCAGTGCTCCGCCTACAAATTTTAAATTAGGGCTAAATTTTAACACCGTCTTTAAAATATAAATACTAGTACTATATATTTGTTTTTAATTGTGTCTTTTTAGCTTAATTATTTTCAAAGTAACTTAGATATTATAGTTTATTAAAATGAATAATATTCCATGTTTTCATAAAAATAATTATACAGTATAAAAAAGAAAAAAAAAAGGGAAACAAAAAAAAAATCGAATCCTAAAAGTAAAAACATGTCTATTTTGGATTTCTTTTATATTTTATCTTTTCACTTATACATAATTTTTTATTAATATATATATATATATATTTGTTACAATGCAGTAACATTTAACTATTGTACATAACAATAATAACATTCTATTTTGTTTACTATCATAAAAATTTAATGTACTAGCATAAAATTCGTATATATTTTTTTTTTGTCCAAAATCAATGAGAACAGTATTACAATCTAATAAATATGAGATCCTCTCTCCGCCCAAATTTATTTCCACTTTTCTTTTTTTTTAAGTCTCGTTACTAAAGTCAACAAATTAAACATTTAATTATTACATTTATTTACAACAAATACCACTAATTTTATTATATTTTTTTTCATTTATTTAAAATTTTAACTAAATTTCTAGAAATACCCCAACTAAATCTCCGTGCCGGACCAAATTGTGCTAATTTTAGTGGACGGAGGGAGTAAATAGTTTATTTTTCTAATCTCACGTCTGACATCATTTTTATTCAAACTTTTATCCTCGATTTTTTCAAGTTTTGTCAGTTACACATGGTTAACAGGTATTTGCCTTGTCAGACTTAGTTTGCAAGCTATTAGATTTGACCAAAAAGTTTATAAGGAGCACATCTGAATGAAGTACATGCAACTCGCATGTGACTTCAAACATGACCCGTAAATTTATCCAATATATATACCCAAAACATAACCAATGGAAACCAAACCATGATTGCAGATTTCCACGCCATAGAAACAAATAACAAACCCTTCAATATTGTAAATTAAACAATGTAGGAGCGTGCTAGCAGCGAGCCCCACGCCCCCCACCATAACATATCATATCATATCTGCACATTGTTAATTAAATATCATTATGTATCGACGGTCCACAGCCATAATGTCCGAAAATTCAGCCCCAAAAATAGAGAATGTCGATAGTCACAATAACAATATGGACACAGAGCAGCACAACAAGATCAGATTGATTTACCTCTGCTACAGTAGAGCTGTGAATGATTCCCATCGACTGATGATCAAAGCTCATCACTGCTTGCACTGGAACTTGATTTATAATGCTTTGCATCCCACATGACCGGGAACACCGGAACAGCTGCAGAGTGCGGCGTGAGCCAGTCCTCATACACGAACCTGAATCGACCACACACAGCCTCATTTCATGATATTTTTATTGCATCCACCCGGACTGCCCTTTTTCTTACACTAATCAAGAAAATAATCAGCTCACAAATTCATTGGTGGCCTGGAGATGACAACAAAATACTGCAAGTCTTCGAATCTGTTTGTGTTCCATACCTGTGCTTGATCACAGTACAGCAAATTTAGAAGAACTGAAGCAAACAATAGGTCAATAGCCAGAAATACAAGATCGTTAACTGAAGATTGTGTTTATAGTTTTACACATGGCCGAAGATCAGGTGGATAGCAAAAATCAGCATCATTATGCAGAGACTGGATTTATATATGGCAATAGATTAATTAATAAAAGAGGAACAAATTAAAGTACCTGATGGGCATCATTTTGTGGAACATGAAATGTACTGTTTGTGGAAAAGGGAAATTCCTTAGGGCTGCCTGGGAATTCCGAGCCTGTAGTGGATGCGAGATACAAAGTACCACTGCCCTTCACAACGACGAAGATTTCCTCGCAATCGTGTCTGTGAACGGGAGTATGACCGCCGGGAGCAACCGTTTCCAGCCATACTTCAATCTGTCAAAGTTCAAGGAAATCGATCAGAAACCATTATAAAGCATCTAACCACAAGCTAAGTGGTGGTAACGTGCACAGATCCATTCAGAATTTCACCATTATTGATTATTCCCCTTCCCTATCTCCAGTCTAAACCCTAGGTGAAACGCTAAATGAACAACTATTCAAGCGAAATAGAAGCTCCAGCTGCGCATTTAACTCTATTACCTCTTTAAAACCATGGGAAAGTGCGCCGGCGACTGTAATGTGAGATATGCCGGGAATCGTTTCGCCGTCTTGATTTAGTTCGCGGATATTTCGAACGACCGGCAATTCTGCTTCGATTTCACTTCGCAGATTAGTAGATAATCAAAGTACAATCCATCTATTCCAGCATTGATAAATAATATACTTCATAAGCTAACTGTTGAAAACCCTGAGTAAATGATCGATTCAAACGAACTGTGTAGTGAATAGCAAACCAACTGAAACCTATTTGGAGAACATCAATCTGCTAAGAATTAAAACAGCAAATGGAGAGTGCTTGCCGTCGTTTGAAGCATAGGAAACCTCCGCGCTGGCGGTGAGTAGAAAGAGCAAGTAGACGACGATTAGCTGAGAGCTGATCATTCTGGATTCACGTATTGGATATCAATGTATGATAAACATGTTTAAATATTACCGGGTTTTGTTTGCTAAATATATCAATATTTAATTAAAAATATAATGTATAACTTTTTATAAAATATTTAAAAATCAATACTCTTTTTATTATTTAAATTTATGTTTAAATATTTCAATATAAGTTTTAATAAAATAATATTATTTTTATGAGAATCGAGAATTAAATATTTTGATAACACATTATATAATATATATTAATTTTAACACAATAATATAATAAATAAATTATACAACAACCTAGCAATAAAAAAAATAAATACAAATTTGATAAGGACCGAGTTCAAACCCCAAAGCCTTAGTCATTTATAAACCCTAACGTCTCAAGTCGGTTGTGATAAATATATGCTAATTGATAGTATATGTGTGATTATATACAATTAATTTATATTAATATGCTAACTTATACAGTGATAGTGATAATTTGATCCTCTAAAGTGTTGTCCACCACACAGCCTCCTAACTATTGCCCACCACCAAAATATCCAAAACACTATTGTAATTTAAGGCAACCATAGTGAAAAAAAACAAACTAAAATAAACGAAATGATATAAATAGAAATTCGACACACTGCATGTAAAGTTAAATATTTTATATAATATAAATAATCAAAAGTATTTTTAAAAAAATTTACATACTTCACATAAAAAAAAAAAAAAAAAAATTTAAATGAACATTCAAAGTTTTTTCAAAGATCCATACAATAACACAATCTTCGGGTTTTGGTATTCGATTTTAAAATATTTTTGGCAAATAAGCAACGTCTCTTTCTCTCTGTTATGCGCTGCGATCCCCTCAACGATGGTTCTGTATAAAATACACTCCTTTGTGAACACTTGGCATTGGCAATATATATATATATATTTATTTATCAACTCCCTCACACCATTGATTAATATCAACGCGCACACCACGATCGGGACTCGCCTTCACTTGATTTTCACGCTCCGTGTTCCGGGCAAAAATCCCACATCAACTGGGGTTTTAATCGAGGAACTCCACCTTCTCCAGTCGTTGTATGTAACGAAATAGATTCAGCGCTCGGTTGTGTAGACTCCACTTTCTTCACCGGAAGGGAGTGATTTGTAATTTATTGTATTTGATTTTTATTCTATCCTTGACGGAGGCCGTTCCTGAAATATTGGTGATGAAACTGACTCGTTGAAAGAAGCAAAGATGGGGAAAATATTGGATGGGTTTGTATTGCCCATGCTGCTCTTGACAGGTGGGGAAAATCTCGAATCCTAGTTTGCATTTAATTTAAGTTTTAGCATTTCACTGTATGTTAAATGCTATTGCAAAATAGTTACCAACTGATTTATTGATCTTGTTTCACATTATTACATGTATGCCTATATGTTCGTTACTTTTCAACATAATTTCTTGAGCACACTGAATGCTGCTTGCTGGATTTGGTTTTTGTTTAAGGATTTTTCTGAGTTCTTGTTTAAACTATTTTTTACTTACAATCCGTGTCTTTTTTGCAGCTGGGTTACTTAATTTCAGTTTGATTTCCTTCATCAATTTGTTGGCCTTTCTTCTATTCCGGTATACATCCACAAAAACAGGTAAGTTTTGTTTATGAGGTGGACCATTTGACTTTACTAATTCGTCTGGTGTTGTGATGATGTCATCTATTAACTTAGTTTCAATCCACCTGCTCACATGATGTGTGATGTCATAAGAATATACACAAGATGAAATTTTCCCCCTTCCTCAGTTTTTAGTTACCTAACTAAGTATCTTTGTAATATGTGCAGACTTGCGAACTAGACAACACAGAATCTTATCTTTGTGGTGTGTTTCTACATACTCTGCTGCTGTGGTTACTGTTCAAGTGATTTTCCTTTGTCTTTGTGCAATTGAGGGTTCAGAATGGAGTGTTCCAGATGCTTGGTGGATAAAACTAATTGGATTTATGAAGTAAGACTTATCTATTTTTGTTCCACTAATATTTCTGTATTATAGTCCAATGAGCTAATGGTATCCGTTTGCAGGTTTCAGTCAGGGAGTTCACCTACGGTGGTCTATTTCCTGGTTACTGAGTTACTGATTGGACTTGTTGGTTTCATTGAGATCAAGGAAAACAAATTTGACTGCATTGAATCTCAAGCTTCATGCTGGGGTCATTTGTCATCTGTTGTTGAACAAATAGGTATGTTTTATTTGATTTACTCATGTTGGTTTTGACTTCAAGCTATTGGAAGGGATAAAGCATCTAGTGTAGTAGTTTTATTTGGTGTTTTATGTTTTTAGAGCTGCAATCATTAATTTGAAATAAAAAAAAACAAGCATTCAAGATGAAATAACAATTGGAGCTACTTGAAGATTTGGCTGTGATTTAAATAATAGTGAAGATCATTGCTATCATCTTTTTTGCTTCTGTAATTAGATTATGTTTGGGTTCCTTTGACAAGAAGTTGAGGAGGAGAAGCTTGCTGTTAAACTGTTGATATTATTTCTTTTACTGTAAAGATAAACTTGATACAGGCGATTTTTATCACATCTCAAAGTCTAAGAGTTTCAGTACCATATTGTTAGTTATTTCTTCTGCAATTTTGATTTTCTTGCAGTCATATCAGATTATACTGCTTTGCATTTTTAGATTCTCTTTCTCATGTGTGTATATCTGAAAAGTGAGATTTACACCACCTTTTTATACATACTTGACCAGTTGTCTTTCTTTTTGTTCCCACATTAAAGGTTATCGTCTTAGGCTTGCTTCCTGCTTATTACTACCTGCCGTACAGTTGGCTTCAGGGATCAGCAATCCTTCCTGGCTTTCTTTACCATTTTTTATTTGCAGTTGTGTTGGTCTCGTTGATTGGTCCTTAACAAGCAATTTTTTAGGCCTTTTCAGGTACTTCCTTCTTTTTAGCTTCTCTCTCTCTCTCTCTCTCTCTCTCTCTCTCTCTCTCTCTCTCTCTCTCTCTCTTTCTTTCGGTTTTTTTTTAACCCCTACCCCCTTTCAGAATTATGAATTATTTCCCCTCCTCAATACAATAAAGCAAATGATCTTGTGCTCAAGTGTTAATAACAAGTTCAGTTTTCCATCAGCACTCATGTTCTTATACTTTTTGTGAAGGTGGTGGAAACTGCTTTGGGTGTACTCTGGATTTAGCATTTGCTTACTCTACCTCTATCAGCTTCCTGTTGGATTTCCACACTCTATTCAAGTGATTGCTGACTTTATTGGCTTATATAAAGCATCTGTTGAATCTGATTGGCAGAGATTTTGTTCCAGTATTTCTCTGATGATGTTCTATTATATGGTATGCATCTTTGCTTCAAGTTTTTCGTATGATTGATTCAGTTAAGATGACATTTTGATACATTTGTGAGCTTAATGAGGCTCTTAATTTTTTCTTGATATTGACTCCATGTTGCTCCAACTCTGCTTCGTATGATAGTAAGGAATCGTATTAAAATTTGGAAATAGACTATTAGAAAAATATGTTACTTGTTAGGTTTGAATTTAAATGAGCACGCATCTATATTTAATCTGCATATGACTCACATTGTGAGATAACTTGAAGCATGATGATGCTGATTTTACAAGTTGTCCTATATACACAATTTTTTGTCTTCAATTTGTTGTAGAATGTATTAAGGTTAATATGTGAGTTTGATACTTGAGTTTAGTTGTTAATATCTGATTAAGAGTCCGATATGAAAAGGTATCAAGCTTGACAAAAATTGATCCTCTAGAATAATTAGTATATTGGCCTCTCAATACAAAAAATAATTTAATGCAACGCATCAAACTTTGGAATCCAGCGACATTGCTGGCGTCAACATGGTCTCCGGAGTTTGTTGGTGCAGATGGTAAGATCAATTTTGGGATTGTTTGATTGAGAAGGATTAATTGAAGAAAAGAGGAGATGGGCAGCTGTGAACTGAAGAATGAAGATGCCTGGCTTTAATACCATGATGAGAGAGATGAAGAGAAATGAAAGAACTTGTATTCATTTGAACTTACTTATGTACAATGCAACATGAATATATAGACTCTCGTAGGTGAGGTGAAGAGATAAAGAGGATAGAAGAGTTGACGTAGATGAAATGAACAGACTAACATAGCACATCTAATATTTAATTAAAACGCTAATTAATATCTAACATATATCATAAGGGTTTCTGGTAGTACTAATACTTTTATGACTGGTGATTAATAGACGACCATTGGGAGGAAGAAAGGCCAAAGTATGCATCAATGTTGAAGTCATTTGGTACATTAGGAGGTTGATCAGTTGATGAGAATGCCATTGATATGTTTGGAGAATGGGAGGACACTTGACTTACAGGTGAAATATAGAATGGTAGGCAGTGAATTCTATTATAGGATGATTATCAGTTATGCTGGATTGAAATTATGGAGATGTCTTAGATAAGTGGAATTTATACAAGCATAGTACTTTTGAGTGAACTTTCCAAGTCAAGCTGATGGCCTTGGCGGCAAGTTTACCTTTGTCATATGTTAAATCATGAACAAAACATGTACAACCAAACAAATAAGGAGTTAGATAAAAAGACTAGTGTAACATATGACTTGTTGTAGGACAAATGAGGGCATGTGATTAGCCAAATAACAAGTGGTAGATTGTGTTATAAATGGCGAGGCACATTTGAATGTGGGAGAAGAGTACACATTTTTTCAACAAGATGTTGGTGTTTGCATTCAGCTGCACCATTATGTTGGAGTGCGTGCACATAAATTATTTGGGATTAATCTCCCTACCGAACATAAAAATTTGAAACTTGCTAGAGTGGTATTCACATGCTTTATCATTGTGGGAAGTTCTCACATACATGTTGATTTTGATTCTGTGTCATATTGCTTTTATAAAGTTAATCTTTTCATAAATTTTTCATCTAAGGTATTCTTCAGTAAAAGTTATCATTTGCAATGTGAATAATGTCAAGAAATGTAACAAACTAACAATGTACCAAAAATCACAAGTCGAGACAATTCGATGTAGCCCTCTTCTAATTATAAAAGAGCACATACCTGATTATTGACATAACTCAAAAGCTAAACATGAATGTTTTTTAGCCTTGTTGGCATGACTCATGATCAAGACTATCACATCAGAAAAAAGGAGCCATCTTCTAAGATTAGGCTGATCAATACATCAATAGACAAAACGTAGAGAGAAATTGGTGCAATCATTGGGTGATAGTAAGAAAAATGGAACCATACACCTTATATACCTTGTATCTAATGTTTCCCTTTTATTTTGATCCTATTCTCCATTTTCCATTACTTTGACCTTGTTTTTGTTCTTCACACCCATTTTGAAACATGTATATTAAGTTGCACAGGTGCTTCTTCTTTTATGTTTTGCAAATATTACTCAATTTCAATCCTTCATGACATATGTGGGTGTATGTTTATGCATATGCATGGATACATAGAAGAGACAAAAGAAACAAGGACAACATACTAACTCCTTTACATATCTTTTCACCTTTCATCTATGGGAAATAGCGTTTAGAAGATCTTGGAGGAAAGGAAATTTCCTGCCTCTGATTTCTATCATCTACAGTAGCGGTGTGGTTTGAAAATTGTGGATGCCCTTTTGTTCTTCTCATCACTGTCCTTAGACATCCTCTGCAGTCTTTCCATCTCCAAATCAGTTTGAATTTGATCTACCAACACACTTGACACTACGCACACTGTTTTCATTTTGTAGCATTTGTCTTGCATGAAATTTGCCAGAATCACCCATGTAGTTCCTTGACAATGAACTGTAACTTATCTTGCTTGCATGAAGAGTTTTCTGCTGCCTTGAGTTGGTGCACAAAAAATTACTCATTCTGAAATATGTCTGCAGCTGTCTTTCGTAAGACATGATTTGGAAGACATGGAGTTTATGATGTCCATGAGAGAAGGAAGCTTCACCGAGCGCCTTCTTCCCTCAAAAAATTCGTTCTTTGTTCGTCAGCTGAGGTGGTTGCTTTTGTCATTGATCTAAAACTACCCTCCCTTCTGTTAATTCAAGCTTCCGTATATCACTATACCTGTATGCTGAACTTCTCAGGCTTCAGAATGACAACCTTAGGTTTTATTTCTTTCTTACCATTCTAGGGATTTCATATTGATTTCTTGTGGATTTGTTTTGTTTGTTATGGAAATTGGTTGCCTTTTTTTTGTGGTTATGATGCTGAGTTTCAGTAGCAGCAAATTTTTTATGCTATGGTTTCGTACTATCTTTGCCTTAACAATTTTGTTTAATATTTTGTGTGTTTTGCAGGTCTGGTGTCAGGCATACCAATATTTTACTAAGAGGGACAGTTTTCAGGTTTTTTAGCATCAACTGGTTTACTTATGGCTTCCCGGTATGTAGTCACTAACTTTAGGCTTATTTATATGTTTGCATCTCTCTTGAAAATGTAGTCTGTGGATGTTACAGTTGTGGTATATGCATTATGAAAATATTGCATCTCTCCACATTTCCCTTGCTTATGCATCTCAAATGTGTGTGACAGATATCTTTGGTTGCTCTTGCATACTGGAGTTTCCATTTTGCAAGTATATGTGCATTTGGATTACTTGCGTATGTAGGGTATATTCTCTATGCTTTCCCGTCCTTGTTTCGGTTGCATCGGTTGAATGGTTTGCTTCTAGTGTTCATTCTCTTGTGGGCCATCAGCACATATGTTTTCAATGTGGTGTTTGCATATGCGAACTGGAAGCTTGGGAAGGTAGCTTCTTATCTTCATTTGCATCTTCAGTTTGGAAGCTCCAATAGGTGGATGAAATTTGCAATTATTTTTCTGTTCTACACAGGATATGGAGATCTGGGAAATGGTTGGGCTATGGCACTATCCTATCCCTGGTTTCTTCCTTTTAGCGCAATTCTGTCTTGGGATCCTTGTAGCACTTGGTAATCTTGTTAACAACTCAGTATTTCTCTATATATCAGATGAGGAGAGACAATTCTCTAATGAGAGCAGCACTGAGGAAGGTCAAGATTCTTATATTAACAGTTTTAGTCTGCAATACATTTACAAACACACGTACACACAGATATATATAGATATTCATTTAGAAAACTCTCTGCCATTTTTGCTTCTATTTATGTCTTGAACCTTGTTATGGTAACATTGCGACTAAGCACGAATCTGCTGACACATGTCTTGTATGATTGTGAATTGGTTGGTTTGTCCTATTTGTAGTTAGAATAGTTGCCCAATTATTTTGTTGTGTCCTGTATATGCCTTATTAATTCTCAGCCTTCCTGACTGTTAGGAAGGCTTTTAGTTTTCGTATGTTTTCACAATAAAGGCTTCTTACAATTTTTTTTTCCTGAACTTTTTCATCATACTTTTCCTTGTTCTAATCTTTTACTTTCAGTTTCTCACAGAGTTCGATGTTGTAAGGATAATTCTTTTGGAACTTTTTATGTTTTCATGGAGATTCTTTTTATTTCATGGTCATCTTCTCTTTAATGTTGATTATCACTTTGTGTTTGATGTATATGGTTGCAGTTAAGGAAGATACCAAGATATTGATTGTGGCTACCATTTTCTGGGGAATCCGCAAATGTTCTCGGGCTATCATGCTGTTTCTCATTTTCATGATTGCACTAAAACCTGGTTTAATTCATGCTGTTTATAGTATGTCAGAGTCTTAAGCAGTCAATTTTTCTCTGCCATTAATTTCCTTTTTTTCAATATTCTCACTGTTGTCTTTGTTTTCAGTGATATTCTTCTTTGTGTACCTTTTGAGCCATAAGATCAATAAAAGGATGCGCCAAGCCCTTGTTCTTTTGTGCGAGTCACACTTTGCAATCTTATACATCCTTCAGCTTAACCTTGTGTCCAGAAAGTTGGAGCAAAAAGATTCTATGAGTGCAGCAGTGCTATCACAATTAGGTATGGGATTTATTCATCTTATATTACCTTCACATATGCATAATCAATGTTCAATATGTCTAATCTCTACTTTCTTCCATTGACTTTTATGTTCTTTTACTTTGTTGATGCATTAATTGTAGGTCTCCTTGAGTATGATAGTCCTTGGAATTTCCTGGAAATAGCTCTGCTCGCATGCTTTTGTGCTATTCACAACCATGGCTTTGAAATGTTGTTTTCATTTTCTGCCATTGTACAGCACACACCTAGTCCTCCAGTTGGATTTAGCATTCTGAAAGCTGGTTTGAATAAATCAGTTCTTTTGTCAGTTTACGCAACCTCCAACACCAGGGACAATCTTGAGAATCATCACCATGGTATGGTACTGTAAACTTTTCCAGGGATTAATTCTTATTATCTTACTTTTAATTTGGATGCAATCATAAATATATCTTGGTACCAGAAATGTAATTAGCATCACATTTTAGGTGTCTTATTTTTTCTGCAACACTATACCTGATCTGCATTTATTCCACTACTAGGAAAAAATCAAGTGTGTTAGATATATTGTATATATAGGTCAATTTTGCATTTAGAAAAGTGTAGGGACCTTTTTTGATATTTTAGATAATTTTTATCTATATTTTAGGGTTTATTCATGTAAAGTGTATGTGGCACAAATGAGATTTTTGAATGATTCAACGGTCACCTGTATCTTGATATGTTAATTTTTGTTTACTTTCCAGAAAGAAGGATAGCTTTGTATCTGAGTGCAGTTGGGGAGAAATTTTTATCAATGTATAGGTCATTTGGGACCTATATTGCTTTTGTCACCATTCTTCTTGCGGTGTACCTTGTGAAACCTAACTATGTATCATTTGGTTATATAATCCTTCTCCTTGTCTGGATAATTGGAAGGCAATTAGTTGAGCGGACAAATCGGCGCCTATGGTTTCCCCTTAAAGCATATTCAATTGCGGTTTTCATTTTCACATATATTTTAAGCATTTTTCCCACTTTCCAATCGTGGATGTCCAAGAAAGTTGATCTCTACTTATGCTTTGGCTATGACACTGAAACTTCTTTGTTGGGAAATCTTTGGGAGTCTCTAGCAATTGTTATTGTTATGCAGCTTTACAGCTACGAAAGAAGACAAAGCAAAGACAAGAAATCAGAAAATGTTGATTCACTGCAGCTGGGGATATTGGGCTTTATCAAACGGTTTCTGATCTGGCACAGCCAAAAGATTCTGATTATTGCGGTGTTCTATGCTTCAATATCTTCACTTAGCGCATTCGGCTTTGTATATCTTCTTGGTCTTCTTTTGTCTTCTATATTGCCTAAAGCTTCTAGAATTCCATCCAAGTCATTCTTAGTTTACACTGGATGTCTGGTGGTCATTGAATATCTTTTTCAGATGTTGGGCAAGCTAGTTAAAATGTTTCCTGGACAAAAGCACTATGATTTGTCCCTTTTCCTTGGATTACAAGTGTATGGGCAAGGTTTTGAAGGCATCGAAGCAGGGTTGAGGGGAAAAGTTTTGGTCATTGCTGCTTGTACTCTTCAATACAATGTTTTTCGGTGGTTGGAAATAATGCCTAGCTTTCTTTTGAATTCTGGGAGATCTGAGGAACCTTGCCCTTTATTTGTTTCAGAGGCAGATGTGTCTTCTGTTGTCTCAAATTTCAACAAGGATAACCCGACTATATCTGAATCTCATGAATTGTCACCGGAACAGTTGAGAAGCAATTCATGGCCATCTTTTAGGCAGAGTAATCATACACATCCTCAGGATTTATCAGGAAATGGGGGTACTGAGGACAGAGGCAGTACCAAATTGTTGTTTAGCTATCTCTGGGGAAGCATGAAAGAAAGTCAAAAGTGGAATAAGAAAAGGATTGTTGCCTTGAGACAGGAGAGATTTGAGATGCAGAAAACTACTCTAAAAGTATATTTGAAGTTTTGGATAGAAAATATGTTTAATCTCTTTGGGCTCGAGATTAATATGATGGCATTACTATTAGCTAGTTTTGCTTTGTTGAATGCCATTTCAATGTTCTATATTGCATGTCTTGCTACATGTGTTTTACTGGCTCGTCCTATTATACGGAAGCTATGGCCAGTGTTTGTCTTTTCGTTGGCAATCATTCTTCTTGCAGAATACTTGACATTGTGGCAGAATATAACACCTTTTAGTTGGCATTCAACTGAAACCCATGCTCGTTGTCATGATTGCTGGAGAAACTCGAAGATGTATTTCTCCTATTGTGTCAAGTGCTGGCTGGGTATGATTCTCTTTCTTTGTCACTAGAAATAGAAAAGCTCTATACTCTTTGTGTGTGTATACAATATACATTTCCTTTTCATTCCATGCGTGTAAATTAATTTTATGTTTACTTGTATTTGATTCAAAACACTGGAAACATTATGGAGGTTTTTATTTTATACATGTCAGTGCTGTACACTAGGAGAAAAAACCACTTGAGATAGTAAAGAGTTTAAACTTCTTCATACACATAATGCTCATCAGAAATCTTAAAGTGTAGTAAAATCTTATTGAGGATTCTGGCAGGACTCACAGTACCTGTAATAAAGATAACTTCTGAGCGGAAGCAGTTGAAGGGCAAAGAGGGTTGTTATTTTGTTTGTTATCTTATGTTTTATTACCATTTGATGAAAGCTTCCAAAAAGCTCTCCTTTTCTTCATATATTCAACACGCCTTCTCATGCCACATTAGCATATTCATTCTCAAGCAATTCCTAATCACGAGCTTGATGTCTTTATGTTGAATTCTAGGTTTTTAACGTTAGAGACTTCCTTGATTCATTTCATTACTTGTTTTGGCAGGGATTATAGTTGATGATCCTCGCATGCTAATAAGTTATTTTGCAGTATTCTTGCTTGCCTCTTTTAAGCTCCGTGCTGATAATGCATCCAGCTTTTCAGCTCCGTTTACATATCGCCAGATGATTTCTCAGCGTGAAAATGCATTTGTTTGGCGTGATCTGTCTTTTGAAACCAAAGGCATGTGGACATTTCTGGATTATTTGAGAGTGTATTGCTATTGTCATCTATTGGATCTTGTGTTGGCTCTGATCCTAATTACGGGAACTTTGGAGTATGACATTCTGCACCTTGGATACCTTGGTTTTGCCCTTATTTTCTTCCGCATGAGGCTCACCATACTAAAGAAGAAAAACAAGATCTTCAAGTATTTGCGAATTTATAATTTTGCTGTAATTGTTCTCTCGCTGGTCTATCAGTCTCCCTTTATTGGTGATTTTAATGCGGGAAAGTGCGAAACAATTGATTACATATACGAAGTGATTGGTTTTTACAAATATGATTATGGATTTCGCATCACGTCCAGATCTGCTTTGGTAGAAATCATCATATTTGTCCTGGTAGCTTGCCAATCATATATGTTTTCTTCGTCTGAGTTTGATTATGTTTTTCGATATCTTGAGGCGGAGCAAATTGGTGCAATTGTAAGGGAGCAAGAGAAGAAAGCTACTTGGAAGACCGAACAGCTGCAGCATGTTCGAAAGTCTGAAGAGAAGAAACATCAGCGTAACCTACAAGTGGAGAAGATGAAATCTGAGATGTTCAATCTACAAATACAGCTTCATGACATGAACCCCACCAGTGTCTGTACTGATCCTTCACCAGCAAATAATGGTCTGAGAAGAAGGAAAAATGCTTCACACAATCTGCAAGACACTGGTCATGTTGAGAGACTGGATGCTGGCATCAATTCTGATTCAGCTTTGCCATTTCATGTAGAATCTTCTAGTAATTTGAAAGCTGAAAGTCCAGTTCCTTTTGATTTTAAGCAACAGAGGGATACACCCATTAGTGAAATAACTGAACTTTGGGATTCTGCAAGTGATTGTGGCAATGATACTGACAAATCAAAGAAAGATAAACTCCAATCAAAGGAAAATCCTTTGGCATCTGCAGTACAATTTTTAGGCGATGGGGTTTCTCAAGTACAGTCAATTGGGAATCGTGCAGTTTCCAATCTTGTGAACTTATTGAACATTACCCCTGAGTATTCAGATTCTAATGAGCCCTCATCTTTGGAAGATGGATTTCCAGATGATAAAATAAGCACAGAGCAGACACACCTGAGTAGTTTGTCATCTTTTCACTCTGAAAAGAGTAGGACTTCAGAGTCTGCAAGTCTGCAGATAGGTCGAATACTCCATCATATATGGTTCCAGATGCGTTCGAACAATGATGTGGTGTGTTACTGCTGTTTTGTTATTGTTTTTCTTTGGAATTTTAGCTTGCTCTCCATGGTATACTTGGCAGCTCTGTTTCTGTATGCACTCTGTGTGAATACTGGCCCAAGTTACATCTTCTGGATTATTGTGCTGATTTATACTGAATTTTATATCTTGATTCAGTATTTCTACCAAATAATGATCCAGCATTGTGGTTTCAAAGTCATGTCGAACCTGCTTCGTGAATTAGGCTTTCCAACCAAACCAATAACAGCATCATTTGTAGTCAGTTTGCTACCTTTGTTTTTAGTTTATTTATTTACTCTAATACAGACCTCCATAACTGCAAAAGATGGTGAGTGGTTTTCAGTGGGTTTTAGCAATTGCAAAGGGGGCTTACTACATAGAGAGGCAGCTGACATTGGCTCCAGCTGGTGTGAACAAGTAAAGATGATTTTCCAGTCAGTGAAACGAGTGGTTGAGATGGTTATCATTGGTTGTACTAGATACTGGAAATCACTAACGCAAGAAGCAGAATTTCCTCCTTACTTTGTTCAATTATCAATGGATGTCAAAGTATGGCCAGAGGATGGGATTCAACCAGAGCGAATTGAGTCTGGGATAAATCAATTACTACTGCTCGTACATGATGAAAATTGCCAGAACGAAGTGCCTAAGCGTTGCCCTTGTGCCAGTAAGGTGCAAATTCGAAGCATTGAAAAAAGTTCTGAAAATGCAGATGTGGTGTTGGCTGTTTTTGAGGTGATTTATGTTTCTTCACCAAAAGACTGTAGACCAACAGAACAATTCAGATCTCTGACTCCAGCAGCTGATGTAGCCAAGGAGATTCTTAAATCACAACAGCGGGGGCTCTTTGAAGAAGTTGGTTTTCCCTATCCCATAATGTCAATAGTTGGTGGTGGAAAAAGAGAAATTGATCTTTATGCATATATATTTGGGGCTGATTTGACTGTTTTTTTTCTGGTTGCCATATTCTACCAGTCTGTTATAAAAAATAAAAGTGAGATTCTGGAGTATTATCAATTCGAGGATCAATTTCCAAAAGAATTTGTGTTTGTTCTGATGGTAAGAGCTCATAATTTCCATTTCATAGAATATGGGAGATTGGATAAGTTGAAAATATATGTTAGGAATGAGAATATTTAAGTATTATATGCACATAGATGATGAGGTTTTCCTCTAGGAAATTATGTGACTGGTTTCTCTTGGTTCTATTTTTGTTGTGCATTGAGTTTCACTTTCCCATTTAAATTATACTTTTCTAATGCAGGCAATCTTTTTCTTGATTGTTGTTGATCGTGTCATATATTTGTGTTCATTTGCCACCGCGAAGGTTATCTTTTATGTCTTCAGCCTTGTTCTTTTCACCTGCGCTGTAACAGAGTATGCTTGGAATCTGGATACTTCACAGAAGAATGCTGCTGCGTTTGCTCTTCGAGCAATATATCTCACAAAAGCAATTTCGTTTGCTCTGCAAGCCATTCAAATTCGATATGGCGTGCCCCATCAAAGCACATTGTATCGCCAGTTCCTAACCAGTGAGGTTTCTCGTGTTAACCATATAGGGTACAGGCTATATCGTGCTTTGCCCTTTCTGTATGAATTAAGATGCGTCCTTGATTGGTCTTGCACAACAACATCATTGACGATGTATGACTGGCTGAAGGTGGGTCTTCCCATTTTACAGGATCTGCAAATTTACTTGAAATTCATGCACCTATTAGCATTGTCTAATATCTCTGTTATTCATTGGCTCCACGATGTTTTATGGTATAATATATTCAAGGAATTTTATATAGTTACAACACTATCTATATCTACAATGAACTTTCTCTATATAATTTGGGTTGCCAGTATGAAATAGACACTGATGTTCTTTTCTCCTTGTTTTTCAGTTGGAGGACATAAATGCTAGCTTGTACCTTGTTAAATGTGATAATGTTCTGAACAGAGCTGCACATAAACAAGGAGAGAAGCAGACAAAGATGACAAAGTTTTGCAATGGCCTGTGTCTGTTCTTTGTCCTTATATGTGTTATCTGGGCTCCAATGCTGGTAATAAGTTAGCAACTTAATTCTGATCTAAACTGAAGTATTAAAAAGATGCATATAACCCTAACCCTTGCTCGCCAAACCCTAAACCCACCTCTGTTTAGTTTCATTTCTTAATGGAAGTTCTTACATTGCCATGCTAATTAATTTGATTGGTTATTGATATGTGGTGGGGTGTGTGTGTATGTGGAGGCGGGGGACATATTGGTTGGAATATGCTATGAACTTTGGAACTTGGATCAAGAAAGGAAACGAAGAAGAGACTCGATTGTTTACAATACATCATAGGTATTTATAGACACTCTATGTAGATGGGAAAGGACGAAAAGAAACAGAGCAGTGGAGTTGAAACGAACATACAAACCTACACCAAGTAAATAACAAACTCAGTTAATACTTATAATTATTATAATAGAATGTAAGCATCACACATTTTTCAACTTTAAGAATTTATCAAGACCCTGATACTAGTTTTCAATTTTTAAATGTGAATGAGCTTTATAGAGATATGCTGATTTGTTGGATAGGCTTGTGAATATCACATGGTGCTCACAAATGGCATATCCAACAATTTTATCCTCTAAAGATCTGTTACAATTCCACAAAAAGGATTCTAGAATATGGAAATCGGTTTTGAGCAGCACTCTAAGCACTTGCTATATGTGATTAAGAAGTTTGATGTTAACTAACTAATTGCTCCATTCTTCGATGTAATTTCTACTTTAATCTTAATGAGGTTAGCTTATATCCGGAATGGTGTGAAACTTTAGACAGGCTAATGAGCAAGTTACGGAAAGTGATAGTTTTGACGATATTTATTGCTAATTTGAAATGAGAGAGATATCCTTCTCTTGGGCCTTTAGGTGCTTAAAAGTTATGTGTTTTCTCTGTTTCAATAAGTTTTCTTTCTGATGTTCTTCAATTGTGAACAAAATTCAATTTGCTGATTCTTTCATACTGATTACCAAGTGCTCATGGAATGTTCCATTAGATAACAGCTACAGAACTTTGGTTATCAGGAGTTCTAAAGCTGAGCCTGACCTGTTCCTTGCAGATGTACAGTAGTGGTAATCCAACAAACATTGCAAATCCAATCAACGATGCAAGTTTTATGTTTGATATCAAGACAATTGGTGGCAGGTTGACCTTCTACAAGACAACACTTTGTCAAATAATTCCATGGGATCAGTCCAATGCAAGTGAGCTTGATCCCAACAATTATTTGGATGCATATAATGTGAATGACATTCAGCTTGTTTGTTGCCAAGCTGATTCAAATACACTATGGCTTGTCCCTGATGTGGTTCAGCAGCAGTTCACCCAGTCTCTTGGGACTGGTGAAATGGATATAAGGTTTACTTGGATACTCATGAGGGCCCGACCAAAAGGCAAGGAAATGGTAAGATTTGAAGGAAGTGTCGACCCAATTGATCTTCCAAAACCATCAGAAGTTCAAGGTGTACTCAATGGTTCCCTCAGCAGCTTTCGGATTTATGATATTTATCCCAAATTTTTCAGGGTCACCGGTTCGGGGGAAATTAGACCTTTTGAGCAGAAGGTGTGTCTTTTAAACTTCATTCTCTTGTCAATACATTTGATGAATAACTCATAACTAATGCTTTGCCATTTATCCTTTTCCGACTGAATGCTTCAACTTACATAGGTCTACAAACTATTAAAGGCAATAGCTATTTCTATTGTTTGGATAAGTATCTATCAATGGGAAAATGTGAAGCACTTGTATCATATTGCTAGCATGTTCCTGGTAATAAATGGCAACACTGAGTACTTTCTTGAAATAAAACAATCTGAAGTGCAAAACCATGTTTCATTTATTGAAGATGGGTATATATACTCACAGAATAGATTTTGTCTACATTCTCCTCTCGAACAAAATCTCATAATATGTGAAGTCAAGATAACAAATGTAGAAAATATTTGAGTAAGCATATGGTACAAGTAGATAAAAGTTCATGTTTCAACAGTCCAGCTCCAGACAAAACTTTTCCCTCTACATGTCATGTCTCATATATTGAAAGGGATTTCTTCGATTGCTACTTGTGAATGCAGCTTGAGCCTTGTGCTAAATTATAACAACTTGTTAAATTTTGATCTCCCATTCTTCTTTAAACAGTATCTTCACAAGTTCTGCTTGTTGAGTGGGCATGTTAAAAAAAATTAACTTACTGGAGGCAAAACATAGCTCTGTACTAATCAAGCTGGATTCTTGCTTGAATATGTTTGTTGTTTCACTATACTCAAATCTATTTCTTTTCTATTTCTCAAATGACTGTTCAATTTAATTTGATTTGCTGATAGTTACATGCCAAGCACACAAAGTTAAATAAATGAAGGGCATATGCAGTGTTCCTTCGATATAAGTATTAATGGTAATTTGACTCTTGTCGATGTCAACAGGTGACTGATGTTAGTGCTGATGTTGTCTTACATCACAAGACATCTCAATGGTGGTCCTTCCACGATATTAATGCATCTGGCTGTGGAGGATTATCCGGCCCTATGGCTGTGATTGTATCCGAGGAAACTCCCCGTAAGTATTATATAACTTAAACACCCTTCCTTCCCTCAAATTGGAACATGTATAATGCTGTTCTTTTGTGTATGTATTTACTCCAGAAGGATTTCTTGGCGAGACTCTCAGCAAATTCAGCATTTGGGGTCTCTACATCACATTCGTCCTTGCAGTTGGCCGTTTCATTCGAATGCAGTGCTCTGACCTACGAATGAGAATACCATACGAGAATCTACCTTCCTGCGACAGGTAATACCAGTTCTCATGTGCAATCCTGTTAACTCCTCGTTTTTTCAGCAATGCCAATCTGAACCATCCTTCCGGTTTCATCTAGGTTGATTGCCATCTGCGAAGACATTTACGCCGCAAGAGCAGAAGGCGAGCTTGGAGTTGAAGAAGTCCTTTACTGGACACTGGTAAAGATTTACAGATCGCCCCATATGTTGCTCGAGTACACCAATCCCGACTGAGACCAGCACAACATGGCTTCGGCTTCACAGGACACTAACCAACAGTGCAAGAAATCCAGGCCTCTATCTATCCTCTTCAACTTGTGATTGTTCTGTAAGTGAATTTTTTAGTGCAATACATACAGTTATGTACCTCTGTGTAGAGAAGCCTTCTGAATTTTGATACCCAAACTCTGTATATAATCTTTATTTGTTGTTTTCATTAGGGAGGAGGAAGGCTGCTTCTAAGTTAAAACTGTCTCATTTGTATTTCTTGTTACTCTGTATTTATATTTGATTTCAAATCAGTGAGAGCATATATATAATTTTTTTAGTATTTGAATTTAAATGGTATTGGATGTAATGTTAATGAAACTTATACTTGTTAATAATATATTAAATAAAATATAAGTATTTGATTTGATAATTTGAAAGAAAAATATATTTGTAATTAAATAGTATATAATGTGATGTTTTTAATGAAAGAAATATCTTTTTAATAATATTATAAATAAAGTATTTGATTTAATAATTTAAAAAAGGAAAAAAAAATCATGAACTGTTCTTACTAAAATCAAACCTAAACACAAAGACCCTAAATCATCATTCAAAATTATACGAGGGCAAGTCATATCAAAATATTTGGTGGGTGGGATGGTCTTCATTGATGACAATTTGCATTTATAAAGCAGTTTGCCGATGAGGTAGCAGATGAATTTATTAAATATGTTAATATAATGTTGTTGCCTTTTCTTTTCTTTTTTTTTTTTTTTAAAAAATATAATTTATTCATAATATTATATTTAAAATTATTTTAGAATATTATATTTACAATTGTATTTTTCGTTACAAAAATGTGAAAATTAGAAAATTTCAGAATATTATGTTTCTCAAATATTATTTTCATGTAAATTTAAATCAATTTTTTTTTTAAAAGAAACACACCCTATAAAAATACAGACAATTAAGGATGTCTTTAAAAAATAAAAAATAAAATTGAGACAATGACTTAAAATAATAATAATAATAATAATAATAATCATTGTTTGATTATTACTTGCTTCTTGACTGTAGTAACCGCAGTTAAAAGGCAAAAAAGGATCTGGTAGGAAGAGGGTAAAGGTTAACTCGTGGTTTGGTCAGGGTCAGACTCGCATATATATTCGCGGCGACGGCTGCAGAGTGAGAAGCGAAATAGCGACATTGCCGGGGAGAGCAGCCAGCTTCAGAATCAACAGAAAGTTTGTGCGCTAGCTGCTCTTCTTCTCAGACCATCACCGCCGCCGCCGACCTATCAATACCTTTCATCTCACACCGTTTCGTGAGTGCCTTATTCGTTGATTGATTGTGTATCTTTCTGATTCTTCTGGCTCTCTATATTTTTTAATTTGGTAAAGGGGCTATTTCCTCGCTTCTTAATTGCGTTTTGCTCTTGCTGGGTTTTGAGCTTCATCTAGGGTTTTTGGTTTCCTTTGCTTATTGCAGCGATTTCTCTGGTAGATTTTAGTTTTCTATTTTTCATGTATTTACTGATTATGCTAGTTCGTCGAGTCTGCGTGCTGTGAAGTTTATATATTCTTAGTGTGGGTTTCTGGTTTCTGGTTCTAATGGTGATTCATTTCCCTGCCAATCAGGAAATTGTTTGAGAAAGAAATTTATTTACTGAAATATCGCAGGTATCACTAATTCTTCGCTGTCTCTGAGGCTTTTCTTGTTTGTACCGATCATTTTTGCTGTTTTATATGTGTGTATTGTGTATCAGTAGATTAAGCAAGGAATTTTGCTGCTGGGTTACAAGTAACATTGGCCACAGTGTTCTTGTGTCTGCCCTGCCCTAGTTTTCTCCTTGGACCTTGACCATTATTAGGTTGATTTATTGATCATATTCTTGTTTCCTGTATTGATAGAACGTCACTACCTTCCAATAATGCAACTATGTGGTTGTTTTCTATTTACTGATTACTTAGCTTTATTTACGGTGTACGTGAATGGGAGCCGTCAAATTATTTGAGATATCCAGGGGTTTTGTTCTTAGGATATTCATAGGAATAATGGCCTTGTTGTCCTAATATTACCCAGGGAATTGGAATTGGAAAGTTGGATGATTTGTGCCCTCGAAACAAGTTTATTGGTGTGCTGTGTTGCTGATGGTAGCCATGAAGGGTTTGTTGATTGTATCAGTTTGTTTAAGCTTGCTGGATCTTTTCTGCTTCAGTTATCCCCAAAGTTTCTTTGTAAATACAAGTAGCTTGTGTGCAATCTCATCTTGTTTAAGTCTGTTTTAAGATATTAAGATATTTGCTATCTTGCCGCGATTTCATTCTTCTATTCTTTATAAATAGACAATCTAGGATGGTGTCACTTTCTATTTATTTGTTATCTAGAAATCATCATGCTATTCTTCGTTCGTCATTATAAATAATAAAGTTTAGTTTCTGCTGGTTCTTTTTTGTTTTCTGCATGTTAGGAAACATATTCATTGGTTGCTGATATTAAATTTTCAGCTACATCAAAAGCTTGTGTTGGTGGGGTTCTCGCTACTTCTGTTGTCATCTAGAGAGTGATAGATGGGTGACAACGACAACACTGTTGGCAGTAGCGCTGAAGGACTCCCAACTGGTTCTGTCAGTGAGAAGGGAAGTAGAAACAAGAGGAAATTTATATCTGATATATCAGCCGATGCGCCTGTAGACGTATCAACTGTGTCTCTTACAGAATTCCCTAGGTATGAGATGTTGGAGGAAAAATTTCGGACTGCTTTGGATGAATTGGGGTCGATGATGGAGATGCCTGATGGCACAAGTGAGCAGGAAGAAGAAGAAGAAGAAGATGGTGACGAGGATGATACTGATGAATACTTGCTGGCTGATTGGGATGATCCTATTGCATGTCAGCTTGAGGAACTTTTGACAAATAATTTGTTTACGACATTCTGTACTGCAGTAAAGAAGATAGTGGATTGTGGGTACACCGAGGAAGTTGCTGAGTGGTCTGTTTTGAATAGTAATATGTTCCATGGTAGTAAAGACCCTGTATCTAATGTTGTTGATGGGGCTTTGGCTTTGCTAAAGAGGGAAAAGGAGTTCAATACACCCAAGCATTCAATATTCGAGGGACTTCAGAGCCTGGTGGACTACACATTACTGGAGATGGTTCATGTGCTTCGAGAAGTTAGGCCAGACGTGACTATTGCAGAGGCTATGTGGTGCCTGCTAATGAGTGATCTGAACCTCTTAAATGCATGCCTGGTGGATGGAGGCCAGTTTGGTAAGGAAACACCTTGGGAACGCTCAACATTATCTCAATTGAAAGGTGAAACTCTTGACAATGGCCAATCAGATTCTGATAAAATCAATGTTCTAAAACAGATGATGCCCTCTCTTGAAAATTCTCAGCAGAAAACAATTGGTATTGGATCTGCCCTGCAACTATCACACAGCAAATCAAATCCTGGTGACACTGCAGTTTCTGGGAATGCAAGTTCTGTTGTCCTCCAAGAAGCAAAAGGAACATTTTCAAGTCAAGGAATCGCCTCGGATGAAAAATATGGTGTTAATAGAAAGGGATCATCGTCGATGACTGTCAAGAGAGATATGCTTCGGCAGAGGGCACTTCACTTTGAGAAGAACTACAAGGGTCGTATGTCAAAGGGAGCTTTTAAGGCCAAAGTTGCTGCCTTGGGAAGTATGATGTTGGAAAAGTCATTGAAGTCACAATCTGGTTTGTCTAGTGTAGTAACAAAGGGAACTTATTCGAAGTTAACTACTTCAACTGGAACAAGCAGCTCATATGTGGAAGGAAGACGTAGTCCTTCGAACAATCCAAAATCTGATGCAGCATCTGCTGGTGCCCTGGCTGCCAAAGATCCCAAGCTTGCATTACCTGCAACAAGTCCCAAATCTCCTCTATCATCCAAAACAGATCTCGAACTTTCTGGGAAGGGCAAAATAAAGACCTCGGATTCTTGTAAAGCTACTGATTATTATTCTTCTGTTCTATATGATGAAGCTCTCCAGAAGCATGTTGCACATGATGACAGGGATAGGGCCATTTTGATGCTTGTGCCTCATAAACAAGCACTTGAGAAAGAACTCCAAGGTTGGACAGATTGGGCGAACGAGAAGGTTATGCAAGCAGCAAGAAGGCTTGGAAAAGACCAGGGAGAGTTGAAAATGTTGAGACTAGAGAAAGAAGAGACTGAGAAATTCAAGAAGGAGAAGCAAACGTTGGAGGAGAGCACTTCAAAGCGACTGTCGGAAATGGAATATGCTTTGGGCAATGCCAGAAGCCAGATTGAGGCAGCCAACACCACTGCTCAGCGGTTAGAACAGGAAAATGCTGTCTTGAAGAAGGAAATGGAGGCTGCTATGTTGCAGGCCCTTCGATCTGCTACTAATTTGGATGAAGCTACACAGAGGGAACAAGAAACACTGAAGAAAGTCCAGCCATTGGATGCTGAGAAGAGTTTACTCCAGGAGCAGCTGACGAATCTGAAACGCCATGCAACAGAATTGGAAATTCAGCTCGAAAAGACTAGAGAACGAAAGCTTCAGAAACAGGTAAGCCCTGCCAGAAACAGAATTTAAATTCCTTTTCACACACTTCATCTCTCTGCATAAACTGGTCTTCTCGGAACATCTTACAGGATCTATGGCTGCAAGAGGTGAACGAGATGTTGAAATTATCAAAAGTGATGAAATCCTTGAGAGAAAAGAAGGATGAAGGCGAGCGATTGACGAAAGTAGAAGAGGACAAAATAAAACAGCTGGCGCAGAAGAACAGAGAGAAATGCGAAGAAGACATTAAGTCACTCGAGAGCATGATCTCCGAGCTGAGACTCGAATCAGACAAAATGCAGATAGCTGCGCTTAGCGTCGGGTACGGCAGCTGCTTGGCAGGCGAGAACATCTCCACAAACCCGGCATTGAGGGGACACACTAAACCGAACAAGAGGCTCGCCATGTTCGAGGAGCAGGATGTCAAACCCGAAAGAGAGTGTGTTATGTGCATGACCGACGAGATCTCTGTCGTCTTCCTCCCGTGCTCCCACCAGGTTCTCTGCAAGCAGTGCAGTGTTCTACATGAGAGGCAAGGGATGAATGATTGCCCTTCTTGCAGGACAACCATCGAGAAGCGGGTATCGGTGACTTATCGCGGCGGCGGCGGCAATGGCGATTAGCTCCCACCCTACCCACCCCTACCCCCACCCCATCTCATCTCATACCGTACCATCCCATCCCATCCAGTTTTGGGAAGTGTTTGTTATATTAAGATTGGAAAATGGTGGCCGTGTTTTTAGCGTAGCAGCCGTACAATTCAGGCATAAAATAGAGAGGTAGATAAATAACTTATTATTACATCAAGAATCGATCGAATGGATTGGTGGAGTCGCTGTTATGGTATGCATGCCTATCTGTCTCTATCTATCAATAATTCTATATATAAATTATCCTTTCATTTAGAGTCCGTAATTTGCTCTACTTAATATTATGTGTACTTTTTGGTGCACCTATGGAATTTAAGATTTAAAGAAACACAAACAAACACATCCTTAGATGACCTAGCGGTAGACGGAATTGGCATGTTTTAATTCCGTGCATTTCTGCCTGCGCCGGCCGGCCGGCGGAGTTCATTGTCTCCACTGGACGATCATCTTTACTTCACAAGTGCAGTTTGGTTTTCTCTTCTTGTTTTTTCATTGTTGCGGGTGCAGGTGGATTGTTTTCGACCTAAAAAAAAGAAAACGCACCGCCATTAAAAGATCGAATCCAATACGCGTCGCACGCACGGAGGGATGGATATATTCTCATAAATGCAGTCTTCTTCTTCCACTTTGTGTCAAGCGGCAACGGCATCTTATCCTCCAAACAGGTAAGATTTTGACTGAGAACAGTATTGGCATCGTGGAGAATTTAATAGCTTCGGGGGCCCATCCATCACAGGGGGACCAAAAATTGAAATGAAACGTACGTAGAGGTTTTTACTATTGGTTTTGGAACGTAATAGTTAAGAAAAGAAACAGAAAAATGAAGATAGCATTATTATTATATTCCCTAAACAGAATGATTAATATATTAATTACTAATTAGTGGGTGCTCTGGTTTGGCAAGTCATTTGTTGCGTGTTAGTCCCATCCATCACACACACACATATATATATATATCATATATGTATATATGTAGCTGCAAGATCTGCTGTACCCTGATTTGGACTGCGTCCTTGTTCTACGGTCGAGCAGCGGAAAGCGTTGGGCACTAAGCCATGGATATCGTGGGGCAGTTGCAGAAGCAGTTTGTTGACTTCTCGATTTCTCTCTATCATGAGGTGAAGTGCTTTTTTCTATTTTTGGGCCGAATTCTTAGATTTTTCACTTTTTTTGGTTGGAAATTAGAATGCAAAAATTTCGGGGGTTTCCACACGAGCTCTGCTATTTATTTTTTTTGGATGTAAATTTGTTATTTGTGAAGATCATCGAGGGGAATGTGATTTGCGTATTGACAATTTTGTTTTATTTTCTGGTTGCCAAAACTAGGGTTACTTGGATGATCAGTTCTTGCAGTTACAGAAACTACAAGATGAGAGCAATCCAGATTTCGTCGTTGAAGTTGTTTCACTTTTCTTTGACGATTCGGAGAAGCTCCTGAATAATTTGGCTGTTTCCCTGTCAGCTTCATTTCATTGTCTCATTGTTGTTTTCTTTGAAATTGTTGTCTTGTGTTTTCATGTCATTTTCATTAATTTCAATTTTAATTATGCAGCCAACAGCAGTTTGTGGATTTTAAGCAGGTCGATGACCATGTTCACCAGTTCAAAGGTAGCAGCTCCAGGTAATAACCCTTTGATTTGCTATACTAGTTGAAATTGTAATTATTTGGAGATTTCCTTACTCAGCGTATTTTTGGATGAATTGCTTGTGTATTTTTCATTTGAAATTTCAAAATCGCTATGCGGATTAAGAGGAGAATGGAAATTCAGGCGGGCTGAGATTCTGAATTGACAAATGATTTCCCTCAAAACTGTAGTTGTTACTTTTCTTGAAATTTGTTTCTTTTTCTCTCTCTAAAATATTGTCAAACCAACAGCATAGGTGCACAGAAAGTGAAGAATTTGTGTGTTGAATTCAGAAACTACTGCGTAGAGAAGAACCTCGACGAGTAAGTTCCATTTTGTAATCATTTCTACATTTTCTTATTAAGATGTGATCAGCTTTTCTGAGTTAATCAGGCACACAGTAAATTGAAATATCATGTTAAATACATTTTCAGTTTTACTGTAAACTAGGATGAACTTTGCAAGACTTTATAGATGCTAAATTTGCATGCAAAAACTTATTGTGAATTCTTGTGAATTGTAGTGATACCTTATCATTGATTAAGGTAATACCCTTTTACTTTTACTAAGTTGATTGGAGAGCTTAGCAAGGATTCTAGATGCTAAATTTGCATGCAAATTTTTTTGCAAGTTCCTGTAATTTGTTCTAGTTCATCATCATCAATTAAGGTAATGGGGCCTTCAACTACTATAAAATGACAAGTGTAAATAATTTTTGCCATCTAAGGGTGGAAGTGTTCAAAACTGTTGTGTCCTGTTGGTAACGGTGATGTGCATCTTAAGATTTTCTTGCACTGTTCCAAATGGTTGAATTTTTATTTTTGTTATTTTTATAAATCTATTCTACTTTATCTGTGCAGGTGTTTGAGATGTTTGCAGCAGTTAAAGCATGAATATTGTCTCGTGAAGAATAAACTGGAAACATTGTTCAGGGTAAGTATCAATGGATCATCAAATTTTAGGATGAATATCACTTAGCATCTTATGAATTTTCCATTGAGAACTTTCTTATCTATATATAACCAAATTTCATCTATAACCTTATCAAAATCTTACATTCATTTACCTACTCTATAACTCCATCCTGTCTTGAGTTCAGTTGATGTATCTTTGTCCAACAACGGGTCATATATCTCATAAGTTAAATGGAGGATTTTCATGTTGTTTCTTTTGCTAATTAATCTTCTTCTTTTCTTTCTATTGTATTTTATGTTTTCCAAATGTCTACTTTAATTATTTTCCCTCCCTTCATCCCTTGGTTTACAGTTCCTTCATGGAACTGCTAGTTGTTGTGATAACTATCCTTGGAGATTTAATATGTGAATGCAATTCCTTCCTTTTACTTAGAATTCCAACGTGTTTACATTATCTTTGTCATATGCAGCTGGAGCGACAAATCTTGGATGCTGGTGGGACAATCCCCTCAATAGCATAAGTATCTGGAGCTATTAATATAAAAGGGTTGTTAAGGGACCTAGTTGCTGAACTAGTAAACTCTGTAAGATGATGTACTGATTCCGATCTAGAATCCTTGTCTTGAGTCAAATGTCTTATCGTTTATCGTTGTATGCCTTCGACATAGCTGTTTATAAACAGTCCAGAGTTCAATTTGTTCATGTCTCTTCCCTCATCTCGACATTTGTTTTCTCATCTGCAATATACCGTCGATTTATTGTAATTTTACCAAGACAGCCATCTAGATCATTATAGGCAAGTGGCTGATTATATATGGCTTATATCATTTGACATGGCACCATTTGTTTCGTCTATTCCGGGTGAAGTTGATTTTTGTCTTCCATTGCCTCATACTTCTTGAAGGAATTGTTATTAGCCAAGATTCAATTAATCACAGATTTGCCATAACTTTCTACTTTACTTTTCCTAAGTAGGTTGCTTTTACTTTCAGCCTGTGCTTCATTTGGCAATAATCAGCTACCAGTGCAACTTGTTGTGCCATATTGGGGCCTTTTACAGCTATACTTGATTTACTTTTTTGCACACTTCACTTTTGGGAATATATGTTGTTTTCTTCACATTGGCTTTTCAGAATGCACTATGTTTTGGTCTCATCTTTTTTTCATTGTCACAGACAGAAGCACACAGACAAAGCCACTGATCAGAACTGACAACAACACTCTTTTTACTGCTTTGTTTTGTTACTATAATCATTTGCAGATAAGTAGATTAAGAAGCAGTGAGAGAGCAAATGGACTTCATTGAAAAGGTAATTTATGGTACAGCTTTTCATTTTCCTTGGAAAGATCAAATCTAATTGCTGTTATTTATGGTAAATCAAGTACTTGCAGCATGCATACTTGAACCATGTGACTTCATGATGGCTTGTTTGATTTGTTCAATACCATCCATGAGATGCAATTAGGCATTTGATTAATTTAACATTTCTAGTATTGGAAAAGTAGAAAACACATCACTAACCCTCCAAAATACTTGAGAGATATAAAGATTATTACTTCATGCTTTTGAGTCACAACTGTCATAACTATTTAGGTGTATTATACATGGAACACACTTCCAGGCATAAGGTAATAATAGAAATGAATTGCACTCTGCTCCACCACCTCTGCTAATGATGATATCTGCTTCAGTCACTCTCAGTAGCCAAATAAACACTAGTTGGCATGGCATTACTTAACTATAATTTGTATATTGTAAATGCCTGCCAATAGTTGGTCAAGTGTATAAACCAATCTGTTTTTGAAGAACACAAGAGACTACAGTCAAGTGGTTGATGAGTTCTGCATACTTTGCAATAATTCAAACATTAATATAAGCTGCTATTTTTGGTTGGGGCAAAGTTAATAATGGAGGAGGAGCCATGCATGACATTGATCATGTAGTGATAAAATAATTTTTTGTTTTGGTAGATTCTAGTTGATGCGACTGCCATTTCATAATTACATTGGATGCTTAGATGTTTGTGTTGAAATGTTTGATAAAACTAATTATTTAGTATTTTAGCTATTTATTATTTTTAGAATTTATATATATGTAGTATATTTAATAAATTAATTTATTACATTAATAAATTAAAATAATATATTTATTTTTTTTTTTTTAGCATAAAATTTATGAGTGTGTTTATTTGTGGAATTTGATTTTCGGCTATACTATTTCAAATATTTTTTTTCTCAAAAAAATATTAAATCAAACATTTGTTTTTTTATTTATTATTACACTAAAATTAAATTGTACATTCAAAATATTACATCAATATATATCTATATAAATTTATATATTTACAAATAAAATAATTTATATATACAAAATAATTTTCATTGATTTAAAATTGTAAAATTTAACTTAAGCGAGAATAAATATATTAATTACTCAGTAATACAATAAAAATGGCAAAAAAAAAAAAAACTAATTTTGAGATGTTGCATTAGGAAAAGATAATTTAACAAACGTTTCAAGTTATTGAATAAAATAAAATTTTATCAATCAATTATTTACCAAAAAGATTCATTATTTCACCATCATCGTTTCATGCTAACTTTAATGCTATTCATCCATTTTGCATTCTAGCTGTTTGTTTATTGTGTAATTATTCTTTGGGAATTAAAGACCTCTTAATCTGAACTCTTGTTTTTATCCTTCCAATACAAGTAAGGCAGCCGATTCTTAATACACTTGGCCGCCAAGTCTGTTAAGGAGAGCAACAGTCAATGCACAACAGGGAAAGGACAAGTACCCCGTTCAGGAGGTCCAAGGATCACAGGACCTTCCAAGGTTGTGTAGTCTGCAAGGCCTGTGAATCTGTGATCAGTCAACATCCAGCTGCCGCCCCCCCACCCTTGCCTACGTGGCACGGTCCTGGTAGGGGTCACATTTATTACATGCATCCCTCGAAAATTAGGAAAACACACACATACAAGGAAAAGTAAACCGACTTTTCCAGTACACAAAAACGAGTCCGAGCCTGATAATCCTGGTGTCCACGTAGGCTTGGACAGCCGTTTGCCGCTCCGAACCTCACGATTAAATATATCCACAAACCCATCCCAGTCCCAGATATAACTGATAAAAAACTCCATTAAAAAAGTGAATAAAAAATTAAAAACCCTTCTTGTACTTGCTGCTGCTGCTGTGTAGACAGAGACACAAACGCATACCACCAGATAAGAGAAACCACGTTAACCTCCTCCTGCTGCACCACTTGATTAGTCCTCCAATTTTCACCCTTTCACACTTCACAAGCCAAGAACCCTAAATCCAATCCCCATTTTAGCTTTCATTAGAAGCCATTACCCATTTTAGCAATTCTGTTTTAGATATCGCTGTTTCTGTCCCTCCGCCATTAAAGGCGGAAGCACACCTTTTGGGGATAATTCAGCTTCGATAGCAAGCAATTTATATTAGAGAAGAGAAAGCCACCATTTATAAGCCAGTCCATAACTATTCCATATTCGTTTTGAGAAAGGGAGGAGGGGAGGGGAGGGGAGTTAGTTACCCGTGGAAAATGAGCGCTAATTTCGGGGTTACGTTTGGTATCTGTTTGGTCGTTTTGCTGTTTCAGTGTGGAGTTCCGTCGCATGCGATGCTGAATCCGATTGATTTCCTGGCGCTGCAGTCGATCAGACGGAGCTTAAGGGATTTGCCTGGCTCCAACTATTTTTCTGCCTGGGATTTCACTTCCGATCCCTGCAAGTTCCCCGGCGTATTTTGCGATGCCGATAGAGTCGTCGCTCTCAATCTCGGCGATCCTCGGGCAGGTTCGCCGGGACTCACCGGCCGCCTCGACCCGGCGATCAGTAAACTCTCCGCTCTGGCAGAGTTTACAGTCGTTCCGGGTCGGGTATTCGGATCATTACCTCAAACCTTGTCTCGCCTGAGGTTTCTGAGGTTTTTGGCCATTAGCCGGAACTACCTCACCGGAGAAATTCCGGCGACCATCGGCCAGCTCCGGGGGCTACGCACGCTCGACCTCAGCTTCAACCAACTCGCGGGGAGTATTCCTCCTTCAATCGGCACGTTGCCGGCGCTCTCGAACCTTATCCTCTGCCATAACCGCCTCACCGGTTCGATTCCCCCGTTCTCCTCCCGGACGCTGACCCGGATGGATTTGAAGCACAACGATCTGAGCGGTTCGCTGCCGGTCCACGGACTCCCGCCCTCACTCCAGTACCTCTCACTCTCATGGAACCGCCTCTCCGGTCCAGTGGACCGGGCCGTTTCCCGCCTAAACCGCCTGAACTACATCGACCTCAGCCTAAACCGCTTCACCGGCCCTATCCCGGCCTGCCTATTCACCTTCCCTATCAGCAACCTCCAACTGCAGAGGAACCAATTCGCCGGCACGGTCCAGCCGGTTCAGCCGGTGAGAATCCAGACCGTCGACCTGAGCTACAACACATTGTCCGGCCATGTATCGGCGATGTTCTCGAGCGTGGAGAATCTGTACCTGAACAACAACCGGTTCACCGGGGAAGTCCCGCGCAGCGTAGTGGAGCAGCTGCTGGCAGGGAGCATACGAATACTGTACCTGCAGCATAATTATCTGACGGGGATCGTCGGGATTAATCCGACGGTGCAGATTCCTCTAAGGTCGTCGCTGTGTTTGCAGTATAACTGCATGGTCCTGCCCCTACACGCCTCGTCCTGCCCCCTCAAGGCCGGGACCCGGAAAACCCGCCCAATGTCACAGTGCCGTGAGTGGAAAGGCTAATTCTAATTCTGTGGTAAAAAACCAAACTAAAAACCAAAAAGAAGTTTTTTTATTTATACCTTCCTTGGTATAATTGTGGATAATCAATGGGGATGAAATTGATAGAAGATTCATCAGACAATCTTTTGGTTGGGTTGGGTTGGGTTTTACCTTTTTGTGGATGGAGAGTTAACTGGGTTTCTTGATTTACATGCACAATAGTGTTCTAACTAATGATAACGAACATACATTTGCTTGACAGGACTTGTCTCGTTTGTACCTTTTTGTCTGTGGTGAAGTGGCCTTGAGTAAGATGTCTGTGGGATGGAGGAACATTGCTGGCATTTTGTCTTGTTCACTTGAATTGGGAATCATAAGTTAATTATCATATTTGGGTTAATCATCACACCCTTTTATTAATACCAAGTGGTAATCAAGTAAACTGACAATAAGTGAGCGAATGACCTTTCTATAAGTGCTACTTGTTGGACTACTTGGGCCCAAACAAAAATGAATTGGGCCCATGTCAAGTGCTGTTCCAAAAGGCACCACACAGTACAATACAGAGCAGCTGAGGGACATGATCATTAATTATTTGATGTTGGAAGACCAGTTTTATGTACAAACCATATATAATAGAACACAAATTTTTTTGGGGAGGCTCACTGCTTGCTTTCTTCATATATCATTGCCTGCCAGGATACAGATAGGTGGTGGTGTATCGGTTTTCTGCATTGAACTAACGAGCTGAACCACGGGTGTCGGAGTTTGTAGGTCGTGGAGGCTCTCCGTTTCCGGGGAATTCCCACTTGACGATGTCTCCATCCCATGAAGAAGTTACCAACATGGGATAATATGGGTGCCAGCTACAGTCCCTCACGGTCGATCTGTGGTGCTGGAGCTTAGCAACCTGTGCACCACTCACCTGCCACTCATCAATAGTTAGATTAAAAGAACAAGAAATCTATAGAATTCACCAGGATTGGTGTGGAAAAAGAATACAGTGGTTAATGATCATGGTTTCTGAAAACATCAGAATCCCAAGCTTGCCATCCTCCAAATTTCGATTGGATTTGACAAAATTAGGCATCAATCTATATCTTTGATGGATTTTGAGAATCTCCATTGCAGGGTTCTTGTGATTATTACAGTAGAGATGATAGGGGGAAGAATTGCTAAAGTAATATGAGTTAGTCAAGGAAGGTGTCTCACACGTACCAAATCATAAACATAGATGTTCGAATCGTGAGATCCTGTGTAGATGTATCTCTGCCCAGTGCTGCATTATGATGATAGAACACAAAGCATGTTTTTAGATAGCTGGATGCATAGAGGTACCAATAAGATGCTCTTGCAACCAACCTATATTCGGGCGAGAAGTAGCAACGGATCAGTGTACGCAGGACTGAGTGGCCTTTATATGTAGCGATTGACTGATCATACGGGTGCTTCATGTTTCTTGCACGCTGTGGGTATTCCATCCACCTGTAATCCCATTCGTAGTTTCTGTATCCTCGATAACTGTTCAAATGATCAAAGTAAAGTGTAAATGCCACTTTCCAGCCTTTAAAATTCTATCTCTATAGCAGAAAACAGTGTGAACTACTGAAAAACCAAACCATTGTTAACATTTTACCAATACAGAGGCTAAACGAATCCTACCAAGTGGTATTAGAGGACAACTTCCGCACATCCCAGAGTTTGAGACATTGATCTTTGCCATTGGATATTAAATATCGACCATCTTTCCGACTATCAATAAAGGTAATGCCTTCAAGGTGACCCATAAGGACTCCAGCCGGTTTGCCTTTGTCTCTGAAGCAGCGCCTATCCCAAACCTATATCGAATGGCAAGAATATATGCACATTTCATCATTCAGACACCTTCAAATAACAGTGCTTTAAAAGGCCTTTCAACTAAAGCAAATGATGGATGGCATAGAGGCAGGATAATGAATTACCTTACAGAAGTTATCGTCACTCCCGGAATAAATGAGATGGCCACTGTCATCAGCAAAACATACAGTGTTCACGTCAGACTGCATAAACAAGAGAATGTGCACTGTAAACTTCATACTAGGTACATTAATAGTAGTTCTTTCGGTAGATTGTCAAAGATTGAAACTGAAGCAAATAATTGATCCACATACAGTGAAGATAAAAGTTAAAAGAGAACTTTCCACAAATTGTCTATGAACCCATGACGCAGCTTTCACAATTTGCAGATAGTAAGAGTCATATCTTCTTCAGTAGGTAATCTGATTAATAATAGTACTACTTTCATGTAATAAGTGAAAGAATTTTGTCCACAAATGGTTGCCATTGTTGCATTTGATTTTCAAATCTTGATAGTATGAAAAGATCAAGGAAGGGAACTACTTATTTAAGAAAGTGAGCCATAAATGAAGGCAGAAAATATAAGAGGCTGTGAACTGTCTGAAGGAAGAATAAAGGAAGCAAACTTTACCATGTGTGCTGCAATTCGAAGAGAAATTTTTTTTGCTTCAAGGTCATACACATAAATATCACCATTGCTGCTCCCAGCAACAACTTCTTGCCCATCACATGAGAATTTGACAGAGAAAATTCCAAAAGAATAATCCTCATCATCAGAAGTAAAATCCAAACCATCATGGATTTCCTGCATAACATAGAAGCATCAAAGCAATCATATATATTTAAAAAATCAAATGATTGTATGCATTCACTCGGAATAAACAATGAATAAGCCAAAGCATCAATTAACTACACATTTTCTATGTTAAAAGGCAAAACACATTGCTACCTAGGGTGTCCCTAGGAAATCATCACACAACCAGGGCATCAAGGTCAAACTCAACCTGACGCGAACTAAACAGAAAAGGATATCATATATGATTAGATTCATGTTTTTGGCTTATAACACACTTCTCTATGCCCAGAAAACAATGTGATTCCATTCAAGAACTCATGGAAGTGTGCTCAAACAATTTGTGTCATCGTTTTGCTAGGACATGTGGTATGCCTCTTGCTTGCTCATGTTATTTATCTTATAGAGATAAGAAGTTTGGGATTGAGAAGGACAAAACAAAAACGTTGTTTATTAGTGCAAACAACTATTTCAAAGGAGGCGGAAGAAATTAGTAAAATGCCTAAAATGTTAAGTTTACATAGGAGGAGCTCTTTACATTATAATCAGCACAGAGGAGAACTTGAAACCATCACTCTTTTGCTCAATGAAACCCCGGGAACAAAATTTAATGATGCAGTTAGTTACACAAGCCACTTCAATTTAAAGGGAATGCCCATGAAAAATTCACTAGCATGAACCAAAATGCATAGAAGTAATTCCAGAAGTATGAAAAAGTAAACAAACAGTTTCTTACTGTGATGTTAGCAAGAGATTGTTTTGTGCCAGATCCAACATTAACAATATGGATAGTTGGTGATATGCTAGCATAGATCTGCAAAAACAGCATCCAAGTTGAGGTGAAAAATGTATACAGACAAAAGAGAGAAAAAAAAAAAGAAGAAGAAAGAAGGTAAGTGTAATGGTTAGATTCTACTTTGATAAACCAATGCAACAACTTCATTATTCACTCTAAAAAAATAGCCGAGATATATCCTTGCAGCTATCCAGTTAAGGTTGTTTGCCAAACAAAGGCTCAACTATAATACATCAAACTGACCAGCTAATCACCCACATTTTAGAATTTCTAAATACACCTGAAATAAGCTGGTGAGAAACAACAACCTGGACACTTATTAACAAGATAGCGATAAGCATGGTAAAGGTTGTCGTCATATGACAGTAATTTTTACTATTGAAATGCTTGATAACTCAGGCCAGAATATAGCTGGAAGTGTTATTATAAGATTTAACTAGAATGAAGCTTGAATTAATTTTAATAGCTCAGCACTGGCATCCAAAAAATACACTAAGACAATGAGGCTTAATTAGTGTAAAAAATATGGACAAAATTTTCTTATGACAAAAAACAAAAGCACAACTTTCTTGCCAATAAATATTTGGTGTGATTCAATTATAACACTGAGTGAAAGATTAAAATTTTGTTCAATCAACTGCTGCACCAGAACTTACAAGGTGTCGCTGATCTGGAGAAAGGGATGTGTCGGTGATAGTCCATCTTAAGCTTCTGGCCAGAATATTTTTCAGAACTCTCCACCCAGCATCAACATCATATATTTTAATTTGACTTCCCTGTTCCAGAAAAAATAAAAAGGATAGGGATCAATGAAGAAGATCACTCTGATGGACTGGAAGTTACCTAGTTGATTGGGATACAGGCTCTCACTATAACCGACTAACTTCACCAACGCTAGAGGCTAATTTTGTAATAGAAATCATAAGATTTTCTATTGGACTCATTCTTAGATCAATACCTGAAATGCAGCCACAAAAATGGAGCCATCCACAGAGAATTGTGATACATAAGCTCTAGTAGACATCTGGTCAACAGGGAAGGGGCCATTGACAGGAAGATATCTACTAAGAACATGACAGCAGTCTCCAGCTGAGAACCTTCCTCTTCCAGAAACATTAGCTTCTCGGCCAGCCAACATCTTCACCGTTGAAATGGGAGCCTTGTGTTTCCCTGGTATAACTCGGCTAAAATTTTCATTTGGTCCCGATTGAAGCTTTGTTAAGTGAGCAATATCATGTCCCATCGAATCCAACTGATTAGGACTTGGATTGCTACCAATATCCTCCACAGAACCATCACCAGCTCCACAATCAACATCCAATTTACTGAATGCATATCCCATACTGTCAATTCCAGCGCCTTGAGCCACAAACCACATTTTACAGCCCCCCAATGGTTCAAGTTTGGCACAGGATGCACCTGATGGAGTTAATACTTTATACCATTCTCATTAATTTTTCTTCCGATGGAAAACAAGCAAAACCACAAAGCCCAAACCGCAAAAGCTGGATTCATAATCCACCAATATGCATTCCTAGGTCCTGCAGGCAAGGCCATACAATCATGCAATCAATCACATAGCTCAGACTCAGAGCATCGACTATAGTTACGTGTATGTTCCAAGTATCACACAAGCTTTCAAACTCACGGTATGCTACACCTCAATCAAAGCAATCGAGAAAACTCACAAAATAAAATTAAAAAAAAAAAAAAAAACTGTAAGGCAGCAGCAAACCTTGGCAAATCACAAAAATACGCAAAATCAATATTCAAAAACTGCAGTACACGCATAAGCCGAAAGCACAAGGACGTAAATTTTCACACACACATCGCTGACCCGTACAAATCCTTCCTCTTGAGTTGGAGCGACGACCGACGATAATTGTTAGTCCTGATGGGTTTCCTTCTTTATCCAGTCTTAGGCGTAGATAGGATATATCCATACCTAAATGCCGAGCTCCTGATTGCAGCCTGACTTATCTCTTATTACTATAATATAATACAATTATTAGTATATGATATTCTTACATCAATTTGTTATAATTATAATACAATTATTAGTATATGATAAAAATAAAAAAATGACGCACGTGAAAAGCGCGTGACATAGCCTTAATTAATGAATTGGGCCAGAAATTTAATTTGGGCTAAATTCGAATCCAGGCCCTTAAAATAGGCCCAATCCATCAGATTTTCACGCGCCAAAGTTTCTCCATTAACACCAAATTTTAAAACCCCTTTTGGTTTTTCGCTCCAATTAAATCTGTTGCCAGCCTGGCGATCCGCACCATTCTCTGTCAACCAATCAGATTTAAGCACTAGTTTCTATATATTTTGACGTCCCACTGAACCTCATTTTCATCGAGGGCTTCTTCTCCAATCGATTTCTGCATCTGTTAAGGGACTTTTTTAGGGTTTCGGACTCACACATTGCGTTTCGGAAAGATGAGTTCTACAGCGGCGAGTTCCACGAAAGGCGGCAGAGGCAAGCCTAAGGCTTCGAAATCCGTATCGCGTTCGTCGAAGGCTGGCCTGCAGTTTCCAGTCGGTAGGATCGCGCGTTTTCTCAAGGCTGGGAAGTATGCGGAGCGTGTTGGTGCTGGTGCCCCTGTTTATCTCTCCGCAGTTCTCGAATACCTTGCTGCCGAGGTAGCGTTCGTTTCTCGTTGCCCTTGATCTTTATGTAGAATATCTATGTTCGTGATTGCCATTTTGATTTGATTCTTTTCTGTCTCTTATAATTTCTTGTTTATTGAAATAATTCGTTTAGGTTTTAGAGCTTGCGGGGAATGCCGCAAGGGACAATAAGAAGAACAGGATTGTGCCCAGGCACATCCAGTTGGCTGTTCGAAATGATGAGGAATTGAGTAAGTTGTTGGGGAATGTTACTATTGCAAATGGTGGCGTGTTGCCCAATATTCACCAGAACTTGCTGCCGAAGAAAGCTGGCGGGCAATCCAAAGAGATTGGATCAGCGTCGCAAGAATTCTAGGTCTTTTTGAGTAGGCCGTTGTGGTAAATGGATATAATCTATAAAGGTTTTGATTAATCCGGTGTGCACGATGTCTGGTCGATGTATAAAGTCCCCATTTTGAGTTGATCGGTTTTGATATAATGGTACTTCTGAGATACGTTAATTTCTTTTACATCAGTGTTTTATTTTGATATATTATTTCTTCAGTTGTCTTGTAAATTTGATTTATTACGTGATTAATTTTGGTTCCAACAATCAGATGTTACGTCTTGTCGGTGGAAGATGCTATTTTTAATAGTTGAAAAGTTACAGACCAGATGAATCCTGTGATCTCAGTTTGGTTATATATATATGTGTGTGTGGGAGGGTGTGTATTCCTTTAATTATTGTATATTAAAACAAAGCTGCTATTGGTGATGAACTTTGAAAGTTATCTTGGTTTTTGGAATTAGCTTGACAAATTTCTTTCTTGCAGAATTATTTGTTGTGCAGCACTTTGCGAGGTTTTATTGTGGGCAATATTTTTATCCTTTCATCATTATACTAAACTATGGTTTTAATGTACAATATAGTTCTTGTTCTGTGAGAACAACTTTACACACATAATTAAATGTATATTCCTTACTGATTGTTAAATCAGTATTACCCTAAGCCTGTTTAACTGAACAAAGCAATCAAGCAAATAAATTGTACTGTGAATGTCTTTGATGAATGATTGTCTCCTGACAGGGCTTTACTGTTCCTCTGGCACTGGTGTTTTTCCTTGATTCATTGTTTGCTTGCCAGTGTCTTTTGTTTTCAACTTACTTTGTTTTAAAATGTTAAGCAAAATGTGGTTGCTATTTGTTAATATGAGCTGCATACGCAGGCAAGTTGGTGTATAGTTTCTTGTAAAATCTGCTGACTTTAATGTAAAGAGGAAAAATGAATTAATGGCAAAGCTCTCAACTGTTATGTTCAGCCTCCTGTTGAAGCTTGAATTCCATGACAAAGCTTTGAACTGTTGAATTCCAGGGGTTGTCATTTCTCATGTCTTGCTTGCTCGCGTGCTATACTGTGCCTTTACCTATAGCTTTTCTTCCTATTTGTATGCTAAATGCTAAGACTTGTACCTATTAGGTTTAATATTTAGCAGATTGTTAGCATGTTTGGATGAAGAATGCTGAGAACGTTTGCACAATTCACTTGAGATGGTAAGGAACCTAAACTGTGATATGAGGCAGTTCAAAGAGAGCATTGAGCTGGGTAAGGTATGATGATTGGCTGTGTATTATTATGATAGGTCTGCCAAACTTTTGTGCTCCTGATAATTAATTGTCTTTGCTTACTTGCTAGTTTTGTTTTGAGGTAGCCTTGTAAGCTATCATCCATATTGTTTTCCACAGCTCCATCACAGTGTGTTTATGCCTCACTGTGGGAATTTACTAGCATCATTTGGTGTTGTGTTCCTGCAGCTGAAATATCAAGTTGAGATATGTGGAAAAGATGTCAATGCACCAATCCCAATTTTGAGAAAGGGCCTTACAGAGATCCATAATTCTCTCTTTGAAATTGGCAAGCTCTGGCAACAGATTTACACACAATGTTTCAGCGTTTCCCCTTATCAAAATTGGTAATTTTCCCATTAACCTTGATCTTAATGCATGAAATCAAGTTTCACAACTTCTTAGCTGCACATTGTAATGAGTGACAGTGTAGCTACAGAAATGTCCTTTAATTATAAGATCTTTGGTGGATGCGGGTGGCGCATGTCACAGCCTAATCCATCTCATATTTTACAGCAAATATAAAGTGGCTGTTATGGGTGAAAAAGTATCAAATTGGCACCTACATCAACCTGCACGTTAGGGCGAAACTGTGGCTCAGCAAGGCATCATTCGAGGAGTTAAGACATCCTATCAACGCATTTAAAGACTCAAAAGGGAAAATAAGTTAAGTTGTCTACCTGTTCCATACCATAGAAATACAGAATCATTTTTCAAGTGTCAGTTGATGATGCTGGGACAGTGGGCCTGCTTTTCTTCTCAATTCATAACTTGATCTGCATCTTCAATGTAACAAGCGATTATAGGATCAATATTGGAACAAGAATCCATTGTTATGCCAGTTTCCTGTTTAACTAGTTCTGAGAGTTATCTGACACCTACTCCATTTACTGTTGGCACCCCCGGCTGCTGTGCTGGATTCATTGCATTCAGTTCCTAGTGTACCGAAATCAGTCCTAGGGTTCCCTTATTTTTCATTAATATTGCGTGGTTGAATATTGTCACTATTTTATAGCTTGTCATTTTTCCAGCTGATTGATACTTGGCCCGAATTTGGGTTTACTGTTAATGGGATCAAAGGCGTGGGTTTCTTCAGACCCTACATATGAATCTTTGGAAAGCTTTTGGGACCGTGATGAGGATGCACTGAGGCTGTGTTGTGGTCACACTCTTACTGCAGTGGCTGCGACTAAGACCCATGGATCTTGTCACATTGTGTTTGGAAGAGCTGAAGCCATTGAGGAAGGCAATTGTGGTGCGGGCATACATAAGCTCCTCCTGGTTTCTTTGGTTTTGATCATGCAGCTTACTGTGCTCAGTTTTTAAATTTTGCTTCTACAATTTTCAGGGCTATCTGGAGTGATGATTTATGTTCTTTCCTTCAATGTTCTAACTAGAAAACAAACAAAGGCTTCTTTCCCTTCATATCTGTGTTTTCTACAGGAATCATTTGCCGTGGATGTATTGCTTTATTGCATGGAAAGACTTATATAAAATGATACCTTATGCAGCGAAAAAAGGTTTCTATCAGATGCTTGGGGTTTGGATACCTAGCAGAAACCAATGTGCAGCAGAAGGGTTATTTCTAAAGGTGATAGGCCTTATGCTAGAATGTGAGTTCTCTACTTACTGCTCCCAGTGGTGCTCATTTTTAAATATTTCAAGAACTATATAGTTTTTAAACTTATCTTTTTGTTATTTTGGGAGGATAATTTAATGGTGAAACCAATTGTGGTGTAACTTAATTCACTGAGAGACCTGGGATTATTCATGGTGGTAAACTTGGAGCTTTTGATTCAAATTTTCATCTCTTAGATACTGATAGATCTTTAGCAGACACAAGAAAATTATTTCCATTATGTTCACAAGAAAGATTGTGGAATTAAATGCTTGTTCTTGTAGGCATGCGGCTGCAAGTGCCCAGCAAGATGGAATGTTTCTGCTTTGTGGTTGGAGAGATGCTTCAGGCACAGTATGACTTATTTTCTTCCATTTTTTGGTGGTGCAACTGCCTCTGTAGCTCTCAGAATTATCGCAGGTCATATCCTACTCAAAACCACCATGTGGAGGGCTTAAGGTCTAATGCAAGAGAAACTGGTCTTGCAACATTCAGGTATATCATTCAGATCCATGCATAAATTGTGATTATTGAGCGCTGTCTTTTTCTAGATTATGTCAAGTTTCTATCTTTCTTGGCATAGAAGTTGAAATATATCTAAACCTCACTTAGTGTATGGCAGCCTGACCGAATAACAGAATTCTGCAAGAACAAGTTGCATACAAGCTCTTTTGAGTGTGTAATGGTTTGCTCAGGGGCACCTTATCACCCTTTCCTCCTCAACAAACTATTACGGTATGCGTTGTGAACTATTGCAACTTATCATACTAGTGACTGGGAGTGGATTGATCATTTGGTTGTCATTCCTAAATTGATTATCCCTGGCCCCCTCCTATCCACTATGTGGACTCATCTCCAGAAAACGTTTTATAGGAGACCTGAATGCAGCAGGTAAAAGTAGTGACCTGACCAATAGTTAAGTTACTTCATCTGGTGCTAATTTCTTCTCATTAGAAGCTCAACATACAAGGTCCTACACAAGGCTGGCCACACAACTTGATTGAACTTCACTTGAGATGATGGCAATGGCTGACTATTGTTTGCAAGACACTGTTGCCATAGCTCAAACAGATGCATCTGGAAAGTCCTGTTGTCGCTGGCATAAAAGTTGTGGTTTACAGGACTACAAAAGATTAAGGTGATGATGATCAATCTACCCTTTACTTACATTCTTGATTTTAATTATAAGAAAGAAATGAAAAGGATTAAAAAATGGTTGGAATCCAATCCAATCCAATGCATTCATTCATAGTGATTGTGAGCTGTTTAGATTCCTTTGTTCAGATCAAGTGGTATATTCAAGAGTCCTTGAGGACATTCATTCACAACAAAGTACGTATCTCACAACTCCTTTGAACCTTTCCATTTGTAAAGCACTTTACAAGTATAAAAGCAAGAAAGCTAACAATATTTTTTTATCGCACAAAGTTGAGTTCCATAATTTGCTCTTCTTGTTCACCAAATGGCTTTATACAAACAAACACACAATAAGCCATAAGAAAGGGAAAAGTTTTATTTCCTTTGGACACTTAAAAACAAGAATGAGTTGTAGTAACATATAAATAATTTTAATCTCATATATGGTAACCATTTAACTATGCAAGGCAAGATGACAACAATAGCCAAGCCAGCCCTTCTTTAATATGTGGTGCTGGACAGACAAAGACAAGAAAAGTTTTTGGGCTCAATGCCATGTCCCTGACCATCCGTGAAGTTACAGTTTCCAAGAACAAAAATATCTATTTTGATTGATGTTGGAGGACAATTATCGATTTGAAAATTGAAATGCGTGGTGCTAAATTGATTTTATTGTCGTCAACAAACAACTTGGTGATACAGATATATTTGAACAATTAAAGAAAGCAGAGAGTTAGTTAATTGGTAGGTGGCAACATCATTCAAGCATCATCATCAGGTGACCAAACTAATAACCACTCTCTATCAAACAAACAAAAAAAAAAAAACTTCACACAAGATACAACGCCAACACATCAGTCAACTCATCCTCCCAACTGTTTGAATCTTTCTTCGCCAAATGCAATTAATAGAAATATTTTGAAATAATTACCACAGTCCACAAAACTCCCTCCCTCCCTCCCTCTCTCTCTCTCTCTCTCTCTCTCTCTCTCTCTCTCAATTAAATACATGGTAAATAAAAAGCAAGTAGAAATGGCTTGAAAGTTCAGAAACCCCACCCACCCTTCTTGAATGCTATGCTATTCTGCTATTCTTCTGCTGCCACAGTAATTATACAGCTATCATCTCTTCATCCCCACTCAAAGGGAAGAAAAGAAAAGAGATCGGTCATCGGAGAGTGGAACCCAAAAAAAATATTGAAGCAAAGTGATGACGAAATCATCATCATCTAGTTTGGGCGAGGATGAAGAACGAGCCAAGCAGCAGCAGCAGCAGCTTTCGTTGGTGGACTTTGTGCTGTCAGCTTTAAGGAAATCCATGGCGTCAACGTGCCGAGTGGATAGGCCCGACCAGGAAGTGGTGTCCGCCGTCGGACTCCGTCACATGGAAATCGGCTGGCCCACCGATGTCCAGCACCTCACCCATGTCACTTTCGACAGATTCCATGGCTTCCTCGGCCTTCCCCTCGAGTTTGAGCTCGAAATTCCTCCCAAACCCCCTAGTGCCAGGTACATATTCAAATCCAATCCTCCTTCTTGGGTTGGCTGTGATGTTTATGTTCAGATCTGATGTTGCATTAACTGACAAAAGGATTTCGCTTTCACAATTAAGATTGTCTGTCACACTCACACACCAAAGTTTGAAAGAAATTGGTTAATTAATTAATGGCAAGAACATAATAATTATGCATTTCTTAACACTCTAAACGAACAAACGTACGTACCTGTAGCTGGAGGCTTTTGGCCTTCTTCTCAGATGAGATGATATCATTGATATTTCCAGGGACAATTTGCTGCAAGAAAATAAAAATCATTCATTCTTGTAAGCATTTTTATCATGGTAGATTCCATTTCCTAAACTTAGCACACACACCAAATTAACTGAGAATTCAATGCAGTGCAAGTGTGTGTGGTGTCTCTGCCGAATCTATGCAGTGGTCTTACGACGGTAGAGGCAATACTGTCCCAACAATTCTCTTGCTGATGCAGCAGAAGCTGTACTCCCATGGCGGTCTCAAGGTGACTCTTGATTTTCCACTGTTATTACTCTTTCTGTCTTGCTTATTCCACCAGCTGTGCTATCGACAGGCGGAGGGCATCTTTCGTATAAATCCAGAGAATAGCCAAGAGGAATATGTAAGAGACCAGCTCAACAGAGGCATTGTGCCTGAAGACATTGATGTCCACTGTCTAGCAGGTTTGATCAAAGCATGGTTTCGGGAGCTCCCATCTGGTGTCCTTGATGGGCTTTCGCCAGAACAGGTGTCGCAGTGCAATACAGAGGAGGAATGCGTTGAGCTTATCAAGCAGTTAAAGCCAACTGAGAAGGCCTTGCTCGCCTGGGCTATTGATCTCATGGCTGATGTTGTCGAGCAAGAAGGATCCAACAAGATGAATGCCAGAAACATTGCCATGGTTTTTGCGCCCAACATGACGCAGGTGATCCAAACAAAGCTGTTAGAAGTTTGTGCTAGAGTTTCCTTGCTCGCCTAACTGTTTTTCTGTGTTTGCCAAGCCCAGGTGTTGAATCCGGTGACTGCGCTCGAGCATGCTGTTCAAGTGATGAACTTGCTGAAGACACTTATACTGAAAAGGTTAAAAGATCGGGAGGGAGCTGGTGGGGCGGACTCATCCAGGCCGTCTCGATTCTCAGATGGGGAATATGATGGCCAACGTGAGACGGACGCCAGCTATGAATTGGTAGGCCGTGATTCAGAGGATGAAGAGCAGCAAGATTACTACAGCTCCTGCAATGAAGACAAAGATGAAGTAGAGTCATTGAGTGAAATTGAATATTGCTTCTTAAGACAACTAGACGACAGCGAAAGCGCTAAAGATGGCTTCCGGAAACAATTAGAGAGGATACTGTGCAGGGAACATCCGAGCCCCGTAAGCAATAATTCCTCCTTGAAGGCAGATTCTCATGTTCATGCAATAGCACGCCGCCACCGGGGATGAAAACTCGAGATTAAGTTCAGTAGCTTTTAGGCCCTAATGTTGATGCAAAACCAGTAGCCAGCTTGCTAGCAGTATCTGTAATATGACACTCTTCGTAGCCATGGATGCTTCTGTACATTTCTGCATTTTGATTTAGGCAATTATTGACAATCAAACCTGGCTAGTCTCATCTTTTCTTATCTCTGCACCAGAAAAAATATTAACTCACCTATTTTGATCTTCTGTAAACAGGGGGGATGATGGAGGTCGATCTGCCCTATAGCTCATCAGCTCAACAATTTCTTAACCAACTACAAGCATATCAATTTCTATCCAATGATCATGTATTTGTCAAAGAAACAAAAGAAAAATAGCACAAAAATCTGCAGGAATCGATTATCATAACCATTAGAGAAGGCTGTCTTCCTAAGAATGAAAAATCACCTTTGCAATGTTCGAATTTGTAGCTGGAATGTCTTTGCATCCTCTGCTGCGGTCAAACAGAAATCCATTGAATATTCAGTTTTATGAATTGCAACATCAGTAATCAGTTACCAGAGTAACATATGGTCAGCCATTGCTCTAAAAGATTGTCATGTTAACAGTCACACACAAGTATGATAGCAAACGCGATTCAGATTCCATATATGTGTCAATGGCAGAAATTGAGCTACATAAGTTCAGATGATGCCTAGCACCTAACATCAACTTGCTTGCTACTCGATCAGATCCAGAATGAACTAATTCATAGTACAAATCGAATGCAAAAGAGCTTCTGTTCCACTACCAGACCCAAAATCCAGGTCGGAGCATTATCAGTGCCTGAGAAATGGGCAGCCAGCAATCACATGAAAGCAATGCGTACAAAATTCAATCGCCTCATGATTTCGGCCTGAGGCAGTCTGGCAAAGGAGGCAACCGCAGCACAGCTTCCTCCGTCTCAATCGGGTCCGATCTCAAAATCTACAGAAGATTCGACGAAACAACTAAAAAAAATAAGGGCATGCGTGGGAGCAGCAAAGGGGATGCAGAAGACACAAATCGGGAGATTAATAATTACCGGATCTTGGAGCAGAGGTTTGGTGTCGTCTTTGGCTGGCCTGAAATAGGGTTTATTCGTCTCTTCTCTCTTACTATCATCTCCTTGACCACCAAAACCACCATCCTGATTCTGCTTCATCGGAGTATCTGCTGCCGATTCCATTTACCCAATTTGCTGCTAGTTATGTTTGCGCCCCTCAATTTGAACAGAAATTGCAGGAAAACATCAAACAAAATATATTCAATATATATATACATATATAAATATACATTTAAAATATTCTATTTATTTATTAATACACAAAATTTTGTTTTACTATACAAAATTTATTTATTTAGATCAAGATTTTAGTAATATTTTGAAAATTCTTCAAAAATTCCGGATTATTCAAAAATTTCTACTACTCATCAAAGCATGAAATACCTATTTATATTTCATTTCGTACAATTATTTAAATTTAAAACTTTTACTATTCAAATCTCTTTAACTCAAAATTCAAACATTGAGAAAAAATTTCAATAAAAATAAATCATTTAATAATTTAAAGCAAAACTAAGCAAACCTTTTATATACAAGAATACGACCCACCAGTCAGTCTCTCCTCTTAGTCTCGTGATATCAAGTTTATGAAACAACCAACCATCCTGCCTGCCTACGATGGGTGCAAGATTGACAAAAACACTCGCACTAAGCTCAACGTATATATCTACCTACCTATGTATGTATGTATATGTATATACATACATACATTAACTGGACTATACTCCCATTCAAAATGGTTGGTTCCTTCTTTTCTTCTTCTTCTTGTTATTTAGCCCCGTTCATGCATGCTTCTTCCCACAAACTCAACAACAAATCCTCGGCCCCCGAATATCGGCCGCATTACAGAGTTGTCAAATCTTCGCCAGTATTGATGGATTACGTGGGTTGGGGTGGTCAGCAGCATCTGCAGACTCAGTCTCCGCGGAACCTCTCCACGTCCATTTCCATGTTCGGCTTCTGATTCTAAACTACTGGTCAGGAGGGGGAGCGTCGCCATGGACTGACTGGAACATCCGCTGACATCCTCAGGAAGCAGAGTATTTATCAAGTGCTTTGTCAGAAATCCAAATACCTTCAACACAACCAAACAAACAAGTAGTATCACAATTCATAATGTACCAACAAATTTTATGTCCCAAATTCAAATAGCAGCACTGAAATCATTTACGCACCACTGTGCTGAAGAGGACAACGGTGATGGTACTAGTGATCATAATTGCATTCCCAGGCGTCTTAGTATGTCCAGATTTCGCAAACTGAAAAAGAAAAAATGTCATTGGATTAATAAGTCTTGATTGTTTGATAATATCAATCATTAATCATTACATACATGTAAATAATTACCTGATTATATGCCAAAGCCATGGAAACTGCACCTCGAATTAGACCAGCCCACCAAATTGTTAGCTGTGTTCAGCCATATTGGTTATTATGCCTGGAAATAAACAACTATCCCAGACTTCCAAACTGTAGGGGAAAGTACCTGCTGCCTGTAATCAATTTCGTCAAGCTTAGACATTTTTGTGAGGTTGGATAACAGGGACAATGGGATAACAAATGCTGCTCTGCCAACTGCAACTAGGCCAAGCAATGCTGCACTTGCTGCAATGGATTTTCCAGGGCTGCGATATTTCAAAACAAGCAGAGGCAATAAAATAGTTGGAACTAGTAAACAGAAGTGCTATGATTAAAAACAGAAGTGAATTATGATGTTTGAAAGTGAAGGAATGAACAATTTGGAGAACTCAAAAGATGCTACATTACCTTTCGCTTGCAAATGCCCATTTTTCAATGTCTAATGCATCCATACCAACATAAAGGAAGATAAATGTCTCTGCAATGAACGACATCGTGGCGAATACATGCCTGCAGAAAAGCAAGTTAATAAAACAAATCTTGCTGGGCTTTTTCTTTTTCTTCCTTGTGTATGTGTTGGGAGGTGGGTATGGGTTGATATAATGCTCCTAAAAGCAGGTCTTACTTTGTGGTGACCTTAGCACTTGCAGTCATGTTGTATAATGTGTAATGTGACATAACAATTCCACAAAAGAACACAGTAAGAATTCCACTCAAGTTACAGAGCTGCAAGATAGACATGATAATGTGTGGCTGTTAATCATAATTAAAAAATAATATGAGGAATGGCATTCCTAAATTTAAGGATAACAGTTCAGCAAAAATTTATAATAGAAAGTCAAGGGAAGCATGAAATCAGAAAGGACCTGAGCTATCATGTAAGAAAGGTAAGCCATGAGAATCATCAAAGCAACTTCTTGATCAGTTGAATGCCTGAAATTTGGACATCAATAGCTTAGAATAACTATCAGAATCGTCAAAGGATACATTGAAAAGATATATAATTGAAGTAAATAACAGCTCATTAATTCAACAGATGCGCATGGTGCTGGAAAATCTACTCCCTCAACATTAATAAGCCGAAAATTTTCCAGCCTTTTCATACCTTTGATTGTACAACTCTTTTACGATATAGGCACATAGCAAGCCAATCTGCATTTAAAAATAAGGCCATCAGAATATTGTAATTGACAAATATAAAATTTCCATGCTAAACAAAACTAGAATTTCCTTTATTCAAGTCAATAGTTCACATGAATAGATGGACATCCATTTTGTTCAAGCTATGTTTCTTCACACCATTTGTTCCTTCACATCGCCATAGCTAACACAATGGCCATTCATTTTGCCTTAATCCTTTCATTCAGGAGTTTATTTCTAAAATAATGTATGAATAGAAATTTAAATTAACAAGGCAGTGAACCTTTTTTTTCAGGGGCAATCTATGAGTATAAAACAGATTTTTGAATCATTGCAAGCATCTGTAAATATTGATTAGGCTGTACTTGCCATCAACAAATTATGAAAACAATTAATTTTTTATAATATTTAAATCGACATGGGAAGCCAAAAATACTTCATAGAATTTAAGCTACAGAAGCTAAATGAGAAAACACTGTTGTGTTACCCATGGGCCATTTACACAAGTAAGAGGAAGGAATGACAGTCTCACCATGACACCCAGCAAGGTGCTGGTTATGAACAAAGAGAAGAAACTGCCAAGGAACTTCATTGCAACCTCCATGTTAAGATTTGAGAGGTCAAATTTCTGAATTGCATTGAAAAGCACCACTGATGTGGCATCATTCACCACGCCCTCACCAAAAACAATACTGTAGAGCAAAGGTGTTTCTTCCTGATCAAGAACCTGCCAACCAAACGAAATTACTGACTTATCAGGTGCCCTTCACTTCCTTGTCAGATAAACACTTTCTCATTCCTGGCTAGAACAAAAACGGGGGGCATGTATTCATACCTGCAATGTGCAGACAGAATCTGTAGCTGAAAAGATGGCTCCAATAGCTGCATAAACAACCGTAGTTCAACTATCAAGATCAAATGTCTGTACATAGATATATCCACTAAAATAAACAAGGCCAGAGGAGTTGAAAGCAAACAACCAAGAGCCAGACAAATATCTCTTGAATATTAATCATACATGAATATCCCATAAAAAAATTGCCAGCATGTAATAACCACAAGATGAAAATAAATCCTGAACTACTGCAAATCTACCAAGATAATCCTGAAGTTCAAAATAGCCCATGTCCAGTGCCTCAAACACCACTTTCACACCTGCGAGATTTTAAGTATTAGCACTGCTAGGACAAATACTGTGAGATTGGTGCTAGTGAACATAGAGCAACTAAATGCAATAGAAAAGGAAAGACAGAAGTTGCAGGGATGAGTACACAGGGAAAAGAAAGCATGATCAGACAATATATATACATTAACAGACTAATACCTGAACATATTACGTGCAATAAGTGATGCAGGCAGACTTCAACTTATAATTTTCAATGGAAGCTCGAACTAAAAAGATCCAGTTTGGTGCAGAATCAAATATGAGTAGCAGGATATACCAAGATTCAATGCAAATGAGGTCACAACAAAAATATGAGAGACAATACATGTGGTATTATCAATTACCATAACAAAGGAATACATTGTTCATACTCTGTTTAAGGAGAATTAGCCCTTTGTAAGCTATGAATTCTATTTATTTCCATGCATCAATTGATAGTGAAACAATACCAAAGGAAATGATGCAGAAGGATATCACTGTGCCGACAGCACCGAACATCGAAATAGTCGCAAAGTTCTTGAAAAACCGCTTTTTCTTAACCTGGAACCTGGTTGATAATAAAAATGCACAGCCACCATGACGGTCCAACACGAAATTAATTATCACGAACAAAATATACTCACATGAAGAAAACTGGATATTAATACGTTAGACATACAAAGAAAACAGCTAAGAAAACCAATACTCACCCAGCATTAAATATAATAGGCGGCAAAAGGTATATGAAAAATAGCTCTTCATTAAATTCCATAACACGTGAGTTCACTCCTTTACTTGTCAGCAACAGAACTATTCCAGTAGCCAAACCCTGTCGTCGAACCATTAAATTAATTTTCGAGTACGACAATAATGGAACCAGAAACTAATAAAATAATTCCGAATCCGACGCCGCAACCAACCAATATAGGAATCATCATCACGTTCATAACGAAAATTAGAGAACTCACAATAAAAAGAGCATTGATGGACTCGTTAAACCAGCGATTCTCTTTCAGAAGATGTCCGATCACGATGCACACGGACAGGAGGGCGACGAAAAGTGTGATGGACTCAACGGAAGCCTGAGCGGAAACAGCAGCCACGCCTCCCAAACCCATGATCACGGAACTCAGGCAGGCAGCTCAGCAACCAACTAATCTAGAAGAGCAGGTTAATGCAGATGGGAGGTTTACTATTCCGAATGCAGGGGAATTTCCATAGATTCCCGGGCGTACGTTTCGCTGATTGAGTAAAACAGCAATGAAGTAACTATAATGCTACCTGCCCGTGAAGGGACTCCACGCCGCGATCAGTTCAGAGGAGTCATTTCAGTTTGGGCCTTTCATTTCAAGGCCCAATACTTCAAATAATTGGGCTTTAATTCATTTTCTTATTAGTCATATGCCCAGAACATAGACCTTTTAGCCCATCGGAGATTGAATAGACCCAAGGTAAGCTCTCACATCACAATAATTCAAAGAATTCAATTGCAAAACGAGGATCATAATAGAATGATTAAGCAGGATGGTAGAAATGGGATTGATCGTATTCATATGTGTATGTATATACAGAGTAGTAATTCAGCGTGTGTTCTTGTCGTTGGGTTTTAACACAATGAATGCAATGCATTATTCCTTCCCGATCCAACCGGACATATGTACACACATTCTGGGAAGTAAGATTGTTTGGTGATGATCTATCCTATTATAAGTGCAACTAGCGTTCCAGAGCATTGGCGAGGTGCACGGAGACATCGGGACATCGCCCCTCTATGAGTTTTCCAGTCTACGTACACATTCTTTATATTCACTTATATGCCGACTAGCAAAAGTGAGTCCGGGGTCAATGGGAGAAGCGGAGAGTCGAGAGGGCAAAAGTTATCATCTTTGGCTATGATGCAGTGTCATAGCAGTGGATGGGATCAAGGAAGCTACATCTGCTATGACACAAGGTAAGCCAACTGTATGCCATGATCATTGATTTATGACAAGCTAAGTTAATTGGACAGATAGAACAGTTTGGGTGTCTATTGGGATCCTGATTCTCCTTTTCATGTTCCAAAGATTTGGGACTGATAAGGTGGGCTATGTCTTTGCTCTCAACCTCTGTCTCTGCTTCATATTCATCTCTGGGATTGATTGGAACCTATAATATCTTAAGTATGATCACACTGTAGTAAAAGCTATAAACCCCAAATACATTGTGGATTACTTCAAAAGGAACAAAGAGAAAGCATGGGTTTCACTCGGTGGCACCGTACTCGAGAATTCATATATCATCCCCACTCTAGAGTGTCATAACAAACTGGAACAACTAGATCAGTTCCTAACCGGTCCTCGGGTGAAATGTGAGCTCTGTACACACATATGTCACTCCAATACCCGCAGCAATCGAACAACTAATAAAAGATGGCAGAACAAATATTTCCAGGCATCAATACTAGATAACTGAATGCACAATGAACGAGCCAGTGTCATGCTATCTGTTATACTTAATAACTAAATAGTTCATAGATAATGATTTTCTTCCTCTCTTAACTAAACTTTTTCAACATACAGATGAGTGATTTCTATGCCTGGTATTGATTTCCACCACTCAGGAACTAATCAATCTCATTAACAAATAACTGAATCTGAGTAACGAAATCAGAAAATCTACATTCACAATTGAAAATCAAACACAGCATTGACAGAGAGATTGATTGATTGCAACAGTGTGTGCATTTTCCCAATTGCTAGAAGCCAAAGTCATTCTTTCGTTAAGGAAGTACCATAAAGCAGTCAAACATAAAGCCTTAATCTTCGAAACAGATACAAATTTCAAACAAGTCACGACATAGACAACAATAGATTCAAGGACAAGTGACAGTAATTACTCTGACTCAACAAGCTGCGGCGACTCAGCAGCGGAGCTTTCCTCGGACTTGGAGACAAAACTCCAGTCAGGAGGGAGCGGAGGGAGGGGAGGGTACACGGCGGGACGACGTCGTATGTCGGAAGGCCGCGTCTTGCGAGGGCGAGTCTTCATATGATGCTGGGTCGCCTTTTTCTGCGGCCTCGACGAGCACTCTATAACCAATCCACTGCCGCCACCCACCGCAGGCCTCGATTTCCCGACGGAGGAGGTAGCCGGAATCACCAATTGTACCCCAAATATCGCCGGGACTGACATTTTCGCTGATGTAGCAGCTGTGTGGACAGAACCAAGTGATAAGGTAGCCGCAGCGGTTTTTAATGGCGGCAATTCGTGGAGCGAGGATAACATTTCCGTGAAATTCCGTGGTCAAAATGTAAATCTTGATAAATTACCCAATTACCCAATTGGCCCACTTTAATCAGCCCATTATAGTCTGGACGGTTTTAAATTTGGGCCCTATTTATTTAATTTTCATTTGGGCCCAATTTGTGCAGATCTTCCAAATCAAGAATCTTCTACAACGTGAAGTAAAATATATTAATTGGTAAAATTGCAAAGCTACATCACATTTTTACATACTCCATTTTTTTCCAGTGAGCAGAAGCAGAAAGCATAACTAGCTAAATACAAATCTATCCACATTAATAAAGATAATATAATAATAATAGAACCCGGGCACACTTCTTAGCTTAATTTATCGACAAACAGCACGACAGCAAGAGATACTAATTAATGGATGATGATGACGATCTTATTGATTAATTCATGGAATGGAATGAAGGAGAGGAATGGTGGGAATGGAGTTAATTAGGACAAACAGGCAGAACAGGACTGCTGATTAGGTTTGAGGAGGGGAATGAGGGAGCCACTGAGGTGGAGGGACATGACTTCATTGGTGGATCCGAGGAGTTTTCCGGCGACGAAGACGGCGGGTACAGGGCCGCTGCAGCCCATCCTGATGAGGGCCTTCTCGATCTCCTTGCCGTCGGGGTCCTGGTCGAGCTCGTGCACGTGAGCATGGGCATTCAGTTCTTGAAACAGTATCTGCACTGCGTAGCACAGGCAGCACGTGCTCTTGCTGAAGATCAGGATGTTGTATTTCGAAGCCAAGTTCGTTACTTTCTCCATCGATATATATATATATATATCAGATAATATACAGTAAAGATTTATATATATGATGATTGAAGAAGATGATGAAGAGATCACACAAGTCCCAGAGGAAATGGTGATCTGGAGTGAGGGAGGTAACTAGGGTTTTAAATTTATAAGGCTGTCTGAAGTGGGGGGTGCTCTATTTATATTCGAAATTTATTACAGCAAAAGTGGAAATAGCAGTAGCAGCAAAGAGTAGTGGACAGCTTTATTCCAAATAAGAACATTCAAAAGGTGTCAAAATGGCTGTAAATTAAAAATAATAAAGAAAGAAAGAAAAGAAAAGAAAAAGAACTTTTGGAGATAGATACTAAAACAGGATGGAACATAGAGAGATTTGCTTCCTTGGTAATGGGAGCATTAATATATTGATGTTTTTTACTACTGCCTCGTATCCGAACATCCAGCCTGTTAGTTGTTCCAAATAATATGTATAGATACACAATAGTGACCATCAATTCATCCACCCATGGATCTTTGCACTTTATTAATGATGACCTCCATCCATCCATCCATCCAAAATGAGAATATTTTCAAAGCTGGGAGAGGTGTGGTCAATTTCAAAATTTTCTTGGAGAATCTTGGATCGAAAACCATCCCATTTCCATTGGGAATAATATCAATGTGGGGAAATTAAAGATGTCGAATAATATATATATATATATATGATGAACAATGTGGGGGAGGGCTTTCGGTGGTGAATCTTACACTGTGCCCACCTACAGCCTTGGCTGCTTGCTGCTGTATATATATATATATATATATTCATTCAACAACTTGCATTTTATATATATATATATATATATATTGCATTCCCTGCTGCTTCTGGACTTCATTCCATCCATATAAATCTTGCACGTGTAGTGAACCTCCATCCCCACACAGACAAATATATGTATAGTCTGATTGATTTAAGTATATTATTACTGGGGAAATCTGCTGTTCAAGAAAATTTTGATATTACATGCTCAAATGAATTACATGTGTGCTTAATTAGCTAGTTTTCGAAAACATAAGTGATTTAATTAATTAGAAGGCAATTTGGGGTTGGGGAGGAGATAAGCATGCATCATGCAAGGTGGTGAATTTTTGTGGATTGGCAGCTGAAAATTAAAGTTGAAGTTTTTGTTTAATTCTGTTGTGGTAAGAGGAGACAACAGACAGACACATACAATATTTGTAGGTGTCATTTCTTGTTATTTGCTATGTGAGGGAATATATGCATTTACACACACATCGATACATATACATATATAATCAATCATCTGGAGCCTTCTTTCTAGCACTTGATTTGTTCTCTAGTTATTGATTGGGCTGTCCCTTTGCACTTGGGCTCATCATTACACATGTTGGTGGACAGCTCAAATGATCAAGACTTGTTTCTATACTTGAACCCATATAATAATAAATAAGATTATTGCTTCTGCAAAATATAAAGCTTTCTCTTATCATATACTCCATATGTGTGACACATCACACTTATTGAATTTTATTGTAAAAATTGAAATTGAAATGAAGCTGAGAAAGTATATATTATTAGAGAATCTGATGAAAAGCAATTATGGTCGAAACTAGCTAGAAAGCAAGTTTAGAGATGCGTTTTCTTGAAATAGAATGGCTTCCCAAACAAACAAATTAAAAAGCGCATTTTTTACAAGAAGTCGCTGATTCTATAGTAGCGATTTATGTAGTCGGAATCAAAATAGATGGATCCGGAAATTGGATTTGGACCCACACCTTTCTGGGCTGGAGCTGGACGCACATACACACCACATTCATTATTCACTCATACACAAAAAAATAAAATCAAGAGCCATATAAATTTTATAATTTGACCAATTCATAAAATTAAATTAAATTCACTATAATGATAGCAATTTATTGAGAGAGAACCAGATTAGATTTGTCTGAAAATAAATTGTTAAGAGATTGGTGAATTAATATTGAGGAATTAATTTGGGTACAAATTTGGTCTCGAAAGTATATATGGGTTAATTGAAAATGAGCTCATCGTGTGCAACATTGGCCCTTCAATGCTGTGTTGAGCCATTTTATGTTATGAGAAAATGGTCCCAATTCGAAGATAAACTAAACTCCCCAATCAAAAGTAAATAAATGAATCATATCGCATGAATATTCTTGTACTATGGATATTACTTGTTAGCAACTTCTCAAGAAAAAAAAAGCATTGATTCTGATGATATATATATATTAATGGGGTAGCAATAATATAAGTAAATAAATTAAATAAAAATAAAAGCCAAGAAAAATTGTTCTTGATGCTATTGCTAATAGAATTGGACCATCCACAAGTTTCCACTTCTTTCCTCTAAAATTTGGACATATATGTGGTATTAATTAGATTAATTGCATTATTATATATACATAAATATTATAATAATATTGGGAATTGAAGGTGGTTGAGTCAACAAATTCAAATAATATTATAATTAAAAGAAATCTCAAGTCGTGTGTTTGAGTCATTCTTCTCCCCACATAATGGAGGAAATTTTACTCGTCCAACCTTTATTTTTTATTTCTGGTGGTCACTAATTGAGCTAAACAAAATAATTAGTCATAGGTAGGGTTAATTATAGCCTTTTGTTCATTTGAATGAATAAAGTATTTGATCAGTAATTTTAATTCCAACTACTACAGACAATAAAAGTAACTAATTAATTTGGTTCTTTAGTTTAGGACCGACCAAATTAAACTTTCTTTCATGCAATACAATCAGCAGCACTAAGCCAATCTTTCTTTCTTTTTCTTTTTTTTTTTTCTTTTAATTACCGACATAATTAACTGTGGTCTGATGCTAGCTAAACTATATGTATGTGTGGCTTTTATATTTCTAGCTACCTAGCTGATTAGGAATAATATAAATTAATTAATATTATTATTTTCTTTTTTTAGTCATATTTATACATATACATATATATATATATTTGTAGGAATAATAAAATTTGTCTGGGAGTTTATTCATCCGTACGTTAATAAGCTCCAATATTGCATGGAATGGGTATGGTATGGTATGTTTTGGTTGTCACCTCACTTAATTCTTTCACAGTGGGAATTGATTTCTTGTTCATATAAATACTACTCCCTCCGTCCCAGAAAATATGAGATTATTACCGTAGATACTGAAATTTAGGTAAAGTATAATTAGTAAGTAATTAAGAAATATATTAGTAAAAATAATTATAGATTAAGATTAACATAAGTAAATAGTTTAATTAAAATTAAAAAAATTATAAATTTAAAATTTAAAATGCGATTAAAGTGCATAATTATATTTCCAAAAATAGAAATAACAGACAAACGAAAATAAAAAATATGGATAAATTATATGGGACAGAGGAGTCCTTCACTTTCCTAGAATTATTCTCATTGGAGGTGGTGGGCCTGAAAATTGAGTCAGAAATATTTGAAAAATTGTATAATACTAATAAACAAATAAATAATAGCATAGTGAAGAATAATAATTAAACATTAATTTTTTAATTATAATTATAATGAGATAAATTAATAAATCTCCAACCAAGTTAAAAGTGCTTAATTGTTTGAGTTATTATTTTTAAACTTTCTATCTTTATTTTTTTTTGGACGAATCAAAGTACGACGTGTCAATTTATATATATAGTCATGCATGCGTGCATGTCAATGTATTAAAGAATCTAAAATGGAGAATAAATATAGAGACATATCTTGGGAGCTAGCAAAGTGAGTGACACATCTTGTCATTGGTTGTAGTGGAAAAGGTGAAAGAAATAGCCAACACTTTCCTTCCCTTTCAGACGGGATCGTCTAGCCCGGACAGAACCCTAGCCCGCTGTCTCATACACACAGTGTATATATATACACATATATACACATGTATGTATATATATATATACTATATATGTGAGAGTAGGGGATAAGATTTGGTTCTGGGATAGGTGATTCCATGGGCTTCCCTTCCCTTCTCGACTATATAAATAGGCCCCCAGCGATCCACAAGTTTCCACAAACACCAAATCTTCTTAATTCTCCTCATCAAACATCCATCTATCATCTATACACATAGATCGGCTGATTGGCATTATATATATATATAATTAAGATCGAATGGAGGTGGTGGAGAGACTGGTCGAAGACAAGGCGGTGGTGATATTCAGCAAGAGCACGTGCGGGATGAGCCACGCCGTGAAGACACTGATATCCAGCTTCGGAGCTAATCCGACCGTGTACGAGGTCGACGAGCTGCCGGAGGGCCACCAGCTGGAGAAGGCGCTTCTCTCCCAGAGGAAGGTCAGCAGCTTCCCCGTCGTCTACATCGGCCAGCAGTTGGTCGGCGGTGAGGCCGAGCTCATGTCCCTTCACGTCAAGGCTCAGCTCGTCCCTCTCCTCAAGAACGCCGGAGCCATCTGGATTTAATATACATATATATAATCATCTCCATCTCTACTATATATATATATATATATTAATCAATTAATTAATATTTGCATCTTAGAATAATCATCAATAAATAATATATTGAGATATATATATTTGATCAAATCACGTTGTTGATGAATAGGATCATACATACATACATATATATATATATAACGAAATGCAATACTAATTAAATGCTTCAAAGTAAAAACTTAATAAGCAATGCATGAGATAGGACAGACATCTTATATTAAATGCTAGAACTAGAACAAAGTTTTAACTTTCACAACAGTTGTCCTGTCCTGCTCGATATAGTGAGAGAGCAAGAAAGAAAGACAGTACCCAGCCCCAGGCATCCATGCTGCAGCTATTCTAAAGCTCATATATCATCCCCACCTTAAGCATTCTCCGGTGTGGGATATCGTAAACTTCCTTACTCTGCCTCACATTCCTCTTGAGGAAATTATACGCATAATCGATCAACACCCTCTTCCCCAATCCCGACCCTTTTCGCGCCATCACTTCATGATCTCCGACCAGATGCACCACTCCGCTTCTCCACGCATTCTCCAAATCCTCCACATCTCTAGCCACTTCAGTATCATTATCGACCTCTTCGATGCAGGCCTCATCTTCATTCCCTCGTTGTTCCCGCGCCTGGCCGATGTAGCCATCCTCCACAATGAACTGCCTCAATCTATCAACCAACAATTTCTCAAACGAGTCCTCCTTAATGCCACGCGCATCGTTGTACCCATAGCGCACCACACAACGATACAAATTCAGATCCCGCGGCTGCACCCTTCGCAAGAGGAACCTCTCTTCCTCGGGCACTTTGCTGATAGGCAAGGATTTGAAGGATACGAAAACAAGGACAGAGTGAAGCGCCGGCACATTCTCGACATAATGCCTGAACAGGGGAGGGATACCATGAGCCAACTCCGAGTAAAAGATGGCAAGCCCTGGTAGCCTTGTCGACTTGGTTTCTTGAATAATCTCCATTGCTGTCTCGGGAGAGATCTTGTGCTCCAGCTCATAGTAGTACCTTCTCCTGTACACATGGTTCCACACGAAGGTGACTGTCATTATAACTGCTGCAAACGCGAGGGGAAGGTACCCGCCTTCATTGAACTTGTAAAGAACTGAGCTCAAGTACACCAGCTCAACCGTGCCGAAAACCAAAACAAATCCGATCACAAGCACTATGTGAGTCTTCCAGATCACCAGCATGACAAGAACCAGGAATGCAGACGTGAGAGTCATTACAAACACCACAGCAATCCCTGCATTTATTTGAGAATGAATGGGAAAACTCTTGAGAAGAGAGAGAGCTGTAGCAATATATATACAATTTACCATAGGCATGGCCAATCTGATCGGTAGTCTTGTATCCAAGAGTGACGAAAATGCAAGCCAGCATCAGAAGGTAATTGACTTCGGGAATGTAAACCTGCCCAGGATGTTTCGGAGAAGTGTGGACAATCTTAACGCGAGGGAAACATCCGAGGGCGAGGGACTGTTGAACGATGGAGAAAGTCCCTGAGATCAAAGCTTGACTCGCTATCACTGCTGCCAGCACCGCAACAACAAACATTGGCCAGTACATGGGACCTGCATTTCATCAATAATTACATTATTTCGTATTATATATATATTCTTGGCCATGCAAATAAAATGGGTGAGTACGTTAGTGATCTCAAAACCTGGGATTGACTTGTAGAAGATGTCCGAAGCAACATCCGTGTGCTTACGAAGGTAAGCACCTTGTCCCGCGTATGCTACCATTAGAGCTGGATAAATCACAGTGCACGTGCTTAATTGTATCGAATTCACCGAGAAATGACCAACATCAGCGAATAATGCTTCAGCCCCTGCAAACACAAATTGTAATTGTAATTACAATTATCTGATACAAGTGTGCATGCGTGTTCGAATAAACGATGGGAAAGTCACCTGTAATAGAAAGAACAGTGCCACCGAGAGAAATCCATGCTTCCTTTTTGTTTCGCTTAAAATAATCGACGATGTATTTGGGGTTTAAAGCTTTGATGACTGTAGGGTCGTATTTAAAGAAGTTGTAGATGCCAATTCCGGAAATGAAAGCGAACCAAACACACAGTATGGGAGCGAAGGTGTAGCCCACTTTATCAGTTCCAAATCTTTGAAAGGAGAAAAGAAATATGAGGATTGCCACTGATATCCAAACTATCGTTGCTGATCACCCAAAAACAACCAAAGTGAATCTGATAAATATGTATAACTTGGTCCATTTTAAATTTGAAAGTGTAGGAATTAATAATACTACCATCATTCATAGAAGGTGCAGCCTCCTTGATTCCACCCACCGCAGATAACACTATGCAGGGAAAACACACACACCTGATGAGTAATTCAAGATAGATATATCTATGTGATTGTGATTTGCAATGTTTTCTGTAGGTACATACCTGAGATGCAGGGAGTGAGAATACCATCTCCAATGACCATGGCAGTACCGAGCATGGTGGCGAAGAGCATGAAATGCTTGGCGAAATTGCTGTTCTCGAGTGCAGACTTGACTCTGCAAGCTGTGCGGGCGCCACTATTGGGCAATTCGAGCCTAAAGGTGGACACATCTCGGTCCTCTGCTTGCTGGCTGGGAATCAACCCCACTCTTGCGTGTCGGCATAGTAATGAATACAAAGCAAATGTCCCTCCTGCCAAACCACACAGAATATATATATATATCGTTTTGTGTAATGAATATCAATTTTTTAATTCTCATTCTACCATGCATGCAGATTAATGTAGCAAATTCACTGCTATCATCAATGAAAATAAATCTTATTTCTTCTACCCTGAGCATTATCCCTCCTATGTCCAAAACAACAAAAAAGGGGGGGTGGAATAATATCATTGGAGTTGACGAGATCCATTTTAAATAGCTTACCCTTTTCCCCTCAATTCACTGAACTAGGCCAGATTATTGGCTTCAATTCTAGCGTTAAAATCTGTATCATTTTACATTAATACACATTATTATACATGCTGATTTGGTGTCGAGTCAAATCAATTTCCAAATCAAATTGCAGTTGCCTAAATAATCGTCTGCTATGTATATACAAAAACAAAAGAGTAATGGAAAGAAAGAAGGATGACTGCAGAAGTAAGTTTATGGCCACAAATAGAAATAGAGTTTTACTGTAAAAGGGAAAAAAATAAAATGGTGCTAGGCATAGTATACGTACCCTCGCCGTTATCGTTGGCGCGCAAGACGATAAACACGTATTTGATCAGCGGAATCAACGTTATGGTGTACAAGATAATCGACAGAACAGCGATAATGTCATCCTTGTTCTGGATTTCTCCCGTGAAGGTCCCCGCCAGCACATACAACGGCGACGTACCGATGTCTCCGTACACCACTCCAATGCTCTGAAACGCCAATTTCAGCACCACCGCCCACGACTCTCTGGCGCCGGCGCCCTAACAACCAAAAAACACTAACTATTCATATTCAGCCACAACTAAACCAGAAGCGACTACGATTTCCTAATCTGACAGATTTGCGCATACCTTAATAGAGGCAGCGCCGTTGGCGGCAACCTTGCCGGACTCGAGTTCCAGCGAGTCATAGCGCCTGAGCTTGTTCCAGGAGAGTTTCTTCTGCTGGAGACGCTTTTCGCCATTGTTTCCACCATCGCCGGCCGATTCACTTCCAATGTCTGTATCCATGCTTCTAGATTTTGTTGGAATTGATGGCTCTCTCTGAAATGGCCGATAAGAATAAATAGCGTAAGAGGAGTGTGGAGGGTAAATGGGGAAGTGAAGGATTCGGTAGGAAGATGCCAGGAAGTTGATCGACTATAAACTCTATACATCTGACCCTTGATTATTCCGGTGTGAATACATGGATCTGTTAATTAATATCAGTGGGCCCTACGTATATTCGAGGTGGTAAATAATTAAGGATATTATCATTACTATTATTTAAGAATTTGAATTATACTATAAGATATTCTTGGTTACGAAATATATAGAAATTTTTTGTAATCAATCTGCTAATTGCTCTTATGGAAATAATATTGACACGGTTTACATATTCAAACGCATTAATTTCTTTAGTCACCATTAGAAACATAATTAATAATATTGTAGTAATTTTGATTATAGGCAGAAGGAAAATGAAATAAATCTAATGGCCTAAGGTTGTGTAGATTTTACTGCGGTTAGAATTTTATTTTCACTCCAAAAATATCATATCAAATAATTATTTTTTTTTATATTTGTCCGTTCAAGTAAAAAATATACATTTATTTTTGGCACTGAACTTAATAAATAATAGTATTTTAATTCTAGTTGATAGGTAAAAGTAATGTAATTATATTTTTGTTCTTATTTTTTGGTATAAAAGCAACGATATTACATAAAATAAGGGTATTTGTGGAAAAAATGGTATTTAATGAAATTGTTACTTTGTAATTGGATGTCCCAAAATAGAAATATATATATTTTCTAGCTGGACGGAGAAAGTATTATATTACAAATTTATTTTATATTCAAATTATCATATCAATCTATATTTATATCACGTCGAACAACTATTCGAATTCAATTTTTTATTATTAAAATTCAAACTAACAAACTAAAACTCACTATCGAACGCACCCTAAATGATTACAACTATATGAATTTAAATATAAGCAATTAGCGGGTATTCTTGTTTAGTTTTTTTTTTTTTTTTCTTATTTACATATTTTTATTATTTTTTCTACTAGACTAATCATGCCACAATATCCAAATACAAAAACTATAAAATAATATTCATTTTATCTTAATTTAAAATGTCAAATTTTTTTTTCTTATTTCAAAGTACTATTATTTTGTATTTAAAAAAAAAATTATATAGTAATACTAAAGTTCTTTAATTTTTATTTAAATTACAAATATATATAGTAAAAAAAAAATATAGTATACACCTTATATGTGTTGGAATAGATGTTCCCCGTGTATCCCTCCCCTAGTTAAGCATTAGTCGGGAATGTGCCTGCGCTTCACTTTGTCCTTCTTTCCGTGTCCTTAAAAAAAAATAATAATAAATAAATAAAATTATCATTAATAATTTTTTCTTATTTGAATAATGAAAGACACTTTATATTATGAAATGCCTTCGTTTTTATTTATTTATTTTGCAAAAAATTGCGTCACATTTGATTTTATGAAAGGAATATCGAGTATGCTCCAATTGAGAAAAGCTATTCAGTATACAAATTCAAACACGTTCTTTTTATTTTTTCGAAAAAAAAAAAAAGTCTCATCATTATGCACAACAATACAATGCAAATTGAGGGTTCCTTTGTTTAGGCTTATGCTCGATCAAATATCGCCGATGAATTGAAATCCGTGTAATGTAATACATATACTTGGCGTTGAAGATGACTCTTTCGAAAAATTGTTGGTTGATAGATCTTTGGTAATGCATTTGGTCGGGGATCATGAAGTGATGGCTCGCAAGGGATTGGGGTTGTGAAAAAGAATATTATCTGACTATGTTTATAATTTCATGGAGAGGAATGTGAGACAAAAGAAAAAAAATTATTCATATACTAAAGTTTCGTATATCATCCCCACCTTAAGCATTCTCCGGCGTGGGATGTCGAAAACTTTCTTCCTCCGCCTCACATTCATCTCCAAGAAATTATACACATAATCGATCAACACCCTCTTCCCAAATCCCGACCCTTTACGCGCCATCACTTCATGATCCCCGACCAAATGCACCACTCCACTTGGCCAAACATTCTCCAAATCCTCCACATCATTATCGACCTCTTCTCTACACACCTCATCTTCACTCCTAGGCTCCTCCACGATGAACTCCCTCAATCTATCAACCAACAATTTCTCAAAAGTGTCCTCCTTGACACCATGCGCATCATTATACCCATAGCTCACTGCGCAACAATACAAATTCAGATCCCACGGCTGCATCCTCCGCAAGACAAACCTCTCCTCCACCGGCACTTTGCTGATCGGCAAAGATTTGAATGACACGAAAAAAAGGACAGAGTGAAGCGCCGGCACATTCTCGACATAATGCATGAACAGGGGAGGGATTCCGTGAACCATCTCCGAGTAAAAGATGGCGAGCCCCGGCAGCCTTGTTAACTTGGCTTCTCTAAAAATCTCCATCGCCATCTCCGGAGAGACACTGTGCTCCACCTCGTAGCAGTACCTCTTCCTGTACACATGGTTCCACACGTAGGTGACTGTCATTATAACCGCTGCAAACGCAAGCGGAAGGCACCCGCCTTCATCGAACTTGTAAAGAACTGCGCTCAAGTACACCAGCTCCGCCGTGCCGAAAACCAAAATAAATCCGATTACAAGCACCATGTGAGTCTCCCAGATCACTAGCATGACAAGAACCAGGTAAGAGTCATTACAAACACCACAGCAATCCCTGCATTTATTATAGAATGAATGGGAAAAATCTTGAGAAGAGAGAGAGCTGTAGCTATATATATATATATATATATATACCAAATATTATTATTACTATCTCCTGTATTTTTTTTTTTTTGGCATCCTGTATCATTTCAAAATTAGAAATTTTGTATTTTGGGACCTGGTATAATGTGGATTTTTTAAAAAACAAAAATGTATATATAAATAAATAAATATATTGTTATTTTTAAATTTTATAAAACTACAAATTTTGCCATGACTCCATCCAAAAAAAAAGAAAAAAACGACAAATCATTTTAGACTTATTATTCATATTAATATCAATAATAGTAATATAAATTATGTGCCATAAATTAAAATACTATATTAACCTATACTACTTTTTATTATTTATTCTATTAAAATATGCGCATTGTTAGTACAATATTGAATAAAATGATTCAATCTTGAGTACGCTAATAGCTTTCATTATTATTATCACATGCGTGCCCACCCTCTGTTAGTCATATCCCCTACGGCCCTAAATAAAGAAACCTAAGATGGAGCAAAATAAGTGAAATCAAAAGAGCAATTTAGCAATTTCTATCCTTTTTCTTGTTATAATAATTTATGTATTTCTTTTACTATACTCTTCACGGGTTAAATCAACAACTCTACTAATAGTATACCATGCATGCAGATTAATGTAGAATTCAAATATTGAAAAACTATAAAAAGTTAAAATGGTAACCTCGCCGTTGTTGTTGGCAAGCAGGACGATTAAGACGTATTTGATGAGCAGAATCGACCAACGTCAAAGTGTAGAAGATAATCGACACAACACTTATAATGGTCATCCTTGTCCTGGATTTCTCCGGTGAAGGTCCCCGCCAGTACGTACAACGGCGACGTACCGATGTCGATCCGCACACCACTCCAATGCTCTGAAATGCTAATTGCAGCATCACTCCGGCGCCGGGCGCCCTATGTACCAAAAAAGCACAAATTATAATTCATATTCAGCCACAACTAACACAGAGAAGCAATTACGAATTCCTGATCGGACAATTTGCGCAGACCTTAATAGAGGCTCTGCCGTTGGCGGCAACCTCGCGGCAGGTCACTGTGCCTGAGCTTGTTGTTTCCGGTGGATTCACTTGCAGTGTATGTATCCATAATATTTTAGGTTAATTATCGAGGAATTGACGGCTTCTCTGGAGGAGTTATGAGAATAAAATAGAGTCGAATTGGGAGATTGCAGGAAGATGAATGAAGAGTGGATCCATACTTGTATGTTATTATTACACTAAGGAGGAAAGAATATTCCGATGAAGATCGCCTATTATGGAATGCTATACAATAATATGCATAGGAACACATAGAAATTAATAATATTGCATTTATTTTAACTATAGGCAGAACAAAAAACAAAAAAAACAAGCGTTTACTGTGGATGTTGAGGTTGGATTCGAAAGTTTAATAATAAAATTTTGAATTAAATCAGTTGTTTAATATTATAGATATGTGTTTATTTGATATTTTAATTATAAAATAAATTTTTAACGTATTATAAAAAATAAAACAAAAATGTAAATTTGATTTAATTTAATCTGAGAATAATAATAATAATAAATATTTAAGAAAAAACCGCGAGCAAACAGAAACTAAAACGGCTTAACGGAGAAATGCATCCATGGAATTAATATTGCAATATGTTACTAGATTTTGATAAATTTTTATTATTATTATTTTATCTAGAATAATTTTATAAATAATGTAAAAGCATAAAAATAGATAATATCTTAAATTAAAAATATAGTATATAGTATTATTGAAGTAGCTTCTAGTTTAATACTCAATAGTGCGGGATGTTTACGTCAATTTCCTAGATACAAGATTAAATAATAATAATAATAATAATAATAATAATAAAAAGCTACGAATCAATAAGGTCATTTTATTTATTTATTTATTTATTAAAAAAATAGTTTCTTAATTTATTCACATACAAAATTTTAGACGATTATTTATCGTCGTCTTCGTCGGCACTCACTCGCCTCGCAGTCGCAGAAACATGTCGGACCACAAGGCCAACATAATCGACGGTAAGGCAATCGCCCAAACTATCCGATCGGAGATTGCCGCCGAGGTCCACCGTCTCTCCCAGACATACGCCAAGGTCACTCTAATCAATCTTCTGCGTCTAATTGCTGCCCTATCTATTGGAATAGTCAAGTGTAGTTTGAGTTGATTGCAGGTGCCAGGTTTGGCGGTGGTCATTGTGGGGAAACGGAAGGACTCCCTCAGCTATGTCAATATGAAAAGGAAGGCGTGTGCCGAAGTTGGATTCAGGTCCATTGATTTGGACCTCCCGGAGGATGTCTCTGAATCCGACTTGATTAGTAAAGTGCACGAATTGAACGCAGATCCTGAGGTTCATGGTAGGTTGCTCGTAAACTTTACACAGTAAATTTTTTAGTGGCAATGATTGATTGATTTGTACGAAGGTTTCGAAGTCATTGGTTTTTTGTGCTTCCTACATTTTCTATTGGATTAATTTGGTGTTCATTGTGCAATTGTATTACCTTAATAATATTTCATAAAGTCTGTTCGCTAAATTTACACAAACTTCAACATCCAAAGATTCATTTGATATTTGTGATTTCACTACGCCCAAATTATGAATAACTTTTCACATTTCTACCTCTGTATCGACATTCCAGTTTTGAAATTTTCTGTATTTTGATCTGTGAACAATATGAACATGTCTAATATTGCCAATAGTCTGTTTTTCAGTGAGTATATATTATGGCTGTTGCAGGTATATTGGTACAGCTTCCATTGCCTAAGCATATAAATGAAGAGAAAGTTTTAATAGAAATCTCCCTAGAAAAGGATGTTGATGGATTCCATCCTCTGAACATTGGCAAATTAGCAATGAAAGGGAGAGATCCACTGTTCGTCCCCTGCACTCCTAAGGTTATACTCATAACCCCCATATGATTTTATACTATGTTTCTCTGTTATATATAAAAATGTTCGTATGCACTGATCACACAGAAGGTAATAGTCCTGCAGAAATGCTATGCAAATGCTTGTATCCTATGTTAGTTCTGATGAAATTAACTTATTATGTGACTGAGTGTTTTCATTCATTCTCTAAACAGGGCTGCATTGAACTTCTATCGCGAAGTGGAATTAGTATCAAGGGAAAGAATGCTGTTGTGGTGGGTCGTAGTAACATTGTTGGTTTACCAGTTTCTCTGCTTCTTCTAAAAGAGGATGCTACTGTTACTGTTGTCCATTCGCGCACTAAGGACCCAGAGAGCATCATTCGTAATGCCGACATTGTCATTGCTGCTGCAGGGCAAGCAAGGATGGTAACAAGGGATACACTTTACTATAATTAAATGCATTGCACCATTAGAAGCCTACCTGGTTACTCTTATGATTTCAGATCAAGGGCAGCTGGATTAAGCCTGGTGCTGCTGTAATCGATGTGGGAACAAACTCTGTGGACGACCCGAGTAGGAAATCTGGTTACAGGCTTGTCGGAGATGTTCACTTTGAGGAGGCATGTCAGGTAGCAGGATGGTGCACTCCAGTCCCTGGAGGTGTCGGCCCAATGACAGTCGCAATGCTGCTTCAAAATACGTTGGAGGGAGCTAAGAGGGTGATTGAGAAATAGGTATTTCTTCACAGTTTTCATCTTCTCTTCAGCTGTTTCTTGTTTTTCGTTTGCCTGGATATCAGGGGTTTAAGTGTACTTCTATAACAATAATAATTTAAGTATGTGTATTTATTCCATGGTTCCTGATTTTGATCAATATAAGTTTACTTATCTAAAGAATGCTCTTATGGACTTCTTGTGCTCTCTTGTTTTGAAACTAGTGTTCTCTTGATTATATTGTCGGAGTTGGTGTGTGAGCAAATCTGCAAATAAATAGTCATTACCTCCTGACAAAAGTTTGAAATTTTTTGTGATTTACAACAACCTGGGAATGGTTGGTTGGTTGGTTGATTTATTATGAATTCAGACCTCAGTGGGTATAGTAAATTTCCTCCATCTTTGTACTAATAACACATCTAATCTACAAGGCAAATGTCTTCTAAAATGGGCATTTTAGAAATGTAAGTATATATGATGTGTGCTTGTAAATGATCACTTTAGGAATGACATAATTCGTCACAGAAAATATGTTCAAACTATAATTGCAGCGGCCGATCAATTCCTCCAGTTGTGGTGAGTCTTGAGATTACATTGTGAAGACAAAAATTCAAGTATACTTTCCATACGCTACAGCCATTTGAGTTTAAGAGAAAACAGATATGGTTCTTGAAGATAGGCCATAAGTCGGCCATCCTTAGCTGGCTTTCTTTTCTAGATGAGATTTGTCGTTTGGGAAGTCGGAGTAGGGATATTCAGGTGGCATCGCCCATAGACCTCCTAAGATGGCTAAGTGAGCAGCGAGCAACAGTAGCGATGAATAAGTGTTAGATGGATACACATTCCAACAGAATTCGACAGCTGCAAATAAGACCAGCCTGTAGAATATACCAATTTGGGGTTAGATTTGCTCTCTAAAAGAAAACCACAAAGGCAAAACTTGAATGGTTAGGCAACTGACCTCAACCATACAGGAAACGGAGTTCGCCACAATAAATATGGTAGGCTATAGAAATACCTGTAGAAATAGAATCATTTAGCCATAAGGATTAATGCAAAAGTCTATTTGTAAGCGAACATATGGAATCTTAATCATCATTTTATTATGATGTCCTAAAGAAATTTGTTATTCAGTAGAGCTCCCAATTGGTAATATCAGTTGTATAAATGCAATAGTATGTCCAAAGTAAAATAGTAAGACAAAGCAAGTCACTCGGCATGCTTAGAAAACTTACCAAGAATAAAATTGATAGTGTAGAGAACGAGCGCATACAATCCCAATGAAATTCCCAACAAACATAGTTGTCACGATATCTAAATTCAGATAGTAAACAAGACGCATCAGAGAAGGTAACACACAGTTGGCTATGAGAAATTAGAATAGCTTGTCATTGCTTACGTTCTGTAGTTAGAATCCTCAAATTCGTGTTGGACTTATTCAGCTGATTCAGAGGAAAAGAACTCAAATAGGCAACCTTGAGCTTCATTTGAGCAAGTTTAGAATGTATGAGGCAAAACAACCCCCCTTCATGCCTGTTCCAAATTCACGAGGAAATAAATTAACACAAGAGAATTGAAGAAGAAGAAGAAAAGTTAATCCCCTTTACCCCTATGTGATTTTAGAAACCATCATATAGGTTCCTTGAACAATGTCAATAACAAGGCACCTAAGTTGGTTTTCTAAGATTTTCACCCACACACTATTTATTTAGATTAACAAAATAACAGCCACATTTGTAAGATCCTATAAGCATTGCAATCTTATGTAATCCACCAAATCAAAAGCATATGTTTGAAACAAAGATGAAATTATCAATTAAGCTCCAAAAGATTCTAAAATCAATCAGAAAGAACTCAAGCTCCTACATTGTACCAACCTGCACCATCTATAATGGCAAAAGATTGCAAGCAGAATCAGGTGAGTGGCCAGCAAAAATAGTGCAAGTTCTTTAGATATGAAAACTGGTTCAGGTACAAATTTAAAGTTCACAGACCTGCAAATACAGTAAACATTGCATTACCCACCACAATTAGAAAAGGAAATTCAGGAAAACTGCAAAGATGCAATATTCCACAATAATAAAGCACCAGAAAAGGCAAAATAAGCAATTAATAGTTACAAATGGAAAAAGGAAACACAGTTGATCGATAAATATTGCAAGGAAAAACAGAAAACCCATTTAAGAGTGTCCGTGAATAAGATATCCAACTGATAATAAAAGGGCAACAATGTGACTTCATTATAAACCCCAAATATCTTCATTGAATTATGGCACCGTATTAAACTAAATTAGACACTGAACAGACATATTTCCCAATAAACAGTAAAACAACAACTCAATAAATGAAATAAGAATTTTCTGGATTATTGGAAGTACCAAAAATGTATGAATACACGTCCAAGATTAAAAGCTCTTGAGATATATGGAATTGGATGTGATAATAAGAAAGGTAGCGCCAGCACAATCTGCAAAACCAAAGCACAAGATGGTTATTCACCAATTCAAGCGTGTCAAAATTTCTCACTCAATCATGCAAGAAATATTAAGTTAGAAATGCACAATTCATTCAAATGCAAGTAGAATACGTCCTTAAGATGCATTATAAAGTCTCAGAGTTGATTCATTTGAAGCAACAGAATATTATGAAGGAAAAATGGAGAGCAAGCACCTGCAGAAGTGCCGCACCTGCTAAAGAAGTTATCACTCCAAAGACATCCATAGCCTGCATTTTAAGTTCTTAGAAGTGAAATGTGGGAAGTTTCTTACAGAAAAATTACTTTTCTCATTTTTATTTTTTTAATTCAAAAACATGTGAGCTATCAAGATTCACATACCTTCAGCAAGAGGATGAATAATGGAGGTGCAAAGAGGAGAACATTCATCTTAACTGAGACGGCACCACTGTGCTAACAGGAAGAATGTCCAACACCTTTAGTCAACTAATATAAACAACAGTAATACTAAAAATGCATCCAACATTCGTACACAAATTTCACTTAATGCTGGTTTACTACCTGAAAATAATTAAGCCCATATGCCACTTTTGGTGAATGAAGGAAATCAATGCAGCATGGAAAAGGGTTGTGGCAAAGCAATCATTGAATAAACGAAGCACGAAGATGGAATGCACTCTTTTTGACAGGGAAAGCAAGCATAGAGCCCACCAAGGAACCTGCAATTTATTTTAAACATATTATCCAAAAAAGAACGTGTAGTCAAAATCAAGATTCAAATATCATAGTAACTCCATCCACACATCTAATGTACATATGTAATTATATCGAATAGAGGCAGCAATTCATCGCTATGCCGTTTAATCACCAAAGTTAAAACATGAATTCATCCACAGATATCACAAATATGAGGAAACTACCATACCACATCAGTCTTCAAGTATATGAAGAGCACCATTCCAAGATTCACAATATAGAGAATGCCAAACAAGACCTGCATCAGCATCATTCTGAAGCCATGAAACACAGCAAATAAATGAAAATGAAATAGACTGATTAAAGTCATAATACATGAGAAATCTAACTTCAATTCCTCAATTTCCAGTTATAACAAACTGCCCGTAATAAAGCCCAACACTGCCAACTCCTTTCAACTGGAAAAATGTAATTTTAGTCACATAGGAATCCTTATCACTTAGTCATGTAAGTGACTCTCGTATTAGACTGGCCATCACTAAAAAGGCCACTGTGCTGGATTTTTGCTGACCTGTAGCCTGAGCTGAACTGGAAATGTTGACATAAAATTTATTTATTTTTAATATAATAAAATGTATAAAAAAAAATAATTAATTCCATGTCAGCAGTGCCAGAAAATGTCGACAGCAGTTCAGTTCCAGCTCCGGCAAGCCAAGTCAGCACAATCCTGAGGACATTTTTAGCTAGTGCTGTATTTTTCAGGTCTAAAATGACAAGGTGTTATACCAAAATTACATTGTTATAGTTTTTTCCTTCAAAAATATAAGTGCAAGGAAATCAAATGAACCTAAATAAAATACGTACCTGCGCAGGGTATACTTCACCTCCGGTGATATACTGAATAGCGGAGTATATATACAGAAAACCTGCTGGATATACCAGAGGCCCTGTATCCCCTTTCAATTTGCTGTAATCTCTTTCGCCTCCAAGAAACCCAGTAACCTTAAACCTTAAAATCCTTGATCAGCCCTATAAACCCAAAAAAAAAAAAAAAAAAAAAAAAAAATCGAAAATCTAAAACCAAGAAGCAAAAGATACGAGCTAACCTGGGACATGTAAGCATCCCAATCAATCTTAGTATCTGAAACGCAAACATCAAGAATAGATTAAATTCGCTGAAAATTAGACAATAGAGCAACGCACTTGACAATTAAGACATCAATGTAGTTACATGGGACATAGTGAACAATTAGGAAAACCAGGACGGCATCAGCGAGCAACAACGCGACGGCGAAGAAAATTTTTCGATTTTCAAGAAGTGTATGTATGGAGTGGGCACGTCTTCCGGCAAGCTTTCCCCCGCCACCGGAGTTACCGGATGCCGCCGCTCCTCGGGCCATCGGGATCAATGGCGAAAGTACCAGCAGCACCCGACCTCTAACCCAAAAAGTAAAAATAAAAATCTCTAAGAGGCTGGTAGTGTTTCCGGCCCATATAGAAAGGTGGGCGCATTTGAAAGATGCGTGAAGCCCATGGTTAATAATACTTCATGAACTTAACAAGGAAAGCAGATCAATAGCCTACAAAAAAAATCAAAACTCACAAGGTTATACAAATATAACAATAATAATAATAATAATAAATAACAAAGAAGAAAAAGATTCTGAATGGTGGGGCTTAAGATTGGAAGACTGACTAATTAAACTCATAAAATGGCCTCCACATATGCTGATTACCATTTTGTCTCCACACGTTTGCGGAAAACTCTCCTTATAATCACTAACGGCCTGCCTGCATACTTCATAACCCTTGCTAATACCCATCCCCTCCCCCCTCAGCTCTATCGCAATGGCGGAATTGGAACCCAGGCTTCCATCAGATCCACCGGTAACTAACGCATTGCTTGCATTATATTGTAGTGTAATGTATGCTCTCCGCTGCAGCCTTTTTGTTTTTTTCTCGTAAACTGATACTCTACGGATCGGGCTGATAAGGTTCTAATTTGGTGCTGTAATTAATTAAGGTTCTCGACAATGGGAAGAAGAAGCTGAAATACCTTGATTTCGTCCAAGTTGCCGCGGCGTACGTCGTCATTTGTCTCTCCTCCCTCTACCAATACGCCAAACAGAACTCCGGTCCCCTGAGACCCGGCGTCCAGACCGTCGAAGGTACCGTCAGAACCATCGTCGAACCTGCGTATGACAAACTCCACGACGCCAGTTTCCATCTTCTCAAGTTCGTAGATCGCAAGGTTAGCTTAATCTTTCATTCCGTTTCCAAATTCCCAATTCCCTGCAAAACTATTCACCTATTTATTAATTATCATAAAAACCTTCCGGGTGCTGGGATGTTCCTCATGTGACATACAGGTGGACGACTCCGTGATCGAGTTGGACCATCACGTGCCGTCCCTTCTAAAGCAGGTCTCGCGCCAGGCCTTGGATGCAGCTCGGGAGCTGCGCCGGCGCGGCTTGGCCTCCACGGCCAAGACGGCTTACGTGAAGTACGAGCCCACCGCGAAGGAACTCTACGGCAAGTACGAAATGATGGCGGAGCAGTATGCAGTGGCGGCTTGGCGCATGCTTAACCGGCTCCCACTGTTCCCTCTAGTGGCTCATGTGATGGTGCCGACTGTTGCCTATTCGGCGGAGAAGTACAACCAGGCCGTCACCTACGCAGCCGGGAAAGGCTATACGGTGTCGTATTACCTGCCAGTAGTGCCCATAGAGAGAATCTCCAAAACGTTTCAAGAACACTGCATTGATGATCAGCCTCCCAATTGCCCTTCCTACGTCGCCTAACACTAACAGTAACAGTAATACTATATTTATTTGATTGCCATAACCATCTTGGCTGGATGATGATGATGCACACATCCAATATTTTCATTGTAATGTTGTCAGACAATAGTTTATTTGGATTTGTTTTGGCCCCATTCCGAGCCTCATCTAATTCTGCACTCATATATAATAACATCAAGCAGGAAATGAATCCTTATTCCACCAAATTAAACAGAAACGAAACAAAATCTTGATCATCAGTAGGTTCAAAATTCGCATCAGATACTGGTGGAGAATGAAAATATTAAAGTGATGCGATATATTAATGGTAATGATGATGATCAAAGCAGAGTAGTAGCTAACATCTCAAATAGAACTGAATCAGGGAAGGGAATTATCAAAAAAACTAGTAGATTGAGTACTTCTCACCAGCAGAAGCAGCACCTGGGACGAGCTTCTTGTAGATGGAAATGGCGGTTGGAAGAATAGCCGCAAGAGCCAGAGAGAGATGCTCGGAAGTGCTAGTCCTTACGGTAACCTGACCGCTAAGCTTGTTGTTAATCCCAGCACGAACAGCTACCTTAGAATTGCGCCCGATGGAGAACTGAGCCAGGCTGTTGAACCCCAGAGCTAAATCCCCTCTCCATTTGATTATGGACATGCTGAGCGTGGATTGAACTTGGCCAATTGGGTAATCCACCTCCCTCCGCTGCAGTTCAAAGTTGGCTCCATAAGCGGTGTTCTGTTGCGACCGCACGGCTCCAGCACTGCCCACCACAACATATTGTTTTCCCAATGTAATCTGGTCTTCAACCTTCACACCGGGAACCACATTCTCGCCTAGAAATGTGACAGATATTCCCCCGGCTGCTTTGTGCTTCTTGAAGCTTTTTACTTTGGTTTCCCCTCGGAGGATGTAAGCCAGCTGCTTTCCCATACTCTGGATATCGAAGCCTGCCATGCTTGACAGATCCTCGCCATGCTTAAGTGAAACTGAGGAATCCAGACTGACGGTGAAGTCTTTCTTGTCCTTTGTTATTTGAATAGTATATGCCACTGGGAAACGATTAGCAATAGCTAAGCTGTGTTCGAGGTTGACGCCATCGTAGCCACAGTCATGGTCCCAACCATGGTTATCCAGAACTGGCCTTGCAAGAAACTGTGTGGTTGGCTCCAAGAACCGGTACCTATATGCAGGATTATCACCATCAAAAGTAGGGGGCAGCGCCATGTCGGGTAAGGGAACTGCCACAGGTGCCGCAGCTCCTGAATCTGCATCCTCCTCTTCTGGTATAGCATCTTTGCCTCTCTTCTTGAACTCTTTCATTCTTCTCAACTCCTCTTTCCACTGTTTCTTCTGCAGAAGCTTCACTCGATAATCATATTCTTCAAAATATGCTCTCCTCTGTTCTTTACTGAGTTTTGCCATCTGAGCCTTCTTGAGAGGCTTGAAAGGTGGAAGCTGATCATACTCATCCTCTTCTTCGCCATCAGAGTCAGAGAATTCATCCAGATCAATATCAGAATCAGCATTCTCACCACCCTGATCGGATGGAAGCTTTGGGTGTGGCCTAGACTGCAGCATGGAGGACAGCATGTATGGAAGGGGCGGCACACGAGCCCGGAAACCAAATAGCTTTCTATGATCAAAGGGATCTTGAGGTTTGGAGATGGAATTTGCTTCAGATAAAATCTTCATTGAGTAACATAGCAACAGTAACTGCGGCCTCCAGCTCTGGCCATTGGGTAGTATTTTCTGACCTTCCCTGTTCTTCCTACAAGAGGGGTGATTTTCCACAAGTGAGACAGGATTCATCAGGCTTGGGCTCATCATGCGAAGATCACCAGCCGCATGACCAATGGACTGCTGGACAACATGAGACCTCTGAGAGACAAACATCTCATAGCTCAGAGGATTGCCATTAGGCCCGTCCGGAGGTGCAGAAGCAGCATGAGTTAGGGTGACTACAGCACTTCGCCAGATAGAGGGGCCAAGAACACCGGCAATGGTCTTCAGAAGGGGCAGATCATTGAGATCTCTAGTTTGGGCATCCAATCGGTCAACATAAAGGAGGACATCAATAGGACTCTTACTAGTGAGCTTTTTCACAGAGGATAAGACAGCACGGTTGAAAGACTGTTCCATTGCAGAAGTTTTAAGGCCTGGTGTGTCTATAAGTCGAACCTTCACACCATCAACAAATCCAGTTATGTCTCTTGCAGTATTTGTCCCAGTATTAAATGCATCAATCGGAGCCTTTTCCTCCCCAAATATTGAGTTTATAGTGGCACTTTTACCCACCCCAGATTTTCCCAGAACCAAAATGTTTACAGAAAAATCCAAGTCATCTTTGTTCTCTGATTCTAGCTGCGAAGCCATCCTCTTTGCTGCATCCAAGCTATAATTTTGGATGCCCTGTCTTCCACCAAGAAGTGCAAGACGATACAAAACCTGCGCTGCAACAGACTCATCTGGAGACAGGCCTAACCGATGAAGAAGCCTCAGAAAGTTCACTCTGATCTTTTGCAACTTCTCCAATTTCTTCTTTTCTTCTTCACTCAAGTTGCCCTCAGATTCACCACTACCAGCAAGTGTTGGAGCACTGAAAAGATTGGGGCGATTCGATTGCGGACCAGGCCTAAAAGACCGAAGAGAAGATCCCAGGCCAGCAGGACGCTCGACTGAAAAAAGCCTGGTTCCATCTCGAGAAGTGATAGTAATGTTACCACTGTCTGAATCACTGCCTGTAGCAGCCTTCAAAAGAGCTGCCAGGGCAGCAGAATCAAACAATTCCTTCCCCTCTCCTTCTTCCTCATCTTCAGTATCACCTTCTTCTGAATCTGTGATGATTTGGCCATCAATCCTCTGAGAATGCTCAAATGAACCTTCATCAACTGCATGAGAATCCTCACTGGACCCCTGCTCCAACTCCTCCATGAACTTCTTGGCAGCTTCAGAGCTTCCAAAGATCAAACCATCAGTATCTCCCTCTTCTGATTCCTCTGCTACCACATCCTCTAACACCCCATTCCCCTCAGCCCCAGAGGCATCAGCAGGCTCATGTTCTACCTCCGGTTTCTTCACAATGTCGGGGGCTGCACTTCTATCAGCAGAACCAATAGTTTCAGTGGCCGTGCTGCTATCTCCAGCTATGGAATCTCCTGTACCAAATTGCTCATCCTTTTCCTCGGCTGCACTTCTATCAGCAGAACCAATAATTTGGATGGCCGGGCTGCTAACTCCATCTATGGCATCTCCTGTATCCAATTGCCCATCCTTTTCCTCCTCACTCGCATGAATTTCTGGCTCAAGTGGCTTCTTCTCCAAATTTTCCTCTTCACTCGCGTGAATTTCAGGCTCAATTGGCTTCTTCTCCAAACTTTCCTCCCCACTCGCATGAATTTCAGGCTCAAGTGGCTTCCTCTCCAAACCATCCCCTTTATTCACATCTTCAGGTTCAGAAATTTTATAATCCGCACCAATTTCCTGCATACTCACTACTGATTCCTCAGCTGATGCTTCTTCTGTCCTGTTGCCTCCATCCCCTTCCCCCTCCCCAACAACAGCTGCTCCCGAGCTTAACAAATCGACCTCAATGCTGTCAACAATCGAGTCACCCTTAGGGGCGTCACCAGAACCAATTGGTTTGGCAACATCTGCCTCGGCAACCTCATTGGTATCCGGTCCATTGCCTTCCCCCTCATGTACAACATCAACATGAGTGGTCTGAACTGTAGAATCCCCTTCAGCTGCAAGCTCCACATCAGTGGTATCATCAACCAGCGACGATTTTTCAGATTCAACAGCTGCGCCGTCGACAACTAGGTTTACCTCAGATTCACTAACCTGGCCTCCATTGTCCGCGTGCTCGATATTGCCCTTATCATCCTCGCCATCATCCCCCTTCGACTCAACGTGATTAACCAAAGACTTTCCACCAAGCGGAACATCATCAGACCCACCCTCGCCCTCGCCTTCATCCCCCACCGGCAAAGGCTTATCCGACGCCGCTTCAAACTCCTCCTCCCCGCTCAAATAAGCAACCCTACCATCACTACCGTCATTATCTACGGACTTATTAAAGCTGCTAGCAGATGAAGCAGCGTCCATAGCGGAAGAGAGGAAGGAAAAATTAGGAGAAGGCGTTGGAGTAACAGAGGATAAGGAAGAGATAAGGTAGGTATGTTGGTACGTATTTATACGAGAGCAAGGAAGGGGTTTCTTCTCGACGCGAACACACACACACACACACAACAGCGACTGCTAGACGCTACATTTTATTTATCTATTTTTAATAATAATAATAATAACAACAACAGTAATTAATTATTTCGGTTTAGCTTGAAAATAATAAATAAATAAATAACCAGTTGCCACTTAGGTTACGTATCTGAATTAAGAGTGCAAAATTGTTTAATTCAATGCCAATGCACGCAGGATTCATGAACCAACGGTGAGGATTGCTCTGGCAGGAATTGAGGATCGGGATTTGTTTGTTTTCTTTTTGTATCTGCATAACAGATTTGTTTGTGTTAGTGGATATTTGACATTTGCAAGTAAAAAATGTTAATTTAATTGACAATAAATATATATACGTTTGTTTCTTCCAGTCCACTCTCATCTGTTTTATCTGCAAATGGATGGCCAAAGCTCTGCCTCTCAAGCATTGGTTATCTGCAACCAAAGCATTATTATTACTATTTGATAAGATGGGATTTTATTTTATTGCTTTCAATTTATGCTTCTGATTTTTTCCACGTACTTTATATTTATGTGTACATATTAGATAAGAATATGAAAATACAAAATATCTGATACAATCATACAAGCAAAAAGGTAAGGGTGCTTTCAGAAAGAATTCTCTGTGACTAACTACTGTCATTTTAATTTTTCAAATAGGCCCAAAAAAAAAAAAAAAAATCTAGAAAAAGTTCTTGAATTGAGGACATATTTGGCTGAACATGCCCACCGAGGGTTCCCAACTCTCCTCTTGGGGCTGCCACACTTACATAAAGTAACTGTTAGGACAATGCAAAAGTTGGAGAAGATGTTTACTAATAGACATATTCGATTTATGATCTTTCATCCTATCAAGATATTGAATATCTAAACAAGACATTAACTTATCATCGATCCCAGAAAAAAGTTTTGCCATTTTCCACAATTCATTATTCAACATACAAATTGTTCATACAAAAATTTAGGCATACGAAAATGTCCGATGTGCAATACTTTTCTGGCGCACAATAAATAATCTAGCACATAATATTTAGATTTATTAGGATAGATAAACCATACCAGTGTAGTAAGTAGTAACATTGTAGTTAGGAGATTAGAGCAGCATCATCCATCAAGGAGTTGGAAGTCGTTCTCTCCAACTCTAAGTCTCTTTCCAATTCTTCCCTTGTCAGAAGCCTACTTGTGGGTGCAAAGTTTGAGCTTAAATGATTTTGGGCATCTTCCAGGTCTTCAGATTTTAACACAAAATGGTTGCCTACTGCATCAATGGTTCTATCTATGAAATTTGACCTTGATATATAGTCTTTCATACGGCAAATGAACTCCAAATGATCCCTTTCCTAAAACCAGAAAAAGATAAACATTAGGTCCAATAGATTGTTTTGCATCTAGAAGCACTTGCAATGGAGTCTAGACTTGCAAGAAGAGCATGTTGAATCAAATAAAATTACAACAAATATAAAACAACACAGATTGTTAGAAGCTCAATATTTTAAGTCATCAATGGTTGTCTTGTTGTCTTGGCTGCCAAAATTCATAAGCAACAAATTAAGCATGTGTATTTGCTCATTTATGGACTTGTTTAAGCAAATTAGAACACTGTGTTTTTTTGCAGGGATTTCTACATCGAAAGGAATAGCAAATGTAGATACAAAAATGGGGAAAATCTATAAAACATTTTGATCAAGGTCAAATGAAAAGCACCAAATAGATAAAATGCGTGCACACCTGTCTATACTTAGGAGCGCGTTTTGGCATCTTGAGGTAGCCCATATTACTCTTCTGATAATCCCACAGAAAGGATGTATGATGAACCCACCTATTTTTTATAATCGATTGGGCATTTCCACCAAACTTGCGGTTGCCAAGTATGTAATCTGAAGAATCAAACATGGTTCCATAATGATTCTCATACTTCATCTATTATTCCGCAAACTTTTGTGAAATGCAACACACACATGTAATAGATAATGATTTGCCTCTTCTATCTTGCACTATATATCAAAATACTGGTACAGTAAAATTTATCCAAGTGAATAGCTGATCTGATTAAGAGATGGGTAAAGGGTCCATACAGCATCACCTGACAGTTGTCAGGGTTACCATATTTCATCAGAAATCCCCGGAAAAGGAAGAGACGTCATGAAAAAGCTGTGGTACCCAATACGAACCATTTTCGTGCAGTCTGAAATCACCAATTCCTTGAAATACTTTCTCATAGATTAAGCTGCTCCATGACATGATGGGCTTAGGATAGGATTGCAAATCTGGAACCGCACCTTTATTGCATATAAATGTTACAAAAATTGTGGCCTGATCAACAATAACAGTACCACCTCCAGTAAATCTTCGAATGACTGGAACATCATCTCTTATAACAGAGTCGATGTGGATAAGTTCCTTGGGCTTCCTATCACAAACATTCATGCATTGCACATCAAATTGTTGTATTTAGTTGTAACATATGGAGCCATGGCACAAGAACAAGCAAGGTAAGATGTTTGTCAATTCCCTTCTTTTTTTCTTTAATATCAATTCCTAAATTTGAAACCTCCAAGTTTCAAGATGCTAATGCACTAACAAGTCAACCAAACACAACAGGGACAGTGGTTTCCACGTTTAATGCATACTCTAGCATGGATGATTATTCAGGCATGAACATAACATGAATATATATATATATATATGTATATAAACAAGCATACAGATTAAGTGTAATGGTAAAGTAGAAACTCGCACACTAACGCAAACATGTACCAGAAATATTCATATTTATATTCTAAACATCAAGAATATACAAGGAAACCATACATACAATAAAAATAAATAAACGTACCAAATAGATCCCAATGCATAATAAGGCAAAAGTGCATGATTAATACTAGTATGTAGTTTCTAACTCTGATGCTACCAATTACAGAATTTCTATCTAAGGCCAAATTGTTATAAATTTAATTCTATGTGAAATTTGTCATTAACAATCAGCAGTAATACTAATGGCTCTTGCAATGCTAAATAATGTCACAAAAGCTCTCTGTATAACTACAAGTAAAGCCAATTCTCTTACATTTCATTATCCCTACAATCCAAAACTCAACTCTTCACATTACAGTACTTATGAGAAACCAAACAAGCACAGAACAAAATACAAAAGATTACCCAAAACAAAGAAAGACAGCAAATCTTATAAACAATTAGCTACATAGGCAGTAAATTGTAAAAGCACTCACCCGGAGATACCCATTACAATGGTCGGATCAATTGTTCCATCATTAATGATGAACCAGTTATCAGAAGTGGTCCTCAGCAGTCTCTCCTCCAAGTGCAATTGTTGCAGAATGGGCACTCCTTTTAGCCTGAGGATATTGATCAGAGGCAACCCAACACTTCTTGTTGGAGATGCACTCATTGCAACTGAAAGAAAAACTATAAAAAACAATTTTACTCTGCAACTCCTCCCACAACCAAAATATGCTGCAGAGCTTCTCCAATATCTAGCTAAATGCAAACGCTAAACACAAATCAAAGGGGTGAACTTCAACAGAGATAGAGAATTCAACATTGCCCAGAATCAAGTTTTTCAGACAGGGCTGTGGAAAATTTTAATATGATAGTCAATGACATTATCACAGAAAATTATGATTGAAAAACAAGTAGATATGCAGAATTAATTTAAAACTCCAATCCAAAATGAATTAGTGAAACAACTTCAAAGTGATATTTCTTTTCACAAATTCAACCGCTCACATTATAGCCGCAGGGCCTTCGAAAAGCTCCCGGTGCTTTTCTTCTGCAGGACACCGTTCGTAGAATTCAAAGTCGCGTCTGTGACGCAGTTCCGCAATTCCTTATTCCAGCCGCAGTTCACACGGTTTTTACAACTCGATTCGCCACATAAACGTCCGCCGATCGTCAGGGTCAGGTGGTTAAGCGGAGGCGAGGGCGAGTGCGTTCAAGAAAAAAAAGAAGCAAAAGAGGAGTGGTGAGGAGGTCAAGAAATTTTTTGCGGTCAAAATGATGCTGCGGAATAGGAGCTGTGATGGCGACTATGAAAAGAGATGGTAGCGGTTGTCGACGGCGATCGGGCTGCGCGGCTCTGCGGCCAGACGGAGGAATAACAAAGAAGCGTTGAAATCCCCCGGTGTAATTCCAGATTTGTACCATAGCCATCATCTCTATGACAATTAGGATTTGGACAGCTCCGAATTCAAACAAATTTTTTTACTATTTTCATTCCAAAAATAGTTATACTTTAGTACAAAAAATATGTAATTTGTATTTAAATTACAATTATATTATTATAAATAAATCAAGATAAAAAATATATATATATATTATATATTTTCATTAACTAATAAATTATTTTATTACATATTGAGTGTCTTAATCACTGTAGGACACAGAAATTTATGATAAATATAATGAGTAGATAATTAAAAATATATTAATTGAAAATAATTAACATGTATTCTAAATTAAAATAACGAATTAATTTAATTAAAATTTGAAAAATTAAATCAAAAAATTTAAAATAAAATTAAGATGGGTAACTAATTTGAAAAAAAAATAACATGAGATGTAAGACGGACAAAAATAGCAATATGAGAGTGTACTTTTTAGTTGACTCAAAATAATTATTAATTATTCTCTTATTAAAATTATTAATTTAATATATACTATTACTGTATTTTTTATATTATAAATATATTTTTATTTATTCTGCAAATATATATGATATGGAGTACAAAATACTACTAATCAATAGCATAGTAATTTATACCTTTGTCTCCAAAATATATACTCCCTCTTTCTAATTCAAATATTTTCTTATTGTATTCAAAAGTATTATTTTCTTTTTTTAAGCTATCTTTAATCCTAGTTTTTTTTGCATGTTTATAAAAAAAAAATATAAATTATTTTAATTACATATTGTTTTTTTGTGACATAAAAATCCACAATTGTTATCCAAAAATACACATTGAATAAAAGACAAGTCAAGACGAATAATATGTGCCAGACGACCTACTGATTTGAAGCTAATTACATATTGTATTTGAACTGTGTATTTATATTATTACATTTTTAAAAGTATACTACATAAATTAAATTATTAGAATTTTAGTTATTTGGATTTGATTTGCAATATTTTCAAATATTTTACTTAATTTTAATTATTTGTTGATTATATATATATATATATATATATAAGTCAAGTAAAAATATAAAACATATATACTCCTTTCATTTACTAACAAATATTTTATGAATCAATATTTTATAGAGATATAATATAATAAAGTAATATAATATTCAAAATAAAAAGCATGAGTATTTTAGTATATATTTATTATATTTTATATGAGTAATGTTATTAATATTTAAATATTTTTAATATATTATATTTTAATAAAATATATTATACAACATGATATTATTTATCATAAAATATCGTATTAAATAGTATTTATTTTTACTATTTCAAAAGAAATATACTAAACTCCATATTTTGAATTATTAGTTATTTTTTATTTTTCGATAAAAAAATACTAGTAATAAAATAGTATTTTAATCAAAATCCAAACTTCAAAACTCAAACGAAATGGAATAGAAACACATCCCAAATGTCTCTTGCGCAAACATAGAGTCAAACTAACAATGCATTAATTTATGTAGTATTTTAATTTAAAATAATTTTTATACAACATATAAAGAACAAACTCAGCAACATTATCTAGAAAATATCAAATTATAAGTAAGATATAATATACACTATATCAACTTATAAAAAATGAATAATATATGATTTTTTAATATTTAATATAGAAAAATACAAAACAAACAAAATTTAAATTTAATACAACAAGGTGGTCGGATCAGTAAAAAGTTTAAAGTTTTGAACTTTAACACTATTTTATTTAAAATATTAGATTAAATATATATTTGTCTAATAAATATAACATTAATTATGATTTTTTTTTTATTACTTTTAAATTTACAAAACCCTTCAATAATCTGTCGAAACAAAGCCTAGTAATTTTAACTATTTTATTATTGAGTCAAAGTACCGGGAATATCATGGTAGCAAAATTCAATTACATGTATCCAATAATGGTTAATTAATCGTATTCACCATTCCCAATTATAATATTATACAAAATATATGTAATCAAAATGCAGTTTCAATCTTTATGAAACGTAACGCAATTTTCATAAAATAATATATTTATAATATTAGACATTGTTTCAGAAATATAAAGTGAAATAAAATATTATCCAAAACAATAAAAAAGAGCATAATAATGGGTTGAGGAAGCAGAAAAGGTACTTAAAAAAGTGAGGTGGCGAATTCAAAATTGACCACAAATAGTCAACGGATCCATTACATAAACCCGACCCGGAAGCTCACCTAACACCTTTTTTTAACAATGAATTATCTTAACAGTGAACGGATTACGGGTTGTGAACCGCCCCGTTCCGTCCGACCAGCCGGAGAGCGCCGATAATTTATTTATTTATTTTTTCATATTGAATATATATTTATTTATATAAAATGTATTTTTATATGGAATTATTTATTGCGAAAAAAGCAAATGCGTTGAGCTGTGACTTTGCCTGAGCCGTATGGCTATATATATATGCAGAAAATCTCGTAATTATTCACTTTTTGGGTCTGCAATTCTTCCATTACATCTCCTCACCCTCTGTCCCCTTGTTTCTCTCTCTTTCGACCTACAGATTTGGTGTAATTCTTTGGGTGCGTTAGATTTCTTGATTTTTTTTGTTTCTTTGCTTTGCCCCGGCGGAGCAGTTTCTTGATTTTCATTTCCATTTGATAAAAGATAAAGAAAAAAAGAGATCAGATTTGTGTTGTAGAATCATTAGATCAGGGGGGGAAAATGGTTGAAACGCGGCGGAGCTCGTCTTCCTCCTCCAAGCGCCCTCTCTCTTCGCCTTCGTCTTCTCCGCCTAATGGAAAACGATCCAAAGTTGGGGTTTTTTCTTTTTCTTCTATTTGATTTATTGTTTCTTCTCATTTCGTGGAGCTATTCTATTAATTTCGCGTTTTCCGGGGTGGTTTTGATTTTTGGGGTTTTACCTGCATGCAGGCGGTGGAGCCGTCTTGTCCATCGACGAGCCGTTCGTCGCCATCGGGGGAAGTCGTGGGCGCGGCCGTGGAGAAACAGTTGGAGCACGGATCCGCTGATCTGGTTGACTCCGCCGCCGTGAATCAGTCAGATTATGCGGCGGCTGAGGGGGCCCTGGGAGCGGCCATGGAAGGTGAGGGTTTGTGCATGAGTTTCATCTTTCTAGAATTTTATTTGTTTGGCGGGTTCCGAATTCTTGAAGTTGATTTCTTTCTTGGAATCTTTGGCTGTGGGATGTAGGCGTTTCGGTAATTGATGGAGAGACCGGAAAGTCGAATGGGACTTCAGTGAATAGGGGGAAGAAGCGGCAACCGAAATCTAGCGGTGGAGTTGCATGGGGGAAGCTCCTTTCACAGAGTTCACAGGTGGGTTTACATCTCATTCCGTTTCTGCTCTTTAATTTTTCTAATGATTTCATAACTTCAATATTCAAGAAACAAATTCAAGCTCAATTTTAATCTGGATCTACAGTGGATGTGTGTTCTCCTCATACTTAATCAATCTCGCCATCTATAGCTAATTCAAATATAAGAAGTTAACAATTGTTGGTAGAGAATATATCTTTGGTCGGGATGGAGGACATCTTCTTTCCTGACACTAATTCGAAAAGAGCAGCTAATTACATGGCAGATTCAGTTAAGGAGAGACTTTCTTATGATATGACCAGAATCTTTATTTTCATTTACAGATATCATATTGTCTAACAAAGGCAATGTTCGATGTTTTGGGAAGCGTTGCATCTGGGTCATTCTGTTGAACTAATTCTGTTTCTATTGCATACAACCTTATATGTATTACAACAATTTCTTAATCAGGGTGCATGTATTTGTGTTTAGTGTTACTTTTGGTTTTGGCTTTCACCATTCAAAATCATTTCTTGACTGCCAGTCTTTTACGCATTGTTTAATCCAGGATCCACATGTGACCATAGAGAGTCCTACTTTCACTATCGGTCATGGTCACCAATATGATCTATGTCTAGACGATCCAAGTGGCAGTAAATCCTTGTGCAATCTGAAGCGCATGGAGCCTGAGGTTTGTCATGGTTCTTTTCCAGGAATTCTTGAGCTGTTTAAAAAATTGCATTCCTATTCTATAATGTGATTTGTAAATGCTTGTGACCTCATTTTCTTTAAACACTCTTAGGGAGGTGAACCTGTTACTTTGCTTGAAATCACTGGGAAGAAAGGAGCCGTACAGGTTAATGGGAAGGTTTATTCCAAAGATACCACTGTTCCTCTAAATGGAGGGGATGAGGTTGTTTTCAGCTCAACTGGTAGACATGCTTATGTATCCTTTTGTCAGCATAAATTTAGTTCTTGCCTTTGTAGTTGAGATTGGTTGGTGTTTTGACTTTTTGTTCCGGAGGTGGTTAGGATGCACATATAATAGAGACGGATTTGTTTTATCATGTGAAATTATCTCATGTACTGTATATTATACTATTACGTGTTGCAAAATATGCCCATGCTTATTTTGACGTGTCAGCACGGAAGACGAAGCGGTTTTGTGCCACACTGTAAAATGATATTTTTGCCTGCCTTCACATTGCATGTGCATAGTTTCCTTGACATGCTATTAGATTTTTCAACATCTGATCAGCAGTGGCGAATCTTCAACGGGCGTCTCTCCCTCAGTTGGCCTATTAGAGGATCATGATGGTTCCATAAAAGGATTCAACATTGAGGCTAGATCTGGGGATCCTTCTACCGTGGCTGTTGCCTCAACATTGGCATCACTATCAAATCTCAGTAACCAATTATCTCTTCTTCCTCCATCAGCTCGCAATGGCAAAGAAATACAACAAGGTTCTGAAATACCATCTGTTGCTTCTGCATGTGAAGTTCCTGATACTTGTGTTGTTGATACTGAAATGAAAAATGCTTCTACCCATAATGATCATGCTTCTGCATCAGTTATAGAGAATACTGGCGCACCTCCTGCTGATACTGCCAATGATAATTTGAATATCAATGCTGATAGTGGTGGAAAGATGGCAGGGGAAAATGATAGTTTGAGACCAGTCATACATTATCTTTCCAGTCCAACAGATCAAGTATTTGATATGACCGACAACTTATCAAGACCTCTTGAAGAGCACAGGGTACCAAGAGATCATTGCAAGGGTTCTGATCCTATGCTTACAAGTCCATCAAGACCTACCGCATACTCACCAAGACATCAAGGCTTCAAAGATTGTTTGCAGCAAGGGCTAATTGATTGCGATGCCATTGATGTTTCATTTGATAATTTCCCATATTATTTGAGGTAAGCTTTGCAATGTGTAGCATTCTACTTTGTTTATTTACTTTCATCCCCAAATACTTTTGGCAAGTGATCATTGAGAGACGCCAGAGCTTTATGGCCTTGACTGCATTGCCTTTAAAAATTAAAGTGGTGTTTTTGGTATACCGTAAAGACTTTAGGTTTGAATTTTCATGTATATGTTGTAACTGAATGGTATGTTGTACGTAGGTGATATCTCTGTCTAAGGTATGGAATATAATGTTACGATATAACATTGTGTATTTGAACTATCTTGTACATGCTTGATGTGTGTTTCAATGGTGTTGTCAATTACTTAAATATATATATTCTCCATGAATGTCTTTTTACATGCACATTGAATCATCTGTCCTTATATATGTATGTATATGATCATATACTTTTTAATTTGCCTAACTATATGTCCAAGAATGTTCACTTACTTACACATTGAATCATCTGTCCAAGAATGTCCACTAACATATGTGTCTTTCCTAACAGTGAGACAACCAAGAATGTTCTCGTTGCTTCGACATACATAAACCTAAAGTGCACAAAATTTACAAGGTTTACTTCAGATCTGCCTACAGTGTGCCCTAGAATTTTATTATCAGGTCCATCAGGTAATGTTTTTGTTTTATGTTTCTTCTAGAGTATCATTTTGTTTTACTTCCTGATTAAACTGATTTATTGCTAATCTCTTGTTAGGTTCTGATATATATCAAGAAAAATTGACCAAGGCCCTTGCCAAGTATTATAGAGCTAGGCTCCTTGTAGTTGATAATATTCTTCTACCTGGTGTAAGTTCTTATTTTAGCTGTTATCAACTTTATCTACTTGGAGTAATTTCTTTTTTCGAGCTATTCTATGTTTTTTCTTGTAGAATGTACTTATATTAACTTATGAGTTATGACTTGGAAAAATCATATAGGCCTCGGTGCCAAAAGAAGCTGAATCTTTGAAAGATAGCTCAAGGATTGAGAAAGCTAGTATTTTTGCGAAACGAACTACTACTACTCTACAAATTAAAAAACCAGCATCAAGTGTGGAGGCTGATATTACAGGTGGTTCAGCTATAAGCTCTCAGGCTCAGCCCAAGCAGGAAGCATCTACTGCATCATCTAAAAACTACACTTTTCGCAAAGGTATCTTGCTTTGTTGTATATTTTTATTTATTTGATTATTCACCATCCTTGTTAAATGATCGTTGTGTTCTTTTGGCAGGAGATAGAGTAAGATTTGTGGGTTCTGTGCAATCTGGACTTCCACCTACTCAAACTCCAATCAGGTAATGGGAGCGCGAACTTTTTGTTCCAAATTCAACATTTTGTGATTTCTTTTTAAATAATATATCTTTGATGTTCTAATTAACAACATGCCATTGTTTTGAACTTTTGATGGATTAATGAGAATGCTAGAAACTTGGTTCACCTGAATATGGAATGTATAGAGGGAAATGAAGTTAAAAATGAATTATCAACATCATTCTGTTAATCAACTTTTTTGTATTTGCCTGCATGACCATTTTTGTACATCGTTCTTTGTATGGTCTTACAGTGAATAAGTCCTTTTGAATAGAGTGCAGGATTAATATATATAAGTGGAAGCTTGTGAATAGTTTTGTTTCTTCGCTGATGCTAATGCTGCGAGGTTTATGGTTCCTCTGTGTGGTTTCCAGAATCATCCTGATTTAGAACTTGTTAGGGTGCTATAATTTATTTGTGTGCTTAGTTGCACCACAAATTATGGTTTTCAGTGAAGAGTCTGGTGGTTTTTGTTCTCATTAGATTGGGCAAATCTATGTGGTTTCTGTACGAATTTTTATGGCTGGTCTTATTTGTTTGGGTTGATAATTCTTCTTCTCTTCAAAATTGATGCAGAGGAGGTCCCCATTATGGTTGCAGAGGAAGAGTGCTGCTTTCTCTGGAAGAAAATGGTGCCCCCAAAGTTGGGGTCAGATTTGATAAAGCAATTAGTAACGGTACTGACCTAGAGGGACGCTGTGAGGCAGATCATGGTTTCATGTGTTCTGGTAATCGATTTCCAGCCTGGATTCTATTTACTCTGTTTGTATTGTTACATTGTATCTATATCAAGTATTACATTCCCTGTATCTTGGTGATTGTTATCTTTCTTTGCAGCCGAATATTTTCGTCTTGATGCCGCATTTGGTGATGACTTTGATAGATTTGTAATTAATGAAATCTTTGAGGTATTTTAACTTAGGAGAATAGCACAATATATTCTGATTCAAATGCTGTGATTGTCCATGGATGTTGATGAATTGCTTTATTATGCAGGTTGCTTCCATCGCAAGTAAAAAGGGTCCATTAATTTTGTTTGTGAAAGATGTTGAGAAATCCTTGCTGGGAAATTCTGAGGCCTATGCGTGTTTTAAAGTTAAGCTTGAAAGTCTTCCTGATAATGTTGTTGTAATAGCTTCACATACCCAGACAGACAACAGAAAAGAGAAAGTAAGTGGCGGCTCAGTTGTCTTCTTTATCTTATTCTGTGTTTTGTATCCGTCGATGTGTATGTTAACATTTTTTTATCACACATGTTTACTGAACATTTTTTTATCACACATGTTTACTTCAGTCTCATCCTGGTGGGGTACTCTTCACAAAATTTGGATCCAACCAAACAGCATTACTTGACCTTTCCTTTCCGGTATGTTCCATTAACTGAAAGTAGAACATTTATCCTCCCCCATCCTATATTTACAGTTAGCAGTTCTTCGATAATGTTAAGAATGTGAAATTTATTGAAGCAATATTAGATTAAGAAGCTTATCGAGCTAGAACATGCGAGTATCTTGACAGCTCAACATCTGGTCGATAAAATACTGTTTTGCTGATCATTTGCGATATGCATGAAGTGTAACATATTTAAGCTTCTAAATGGAATTTTTTTATCAGGATAATTTTGGTAGGCTGCATGATAGAAGTAAGGAAATGCCAAAAACAATGAAGCAGCTCAGTCGTCTTTTCCCAAACAAAGTGACCATACAGCTTCCTCAGGTGATCAATATATCTTTGTTATTATGTGATGTGTATCCTACCATCATATGTAGAGTGACTGATCTCTGTTAAACTGTGACAGGATGAAATTTTGATATCGGACTGGAAGCAACAGCTAGAACGAGACGTTGAAACTATGAGAGCACAAGCCAATGTTGCCAGCATTCGAACAGTGAGTCTCCTTGTCCTCTTTACATCCTCATCTTTTGAATCCTCTGTGATTTGCATGGTCTTCCCCGTGGATTTATTCAGGCTAAATTATTCCTGGGTCCACGGTGTTTGGTTAATGAAAACTTGTTCTCCACACCCCCCCCCCCCTCTTTTTCCCCTGTTTGAATGCTGTGTCTGCTATTTGAACTTGTATTTACTGCCTTATTGTTATCTCTCCCCCTTGCAATTTTCAGGTTCTAAATCGGGCCAGCCTTGATTGTCCCGACTTGGAATCATTATGTTTTAAAGACCAAGCTTTGACTAGTGAAAGTACGTCAAACCCAAACCTTTTGGTTTATATTGTCATCTATTTCAATCGGACGTTCCATAACACTGGTTCTATATGTCATAGGTGTCGAAAAGGTGATTGGTTGGGCTTTAAGTCACCACATTATGCATTTCTCTGAGCCTTCACTCCAAGTGCCTAAATTTGTAATTTCAAGTGAGAGGTATATGTTCCTACAAAATTCCTTTCATTAGAGTTACCATATACCGTGACTGGACATGGACGGGAAATAACTTGGTTGTTCAGGCTTAGATTCTTACCATTCTTCTTTTACCTGTGCATTACAGTATTAAATATGGACTTGATATTCTTATGGGCCTTCAAAACGAAAACAAGAGTACAAAGAAATCTCTGAAGGTGAGGCTTGCATACTTTATTTGGAGTTCATCCCTCATTGTTTCCAGATCTTTTACATAGTTTAGGTTTGGAGATTGACTCTTGAATTTTAGGATGTGGTTACTGAGAATGAATTTGAGAAAAAGCTCCTTGGTGAGGTTATACCACCTGGTGATATTGGAGTTACGTTTGATGACATTGGAGCGTTGGACAATGTGAAGGAGACTTTAAAAGAATTGGTAATGCTACCTCTGCAGCGTCCCGAGTTATTCAGCAAAGGTCAACTTACGAAGGTACATGGCTTTCTATCTAAAGCACAGATTGGAACCACAATCAATCTTGTTCTATTAGTGGTCTAGTATACATGTATGTGTTATTGCTGACCCTGTCATTCCTTGCAGCCATGTAAGGGAATATTGCTCTTTGGCCCCCCTGGTACTGGCAAAACAATGCTTGCAAAAGCTGTTGCGACTGAAGCTGGAGCAAATTTTATTAATATATCAATGTCGAGCATAACGTCAAAGGTGCATTTCTAAATAGCCATTCTATCTCTGTTTTTCCGGGCCCTCTCCACTCTTGTTCTGTAATTAAACTCTACTGGTTGTGCATGCAGTGGTTTGGTGAAGGAGAGAAATATGTCAAAGCTGTCTTCACTTTGGCTAGCAAGATTTCACCTAGCGTTATTTTTGTTGATGAGGTCTGTAAAACCTCTTCTACCGTTCTTCCGTTCCTCCCATCACATTAATAAGTTAACTGTCTGCATCACAGGTTGACAGCATGTTAGGGCGGCGTGAAAACCCAGGTGAACATGAAGCCATGCGGAAAATGAAGAATGAATTTATGGTGAACTGGGATGGTTTGCGAACAAAGGATAAGGAAAGGGTGTTAGTTCTCGCGGCAACAAATAGGCCTTTTGATCTTGACGAGGCTGTAATCAGGAGGCTTCCAAGAAGGTTTGTCCACTTATCTAAAATATTGCATCTTATTGCTTGTAATGTAAAGCAATCTTAATATTTACCTCTTTCTAATGGACTTAATATACAGGTTGATGGTCAGTTTGCCAGATGCTCAGAATAGGGAGAAAATATTGAAAGTCATATTGGCCAAGGAAGAGTTGTCCCCTAATACCGACCTTGGGGCGGTTGCCAAAATGACCGAGGGATATTCAGGAAGTGACCTAAAGGTTTGATCATGATTACTATTTACTCATTTTAGACATGTTTGTAGTTAAGATGCCTTTTGTTATATTATTGATTGTCACAATTTTTCAGAACCTGTGTGTGTCGGCTGCGCATTGCCCAATAAGAGAAATATTGGATAAGGAAAAGAAGGTGTGTACTGCTTCCTAATTTTGATCTTGAAATATTGTTTTCATCTATTGATGTAATTCAGCCAGGAATGTCATTACTAATCTTGTTTTCATACAATCTAAACTGTAAATTGTAGGACAAAGCCATGGCAACGGAGGAGCAAAAACCATTACCTGCATTGCACAGCGGCACTGATGTCCGTCCCCTGGTCATGGACGACTTCAAATACGCACACCAACAGGTTCGTATGCTCAGTGCACCCCGGCATGAATGATGCTTACATTTTAATATCATGCTATAATAATGTGTGATGTGAATGCAGGTGTGTGCGAGTGTTTCATCCGAATCGCAGAACATGAATGAGCTTCAACAATGGAATGAACTGTATGGGGAGGGTGGTTCCAGAAAGAAAGAATCCCTCAGCTACTTCATGTAGAGTTGGGGGCGAGAGAGAGTTCGTATATGCTGCTGGGAGCTGTATAGTGATAGACTTTGTAGGCTATTTTTTCTCTTTTTTTGGTACCTACCCTCCCCCTGCCCTATACACTATCATTATTGTTACCTGAAATGGTGTAGGAATCCAATTTCAGGCCCTGATGAGTTCAATAAATCTTCTTCCCCGACTGCTGTATATACCATACATACATAGTTATACCATGTCTACTAGAAGTATGATGATTGGCAAGTCTTGGTTGCATTTTCTTGGTTATTGTTTAGGTTAGGCTTCTCAACATTCATTCATTCGTATGGCAATTGGCTTCATACATTAGGAGGGAAGACATACCAACTAATGAGTGATTAGTAGTGAGAGCTCTGTTGTGTTCGATGAAATTTCATTCCATTGCTATTACATGAATTGTCATATTAATTCGTAATATCCATGTCATGAAAGTTTTTAACCTGTATCATCTACTTGCATGTATATATTGTGCTCTTCATAGTTAAGAACCAAGCCGGGCCGGGTTGGCCATGTTCCCTCCCTCCTGTAGTTTCAAATTTTAACATTCTCAGATACAAGAGACACAGTCCATGAACACAGATCGGACCAGACCACCAATAATCTTGTGCCAAACACAATCCTGCAGTCTAAACCCATAAACTCGGATAAAAATTACACAACACCAAATAATCCATGGTTAAGCTCAGATAGTATACTGTAATAAACTCGAACCAACAAGACTTGTACTCATTTTGCGCTGAATAGCACTCAAGAACTTGGTGCAGCTTCAGTTTTGTCCTTTGTTGAAGCTTCAGCCCCTTCCTTTACATCCTTATCCTTCTCTTCTAACTCCTGCGGCTTGACATCTGCATGTGAATGATGCACAAGTTGCACGTTATTAGCAGGAGATAGGAGGCATTATGTATATTTTACCATGAGTGCAGTACATGTTAAACCATGATGGTCAGTATGGTAACAAAATATGGTAATTCTATAAGACAACCTTGGTAAAAGAAATTTCAAACTGACTTCATAGCATGAATCTAAAGATTGAGCAATTCAACAAAAGCCCAAAAAGAGCATACAAAATACACTTCAAAACATACCTTCATCATCACTATCATCGAAGTCCTCCCCCATAGCATCATCTCCCATTCCACCCATGTCACCAAATTTCTGAAGATACAGCCAAATGAAAATCATCAGAAGAGCTGGTAGCCAAAAAGAAAATAGCTATGAAAGATATGGTAAAAACTTACAGAGAAGTCCATTCCACCCAAATCAAAATCAGCAGGTCCACCTGATCACATTGTGAGTTAGTACAGAGAAATAATAAATTATTGGAAGCACCATTACAAAACTACAATAAAGTATTGGAAGCTTAATCAAGGATATGAAAGTAATGGTCAAAAGAACAACTTACCAGTGTCATCATCTTCATCCACCCATTTATCCCAATCTACTTTCAAGTAGTGCGGTGGTTTTCCATCCCCACGCAACAACTTTTTCCACCATTTCGGCTCTGCCTTCTCCAAGACACAAAATATGTTCCGAACACCTATGTTTATTTTGCTCTCCTAGCAAGTGAATTCATAATCAACTTATTAAGCTCAGATACAAATTCTTTGGCCGAGTATTTGAGCCACCAAACGAATCTCTAATGTAGAATTCTTTGCTCAGTTTCAGCTCATAAGAAAAACTAAAATATTCTCATTGCACCAATTTTATAGACCAGCAATTTCCAGGGACAGCAAACATTACTTTATTGCTTGAAACATTTTCACAAACTACGATCAAGTATAAACTAGGTCAACAGAAACACCCAAGAACCAATATGTTCTCCCAATCAAGTAATCACATACAGTAGATATGCAACCAAGTGACTTGTCTGAAATGTTTTTCACGCAGGAGTTAATTAAACTGCATGATTACCTTGGAAATGATGCTAATAGTATAACATACAAGCACTCATTTAAGCACATGCCTATATTTTCCTATTAAACAATAAAGCAAAATTGACAAATCATATCACCTCTGCATTAATTTTTTCAAGCAGGTCTAATTTGAGTTCATAGATCTTGTTGTCTGCCCCAGCCGTTGCAGAAAACGTGAACATTCCATCAGGATCAACATTAACCTTCGGATTTTTGGCATCAGGAAGCAGCACTGTAAGATAAACCTTGTCCTCCCTTTCTGCCCACTTTACTTCAGGATGACGGCTAATGTACAGGTAGTTTAGTTAGAACACCCAAAAAAACAACGAAGAAAAGAAAAGGACAGGAAAAGACAAGGCAGATAAGTGGGAAAGTAATTTTAGAATTTAAACTTTGAATATTCATAAACAAAGTACAAAAGATGCTTCTAGATTTGATAAGCAACAAATGTCAATCACACAGCATTGGCAACAAGTCACATGGTATTTCAGATAACTAAGAGTCATGTTTTACCCAACTCATCCTCACCAGTGCATGTTTTCATCCACAGCAGTGGTTAATGATGCTCAGGGAAAAGTTAATCATTGTTGAAGCATATACGAATTTTCCCAGTGCTCTTTTATGCCAACCACAGTTTTTCAAACTTCAGGATCTTTAGAATAAATGCTTGTTTACACATAAAAAGAGAATAAACATTTCGTTCACATAGCACGTAAGATTTAAGCCCTGAGGGGGCAGCTGAGTTCCATTATCCTGTATCAATTGAAGTAAGTTGCTTCTGAATTTCAGTTGTATAATCCTTCGCACCCTAAGTCGCACGGACACGTTACACTCGCGAATCACCATTCAAAATCTTAACAAAATTAGCAGCAGCATTTACCTAGATATGATGATTAATAAAATCACTTAACCACTCTTGCATATACTTCAATTTCACCCGGATAACCAAAGATGATACATGCTGGTACCGTAAAGTATTGAAAAAAATAAAAGATTTAAGAAAATAATCAAATAATTATTAAAGACGTTAAGCCATTGAGCAACTGAGTTGACACACCAAAATCCAACAAACACATTTAAAACAGAGTACAACAACCAATTAAAAAGCAAGGCGAATCGAAGTGATAAGATTGCAAATCTATCGAAGTTTGCGTAAACAGCAACAGCGGTAAGAATGAAAGTGCAGATGCAATTATACTATACCTCATATTCTCGCGAGTGTGAGTTGGAAAGAGTGAAAAAAACCCTAGAGAGAGGAAGAAAATGGAAAGAGCGAGCAGTGGAAGCTCGGGAAGGAAGATAGACGAGTTATTGTTGCTTGTTTGACAAGCTGGCCCAATAAGCAGGAAGGCCCAATATTAAAAGCCCAAATTAGATGCATAAATGGGCTCAGACAATACAAAGACTTATTAGATAGGCAAACAGGCCCAATAATAATAAATAAAAATTATGTAGTATTTTTTTATATTCATATTCATGGCCATTGCAAAAACAAACAAAACAAATTCCTTCATTCGAACTCTCCTATCAAATCAATCAGTCTGGATGCATCATTGAATAATTTCAGAATTGAAGTCATGTAAACCCAATTATAAGAATGAAATATAACATTTAGAAGATGAGTTACAATAGAGAAAAATACCAGCTAGGATGCCTGTATGATAATGACAGTTGTTTATGAAGATTTGAGAAATCTGCTTTTAACACGTTGGGGATGCATAGATGCACACGAAGAACGAGACACATTTGTGCAACATCACTTGTCTTCTATTCAAAGCAAAAGGGAAGCTAGAATAGTTCAAAACAAATATAAAGTTTCCGGTTGGATGCATAACTCATAATACATAAGACTGAAACTCAAACTGTAACAGTCGAGATCGGCTAAGATTGCTTCGATTCCAATTAATCATACGTTTCACCAGAAAGTCACTGCTTGACAAGCATAGGATTGCAAATTTCACTTGGGATTTCTGAGGACAATGATCACAGAATCTCCCCGAAGGAACATCTTGCTGATGAATCGATCCTTGTTAACTGGGAGAGCTTTCTTTTTGCCTTTACCAGTCTTTGGTACCTACGCAATAAATAACATTCAGCTTTAAGGATTAAATCGCCATAGCCGGCAACATAAACAATTTGTCACAATACGAAAATTAAACCAACCTCAGTCCACATCTCCCTCACATTCTCAAGAACCATGTTGCAGTGGCGATCAAAAGCCCTTACGTGTCCCAGAAGCTTTTTGTTGTTGCGACAGTTGATGAGAACCTGCAGCAAACAAGCAATGCATTAACTGCAGAAAACTAATTAACATAACACCAAAAAACACCTAGAGACAAATAACTAACTAGATGGAAACCTTGTGAATGAGCCCTACAAGGCTACAAAGTTTAAAAATTACCTGTGTATTATTTTTAACACTCAACATCAATATCGAAAGCGGTCCTGTGTTGAATTCCTCTTCCTCATTCTTTGCCTGCACATATAGATGTCTAGGTAAACTACAGATGCTATAACAGTGAACAGTCTTCTATCAACGGGAACCCATACTTCATAGCCCAAAACCAAATTAATGATGAACACATGGATTCCATTATACATCTATATCCTTTCTTTTCCAGAATATTGCTAAATTTTTTCTATTGCCGTATATAATGCTCTTTAAACCATGTTTTTACATAAAGCACAGAGCTTAATACAACAATTTCACCATAGGATTCAGCAGATATTTAATTTTCTTAAGAAATATTAGCTATTGCTTGGAGAGTATTTTATTTTTCTTGCGAGCTATCCCTTGGTGAGTAATGGAACCAAGCGCAAATAAGTACATGGTATGGTTACAAGTGTACGGGAATCAATATATCAATTGGTATAAAAATTAAGAACAAACACTGAAAATCAATATATTTGTTCACATAGAACCTAGAATATGTTAATGATACACGTGACTACTTGACTACCGCGTAGTGAAGAGATCAGTTGGAAATGCCATGATACATATCAAATTTAGAACTAGGGCAAGTAGAAACTCTGCAAGAAGATTAAAAATATATATATGTGTGTGTATAAATAAAAGGAACAGAACTTACAGGGGTATCTTCTTCCATTGGCCGACTGCAAAAAGAAAAATTATCATCAAAAGTTAAGTTCCAGGTAGAACCAACTCAAGAGTTAAAACCACCTAAATTAATTACCAATACTGGCGAAAAAATCAAAGGAAAATCCGGAGAACCTTTCGAACTAGCAAAAACTAGATTCAAGTTCAAGTGAAACCAAATCCCAACAAATGACACGAACAAATAAAAACCAAATCAAATTAATGAGAACAACGGCAACGGAAAAAAAAGGTTGTAAATCTGAGCACGCACCTCATGTTTTACAGATTCTACGCGTTTTCGAAGAAGCGAGTAGCTCTGAAACTGCGGCAGGACACTGTTGTCGGAAAAGAGAGTTAGGGTTTAGACGACTACGACGAGCAAGGTAGAGAAGAAAGAGAGAGTCGCAAAATTAGAGACAATGGCTGAACATCATAATTAATTGGTATTTACATGAAATTACGACCTTACCCTGAATTATTACGCGAAAGTCCAATGGGCTTGCTACCACATGCTACGGCCCAATATCACAAGTCTATACACAACTATTAATTCAGACTCGTGTTCGAATCCAGCCTGGCAGCCCAAAATAAATAAATTCAAAATATATTTGTGTAGCACCCAATTTTTTAAAAATTAATCAATCGATTGATTTTGTCACTATTATTCTCAATAGATTAATTAGTCACTCCTCTTATTCTTAAGAATAAATTAATTGACCATGAGCGGACGTACGGACGATGAACGAAAGAGACTTGAAGTCAAATTGAATTGGCATGAAAATAAGGAGCAATGGAGCAATGCAAGCAGCCATCATTCATTTTTTTTACATTTGTTTGCATTTCTTTGTTTTGTTTTTAGAATAAAGTTATTTAATCTTCAATTGATCAAATAATGTTACATGCAAACGAATGATCAACATCAGCAGGTGTGTACACCAATTACACAACAGATGATAATTAGATAAAGATCCAAATGGCACTAGTCGATATGTGTTGCTGATCCTACAGAGCCGAATAGTGATACAGCCCACGACGATTCAGCTTTGTTGCATTTCCTTCAGCACTGGCGACTGGCAAACTTTCAGAATTCTTGATAGACGATCTGCTCTTACATCCATGACCATGATCTCGAAGAACACGGTTGTCAAGCCACGACAAGATATCCGAGAACACAATATCGACGTTGTTGTCTGGTTCTCCGGCTGTCAAGGCATGCCACATCCCGGGATATAGCTTCATCGTCTTGTCCTTGCTGCTGGCTTGCTCATACAGGGCTCTGCTTACTTCTGGATCCGTCACGGCATCAGCCTCGCCGTGCAGCACCAGGAATGGCAGGGTCACCTAATACACACAAAATTCTTTAGTCATCTGTTAAGGCATATTATATATTTATACGACACAACACCACACCGGCCCAGGTAAGTAAAGTGCCGGTGGCTCGACCTGGTCGAGAGTGTCCTCGAGGTCCATGCTGGTTCGGAGAAGTTCCAGAGCTGTTTTCAGCCTGGGTTTCTCCTGGTATATCAGTTTGTTGCTACGGACTTCCTCGCGCTTTGCAGGATCTTTGAATGCCGAATCGATAACATCCTTGGTTGGAACTATCTTCCATTTGGGTATGAGATCCACCACTCGCATCAAGAGGCTGATGATCACAGGGTGAGGCTTCACCTTCTCTGATATCTGACAAATGGATCATAATCATATGATAATAATAAGTTTCACTGAGAATTTAAAATTAGTTTTGTTAAAAAAAAACCCCAATCTGCAGTATTCAAGACGATGACCTTACACATGGGAGCAACTAGAATAGCTCCATGCCAGAAGCTTGGGTCTTTCCTGTGTACTAACAGAGCCACCGCGCCTCCCATCGACTCCCCGTATAAGAATCTTTTCTTTTCCTTGTATTCTTCCTGTTCTGCATCGAAGCCAAAAACACAAATGTTATATGATAAAAAATAACCAACACTTGGGAGAAGGGGTGGGGTTGGCCAGCATACCACAGATTGACTTGAAATAGTTGCTGCAGTCATCGACAATGTTGTCAAACCGCTTGATATAGCATCGAGCACCCATGGATCGTCCATGCCCTTCGTAATCAATTCCAAACACGGCGTAACCATCAAGTGCCAGCTTCATTCCGACACCTAATTAATTTGATCACAAGATGTGCCAGAATCGAGTGTTAATCACAACTCAGGCTCTGAAGTCTGATCTAGCACATTGTCTATGTGGTGGTAAAATCTCTTGCATCGTTACCTGCTCGTGCTCATTCATTCACCTATTGTACCTTGTCATGCCCAGCACGGTATCACACAGATGAATTAATTGTTTACCATGGTTACAATATGATATTTTGTGGTGACCTTGCTAATCAAATAAAGGAAACACACCAAAATGCTTTTATGATGTCCTAAGATAGCATGTGGCATATACATATATAGTCCTGTTCAATTGCGTGAAGAAGGTGCAGAAGAGTTGGGGGATATCATAATATCTTCATCCTGCCTGACCTAGACTTGATGTATGTATTAAAGTTCCGTTAAAATTAGGCATTCTCAACTGCTTGCTTTTACAGCCTATCTGGATAAATAATAAAAATCAAAAGAAATCTCAACAGCTGTGGGCATACATTCATGGCGTTCTAAATCTATTGTAAAACACTTTTAGTATATCATAATTTTAAAAATACTGCACTTGTTGTCTCATCTCTTTGGACTGTAGCAGAAAAATTGCTTAATGTATTTGAACATACAAAGCAAAAGTTAAAAGTTTAGATCACCAGAATATAACTGGAATAAGATGTTACTGCAATTAATAGTTAATACCTTTCATGAAGTTACTACATTCCATGCCATAACCTGCAAAGTTAATCAACAGTGCCAGCGTAAAACCGGTGAAGAAATCTTAGCAGCAGACATAGTCATATGCATACCATGGCAAAGAAAAACCAGAGCCTTGGGAGAAGAAGATGGCAACCATCTGCAAGTGAATAGCTGCACTCCTCTTGAGCTATTTATGTAAACCTGAAGTTCAAACAACAACAGAGCATACATCTAGCTGACAGATTTCGAACCAACCAACAATCATCCCATAAGATTTATGCCAATACAAAACTAATGTTCTTATTTTGCAACTTTTTTTCTTTTGAGAAACTCGACTCAGGTTTTCCAGCGGCGAGCTCAAGCTTCAGCCAATGAAGCCAAGCGAAAGCAACAGTAGATGCATATTTAAATCCAGACGTAAGTTAACCAGTAAATAGCACGAAAGATATATAACAAATTGACACATACCTCCCGGTATTCAAAATCCATTGATCTTCCTCCACGCCCTTCGATCGGAAAAGATTAATATTACGAATTAACAATAGGCAGCCGCTCAAATACCAAAACACACATAGCATTCCCCTCAAATTAGTTATCGATAGAATAATTTCAGGCGGAGTCTGGAGATGAGGCGATAGAGAGGCAGAGGAAAACGCGCGCGCGTTGACGTCGATTGCTTGGAGCAATTCGAAATGCTGATGCGGTTACGTGTGAGAGAAGATGACACCGTGTGTTTTCTCGAAGTGTAGATAGAGATGGATGACGTGATGGATAGATACATAGATACAGATATGTGTATATATCGGCACCACTTCAGTGCTGACTTTCAATAAAGTGGAGTATTTATTATATGTATATATAGTGATATTTAAGGATAATATCAATCGTCTACGTACATGCAATTTTGTTTAAATAATTTAATTAGACATAAAAAAATCGTGAAGCCCGGAAGGTGTGTGCTCTTTTTTTTTTTTTTTTTTTTTTTTTTTTTTTATTTTACATATTTTTAAAATATTATATATATTATTAAAAATTTATTATTTATATAATTTTTTATATTTTACATAAAAATATATACTTTTTACTGTCCAAAAACTATAGTCTTGATTGTGTTGTACATTGATATTTAAGAATATTGATATTATATTGGCAGTGGATAAAAATATTATTTTTTTTTGCCTAATAATTGTGTAATACTAATAAAAAAATAAAGATATTTTTATAGTGATACCCTTACTTATAAAAATAAGACTATTATTTTGAATAGACAAAAATAATAAATAAGACTATTATATTGAGAGAAAAAAAATATATTATTTCAAATCATTTCATAAAACAAATATATTTGGAATTTATTGTAAATTTACATTTTATTAAATGATATTTATATTGTATATATTGTTTTTATTTGTAAGTGTGTTTGTATTTGTTTTGTGCAATAGGAATTTGTTCTTTAAAGGGGTTTTGAATTGGTACATTAGGTATGATATTATATACTATTAGATAGTTAATTAAGTTATTTTATAAGTATTTTAAAGTATTGGGTGTGTGTTTGGGGGTTTGGATTTCAAGTTGAGATTTTAACAGTAAAAATTTTAAATTTAAATAATTGTATTATGTGTTATAAATAAATATTTATTTAATATTTTGAACGTAAAATTGATTTTTAGTATAATATAAAAAATAAAAAATAAAAATATAATTTAATATTTTTTTAAAAAAAAATAAGATAAAATAGTAAAAATTAAATCCCCAAACAAACACACCACCCTAATTAGAAGAAGCACTGGCACAGGCATAGGCATCGGCATGTGCGTTGAATGATTGGCGGATTTCGGACCCATCCTCCGTCTCCGTCGCCGTCTTCAAACTCACCGTTATTTCGTATCTCGATGCACATACCCCATTTTTTGACACGTGTAACCAACTGATAGAAGGGTCAATGGATGCACGACTCATATACAAATTTCAGCTTAATATTGTATTTTATTTTTTTTTAACGTAGCCGAAAAATGTTTATTGGATAAACCCTCGATGAAACCTAATATTTTGTAAATAATATTCGACAATATAAATTATATTAGACGAATCATATATAGGATGGAACTTGGAGGTGTCAGAATTTGAATCATAACATCACGGTCACAAGTTCAATGTGTGTAAAATATAGATTTGGAGGCATCAGAGTTTAAATCATGACCTTACGATCATAAGTTTACTTCCCATACCATTTGATCATCTATTACGGGACAAAATTCACCTTAATATTGATTACACAGCATATGATCATATGACATCGGGTGTGTTTGTTTGGGATGTTGATTTTAAGTTAAAATTTGAAATAGAAAAAAAAATTAAATTGGAATAATAGAATGATAGTAATATAAATAGAAAGCTATGGTTTGAATGAATAGTGAATGCGAACAAATCTCATGAAAAGAATTGAATAAATAGTAAAAATTGAATGAATAGTAAAAATGCGAACAAATTTCGTGAAAAGAACACTCCAAAAGACAGATGCAATGGATTTGGTTCTAAATGATTTGATTTATTGGCATGTGGTACAAAGAATTACATCAGAAATATAAAATATATTAATTTAATTGAATATTTGATTTTTTTTAAATTTTTTTCTAAGTATTTGAATTTTTTTTAAATTTTTTGTAAAAAGTTCTTTATATTGTTTATTATTCTATCCGTTATAATTTAAAATATTATTTTTATCATTTTTATCGGTCTCAGTTAAAAGTATTAATTTTTTATTTTAGAAAAAATTAACATACACTAATACTAAAATCTTCTTAATTTTTATTTAAATTATAAATATATTATTAAACATACAATTTTATACATAAATAGTAAAAATAATTTTATACAATTTTTTTTAATAATTATACTATCTACTTAACATTACAAATACCTATTGTTACGTACGAAATTTAGAATTAGGTTAAAAGCCCAAGGTAAAAAGAAGAATGGGCCTGGCAATAGGGTTGATTGAACTGGCTGAAGGACACTGTGAGGAAATCAAGGAAAATAGATTTATTTCTAAGGAAAATATAAGACGGAAGGTCCTCAGGTCGGTAGGTCCTCAGGTCGGTAGGTCCTCAAGACGGAAGGTCCTCAAGACGGAAGGTCCTCAAGACGGAAGGTCCTCAGGGCGGAAAGACCTCAGGTCGGAAGGATCTCAGGTCGGTAGGTCCTCAAGACGGAAAGACCTCAAGTTGGAAGGTCTTCAGGTCGGGAGGTCCTCAAGATGAAAAGACCTCAGGTCGGAAGGTCTTCAGGTCGGGAGGTCCTCAAGACGGAAAGACCTCAGGTCGGAAGGTCTTCAGGTCGGGAGGTCCTCAAGACGGAAAGTCATCAGGACGGAAGGTCTTTAGGTCGGTAGGTCCTCAAGACGGAAAGTCATCAGGACGGGAAGTCCGCAGGTCGGGAGGCTTTCAGGTCGGGAAAAGGAAGAAAGTTAAGATCTCAAGAATTGATCCAAATCCAGACCGAAGTCGGGCAGACGCGGAGGTCTTTTAAGAGGAAGGTCGGGCAAGGAAGAGGTACGGACAGATGCGGAGGTCTTCGGTCGAAGACGGAGGGCGGCTGATGCGGAGGTCGGCCCAAGCGAGGTCGGGCGAAGAAGCAGGTCGGGCGAAGGACGAAGTCGGGCCAAAAGAGCGGAAGGTCTGTGGTCGGTTCAAAGAGTGAAATATAAGGATAATTTTGGTCTGCTGAGGACACGTGTCAGCATGAAAGGGGTTGGAAGACGGTTGGGAAGGAGACGTTGTAACCGTTCGGGTGACGGTTTTCAGTACGGTTTCCCAGAGAATATTTAAAGGTTTGAATCATCATTTGGCAAGAGATCTTCAATCAACTTCAACAAAGCAAAGTCAGATTTGGGGATCACCACTTTAAATTTCAGTATTTTATTTTCCAGTTTAGTTTCTGTACGTTACAGTGTTTAGAGATTCCTAATCTCAGGCACTAATTAATCAAGTTTAAGGATATTTTCTATATCTTTGAATTTTACTTTATTTTTGTTGAAAAAATACATCAACAAATTGGCGACCACAGTGGGAGCAAGACAAAATTGCTCATTCCAATTCCGGCGATAATTTCATACGTCTTAGATCCGGCCGAATCATCGGAAGGGTTATGGCAGGTTCACAACCGCAATCATCTTCGGCACCGGTGGGAGAATCCGTTCCACCACCCATTGTGTCAAATGCCGGGGAAATCCCACAACCACCAACTGATTGGTGGTCTTATGTTCAACAAATGAACAACCAGCATACTTTGGTTATGCAGAATCTGTTGCGTGAGCAACAAACGAACATGTTGCGTGAGCAACAGAGTCTAATGCAGAATTTGATAGATCAAGCACTGTCAAGGGTGAGTCTTCAACCCACTCAAACGCCACCAGGAGTGTCCCCGTCCAGACCACAGGCAAATTTCGCAGGGCCATCATTCGTGGATAGTACATTCCCAAGTGCCACAAATCTCAACCGAATGGATAGGGGAAAATCTCCTTTGACTTTTCCCAACAATGTTCCACTGGGACCAAGGGTTACCAATCTGCAGCCGAGCAATACAAGGGAGGACAGGCCTGAAGGATATATACATGATCCTATTCATATTCCTGTGCAGGATCCGTTCCATGTTCCTGATCATCAACGCTTTCATGTAGATCCTGACGAGATTGCACATATATTAAGGGATCAGTATGGATTAACTCCTCAGATGGCTAACCGCCCTGCATATCAGAGACCTTTTCCAGAAAGGATCATTAATGAACACCCTCTCCCAAGGAATTTTCGACCACCCGACTTTCATGCATTCTCAGGGGAGGACGGATCTTCCACCATAGAACATGTTGGTCGGTTCACAGCACAATTAGGAGAAGTTGGCAATAACCCTTTTTATAAGTTACAGCTGTTTGGTTTATCTCTTACTAGAACGGCGTTTTCGTGGTTTGTAAATTTGCCTCCAGGACAAATTCAGACATGGGAAGGACTGGAGATGGCATTTCATGCTAGATTCTTTAATCCTTTACCAGTTGTTTCTTTAACTGATTTACTTGAATTGAGACAGTATCCAGAAGAAACTGCTTCACAGTTTATAGAAAGGGTGCGATTGATGAAGGGACGATGTCCTACGGTAATCAGTGAGAAAGAGATGACCAATTTAGTGGTCCGGAATATGCATACTCGTTTAAGAAAGGCACTCACTGCCCTGGATGTTGAGGATTTGGCAAGTCTTGCATCCAAGGCAGGACGTCTAGAGTCTTTGTTCAGAGAGGAAGATCAGCATAACAGGCGTAATAGAAGCCAACATATGGCGAGTATGGGAACAGAAACATGTGACTTTGATTTTAATCAGTCAGAAGAGATGGCAGCCGAAATCCTTTCTGGAAAACCGTATGTATGTCCTAAATTGAAGCCAGTACCAGGATCTGAAGGAAAGGAGCAACCGACCTTTGATAGTTCGAAAGCTGATGAAATCTTTGATATCCTACTGACTGATGGGCAGATCCGTATTCCAAAGGGCCAAAGACTTGCTACTAAAGAAGAAATCAAAGGGAGACCATATTGTAAGTGGCATAATTCTTTCACACACACTACAAGTCAGTGTACTCATTTTAGGAAGGAAATTCAAAAGGCCATCAAGACAGGTCGGCTCAAATACATCACTCTAGGTGTAGACCAGCAACCGTTTCCGAATGTAACAACGGCAATGGTTGACATCCAACCAAGTTCGGAAACAAGGAAAAGTTCGGCCAACGATGGACAAAAAGGGGAACGAAA